AATACTACTACTAGAACTAAACTTTGAGACTACGCCCACCGGTGTGTCCCAGCATCTGGTGTCTTGAGCACATTGTTGTCGCAGTCAAAGCGAAATATTCTATCAGATTTAATTTGAAATAATAGCCTAAAATTAATAATATAGGCCTACACAGCCGTAATTTTTTACTCAAAATCTGTATACAGGAAACAAACAGACATGTCGTAGAAAGTTAGCGTAGTCTGTGTACAAATTTCACATATCGCGCAAAGAGTTACGTTCCATCAGCCAAGCAGGAAGACCTCAATTTGTAGTTGTTAAGCATCCGATGGACAGAAATATTGTCATACTAGGGGCTCCGCCTCGCGTACTCACAATTCAATCATAGCATCCAGTGCTAGAAAATATAAAAGTTTCAAGAAGCTTTTCCAAATAAGCGTTTTTCATGAATATGACAGCTGACATCAAATGGGCTATTGTTGACTGATCTGCCGGCAACTAGCACGTGGGCACTCATAACCTCACCCAGCACACTGGGACTGTGTAATCCAAATGAGAAGCAGAATGAGTTTAAAAATAAATTAGGAGTGATGGTGACCTGAATTTCCTCACTTCTGAAATATTCGAGCCGTAAAATTAGGCGAAAATAAAACACGCACACAGATACGTGTGCATGATTCAGAAAAGAATAAGCACGTTCAAATGGAAGCGAGCCAAAAGAAGCGCGTACGTCACACATACTGCATCTCTAATGAAGATCTTTAACATTTATATGAACTGCTTTTAGACTTCCTTTACAAAGTATGAAAAATAATGTCTTGAGGTTCGGCCACACAGAGCGCTACGTACGCTATGTTCGCTATACGAACAGAAAAATATCTCGCTTTATTGCCAATGTGACTGGCCACACAGACTTCCGTACGCTACGTACGCTATGTTCCCTATGTCAGCTGCGTCGCAGAGTGTACACAGCGTACGTAGCGTACGTAGCGAACATAGCGTAGCGCTCTGTGTGGCTGAACCTTTATACGTATGTACGTAGCACGAATGGGGGATATGAGGAAAGCATATAGGATATTTAGGGGAAAGCCAGAAGGAAAGAGACCATTGGGAAGACTAAGGCATAGGTGGGTGGACAATATTAAAATGGACCTTAGAGAGATAGGATGGGATATGGATTGGATAGATCTGGCTCAGTATAGGGACCAGTGAAGGGCTCTTGTGAACACGGTAATGAACCTTCGGGTTCCATAAAATGCTGGGAAATTCTTGAGTAGCTGAAGAATTGACGGCTCCTCAAGAAGGGCTCAGCTCCATTAATAAGTAAGCAAGTATATGTATGTTAAGTGTTTTAGTCTGACTGTGACCTAGCATTAGCTCCTAAAGGGTTTGGCAGACTGTTTTTTAAAATTCAACATAGAAGACTTTCACTAAATGTTGTCAGGTATTTCCAGTTTCCACTCATATTGATCCATAAAAGTAAAGCTGTCCCTGTAACAGTCCGTGAAGGCCCAAATGTATATGGGAGGTCGAGGCTCCCACATTTTCAAGACAGTCGGCTCATAGACGGTGGTAATATTATCAGACCTCAGCGCCGGCCGCTCTTTTACCCCCAAGAATATTCCTGGTACTCGTTTCTGTTAGAGGCTGAGTCGACCCCAGGGCCATAATGCAGCTGGAAGGATTAGGTTAACTGAAATAATCCACCTCATCGCGTTCGATCGCATTGATCCATAACAAACTTTATTCACGTAAGTTAATGAATTAACTTTATCATGCGCATCATAATCTGCTAATATGATTTTAGTTAAATTCGGTACGGGTGTGGGATATGTTTAATTGGTCTTTCCATTTTATCAATACCAACCAATTAAAACGCCTATTTAACGTAAGGTCAAAATTAACTTTTTCATATAGATTCTAAACGGTTCTGCGAACATAGGTAACGCTCGGGATTATTTAGTTTTTGGTCTTGTCCATCGTTCGGTATCCTAAAGAACACGACGTTTCGGGAACTGGATCTGTTTCCGTTCTCATGCGAAGAGGTGCAAGACGCCTACTCTGTTGGTTCCGTTACAAAAAGCCAGACTCTCCTAGTGATTGAGGTTAGCTGTTTTTAATGAACACAACAGAGTATGTGTCTCCCACCCCCCCTCCTGGGGATGAAACATATCCAGTTTCCGAAACGTCGTGTTCTTTATAATAAAGGACAGTGGAGAAAGTGCAAGAACTCAGTAATCCCCAGGAACTTCTTCATGTACGTTATCATAAACCGTTATACAGCTCTTCCTCAGGTTTGATATGAGTGGCCTTTGTAAGTAAGGAGTCTTTTCGTCCTGTTATATCAGCCCACTAAACGTAAGGACACAAGTGGACTTTTCCATATATCCCATAATCCATTTCGGAGATTTTGATGACATTCTATGGTATACATCGAAACATGGCTTTGGCTCGGTTTATGTAACATGGTTTATGTTTTGCTGAAATGCCATTTATAAACCGACAGCTAGTAAGCTTAATGAACTTCAATGGAAACCATTAGGAATTATGTATACAACTTCCCGGAAGAGGCCTGTTTTCTTTACAGTCCTTTTAGACAGGCATAATATTTAACATTTCCATACTTACTTCATCTAAAGAAACCTCCAATTAGAATATCTCCTTCATAACATAACGCAGTTTCTAGACTTGTTTAAACTACGAATTTGAAAATCCTTAATTCTTAAAAGACAGAGAGACGTGCTACTTTCATTCATGTTCTTATATATTAATTAGACATTTAGGGTCATAACTTCTAAACGAGATACCTCGCGTGTAGCACTGAAAGTATTAAAGAAACAAAAAGTAATACAGTCACCCAAAAGCATAAGCACAGCGCTTTGCAGGCTTATGAGCGAAATTGATGTAAAGCTCCACGCATTCATAGTCTCGGCAATAAACTGAGGTGATAGGTCAGTTTCACGCTATGGCTGATTTATCAGACACAGTCTTCCTGATTGGCAGTAGTTTCTGATAGTCAGCAGACAGAATGTTAAGAGGATCCGAAAACTGTTCTGGCGGGGAGAATATTTTTGGCCTCTGTCGGATGTGGGACTCTTTTTGTCAGTTTCCGTACGGACAAAGCTATTCCATTTCTTATATTCGACTTGTAAGGCAAGCCTATCAAGGTCTACAGACGGCATAATGCTAATCTTATTGTTTAGTTTGTTCAACAATACATCTTAAGACTACTTGCAGTATCGACTGACTACCAACAGTATAGTAGTAAGAAGCTGACTCATTCGTAACACAGACCGCAGTTCAACGCTATTTGTAACAAAAAGAAAATCCTGGATTTGATGCGAAACAAAATAAATTCTCAGTATACAACTCATTACAAGATTTAACCAAAATTATGCTCAGAACTCTCGGAGATTGATTCCCGGCACGGCAAGACTTTTCTCTTCCCCACGGTGTCCAGACTGGAGCTGGACCCATTCAGCCTCTTATACAGTGAGAACCGAGGGCGACTTCCCCAGATGTAAAGCAGCCGGGGCGTAAAGCTGACCACTCACCTCCATCAAGGACCGAGGTCAAGCATGGTTGAGCTATACCTCCACTCCCCCATATGTCTTTATGGCATAATGCTTAACTAATTGACCCCAGGGACAGCTTTACCTTTTACCTTCGGAGTTTATGAGCCAGCATAGATGAGTCGGTGTTACGAATAAGTTACGGGCTGGACGACAGAGGAGTTGGGATTCGATCCCCGGCAGGAGCAAGAAAATTTTCTCTTCTCCATAACGTCAAGACGGGCCCACCTAGAGACCCACCTAGTCTCCTACACGAGTACCTGAGGCTTTTCCTGGGGGAGTAAAGCAGCTTAAGATGTGAAGCTGACCACTCATCTCCAGTTAATGTCGAGGTTAAGAAAGGTGGAGCTATCCCTACCTTCCCATATATGTCTTCATGGCCTGGTTCTTAATCAATTAATCCAAGGGAAAACTTTACTTTACATTCTGATTCATAAAAACTTAATTTTGGATTAATGTAGCCGAAATTTTGATACAGGCACCTCCCCGCGAGAAATGAAGGTCACACCGCCATGACTGGACATCTTGAAGAAAGCAGCGAATGTTCCACTACTACGGATAAATGAGCAAATTAACCAGCAGTAAAACTGGACAAACTTCCTTTAGGAAGTTCTAGATTCTAGTGTCGACTGAACTACAGACTAACCTAACGAATTCTCTATAGGTTTCCTCACGCGAATGCCAGAAGACAAAACCCTAGCGATCACTAATTGCATATGGCATTCCTACGTCTTTCGAAGTTATATAACATCCGCATTGAAATACTGTCGTTAAAACAATGTAATTAATCAGCACATGTCGATGAATTTGTACCGAGCCCTCACATTAAGGAAGAAGGATCTTGAAAGACAATATTCATATTTTGCAAAAAGTTGTCTTCACGATTTTGCAAACATCCTTAGTCTTTATATTCATTTGCTTCAGATAAAAAATTATTTTTGAAAAGCTAACGGTACTGCTGATATCATACTGCGTGGTCATAAATGGAAGAATATTAAGCTACAACAAATTTTCCGGGCTTTGCCGAGGTCTATGTTCTAAGTTACGAACCCCTGAAGCTGACCACTGTCCTGCATCTAGTGTCAAGGTCAAGAATGGTGGAGCTATACCTTTACACACGTCTTCGTTGCTTAATTGCTTATTTAATTACCAGTTTTATGTATGTTGAACCATTTTTAAGAGAAGCAATAAATTTGATTTCAGATTTGTAAAAAAACATGAGCTATCTGAATAAACACAGCCAACATGAAATCAGTTTGACTGCAGTATCAAATTTAGATGAAATCCGTTGGCTACTTTCGGCGTGAATCCGGACGAAGAGACACGATCTACTCAATTGTGCGATTAATTATTCATGTGGGTGAGGAATGCATAATTTTCTTTCAAAATTAGTATAAATATTGAATTTCTAGTCAGGTTTATAATAAGACGAACACATAATGTACTTACTTTGATGACATCCTGTATTGTGGTAACAGTTCTTACAATGAGACATGTCGTTCAGCTGCTGAAATGGTTGGAATTACGTCAGCCGTAGAGGATGCTTCATAACAAGAAACATGTCCTTCAGATGGAACCACACGCAAACCATTCAAATGCCCTGCCCCCCCTCTATACGTGTACAGCCACGAGAATAAGATAAGACTCTTAGCTACAGTTTTATTCTGCAGGCCCGCGCATGTGATGATGCTAAAACTAAAACGCTGACTTTATATATTTAATTGTTAACGTGTGTGTATAGTCCTACAAATTCAGTTGGTACCAGTTAAGTTTAATTAAAATCTGATGTCGTAAAATCACGTTCAGTGAAATGTTAATTCTCGCTATTATCATCGCAAAAATGAAATAAATTTGACTGCACCTCTTCGTGAAATTGTTGTGATTATTATTATTTATTCCACTGCTTATGTACACCGTCATGCACAGCTAAGCGCTTATGAAACCGAAAAATGTTACATTAATAAATAACTCTGAATTTTTACAGAAGTCAGTTACTTCAGTTTGATACGTATTATTGTTAAGTTTTAGTTGAAACATGCTCCTGTCTTGTATGTGAAATTGAATGATACTATTATGATACGCCGTCATAATAAACACCGTTACGACACAACGTGCCATGTGCGTACTGGAGTACTGACTGAACAAAACTGCGTCATCCCCTCGCTTCCTATTACAAGCGACGTCGAGACGCTACTGAGGCTACCGAGATCCTCAAGGAGACGAAACACAGTCAAATGACAGAACGCATTTTGACCTGCGCACTGTAACTGCATCGCTTCACAGGTGGTTTAAAACCATGCATTTTACTCTTATGGAATTACGAATTTGTGGCAGATTAATTCCGTACATAGGAAATTGACTCAGAGCTGAGGGATCTTTCTTAATTAATAAGATAAAAGGCAAAGTTGTCTCCGTACTTAATTAGTTAAGCACTACACCATTAAGGCGTATATTTTAAGCTTTCGTTATTATTAAACACAAATAAAATTCGCTTAGTGGGGGGTGGAGTCCAACTGGGTCCACTCGCCACGGCGGCCACTGATTGGCCTATTGTAACCTGCCCCCGGTTATTATGATGATGGAGAAATTGGTGGAATGAAGATTGGCAGGGGAAACCAAAGTACTGGGAGAAAACCCGGCCCAGCGCCACTTTGTCCACCACAAATCCAACTTGACCAGACCCGGGATCAAACCCGGGCCGCAGCGGTGGGAAGCCAACGACTAACCGCTTGAGCTAAATACAACTAGCTAATCACTTCCATGAACCTGAGAAGACAAAAGTTATTCATCGAATCAAGAAATTCCCAGTATTTTATGGAAATACTCGGCCATGATAGAGATCCGTGGCGGACTCTTGTTTACAGATTTATGAACCTTAGGCGGCCCATACACGTATGAGTCTGGCTCGCGAGTCCGACTGGGCTCGGGTTCCAATGAGCCAAACTCGTCCGTGTGTGGTTCGCCACGCTCATACGTGTGTAGTGAAATTAACCCGAGCCCGGCTCCTCGCCGAGCCAGACTCGTACGTGTATAGGCCGCCTAAGGTTCATAAATCTGTAAACAAGAGACCGCCATGGGTCTCTATCATGGCCGAGGTGAATCCAGTCCAAACACTCTCACACTATACTTTGATAATGAAATACAATCTATATACTTTATGCTGAGTAAAATTTTTTGCTGGTGATTACTTTTTTCAACAGTTCATTTTCATTAATAACGAATGAACGTTTAGAGGACTTCCCCCCCTTGGCACTACAGCCCCAGTGGGCCTAGGCCTACCTCCATGAACTTCTCTGTTCACTACGGTTTTTCTAGAACTTACACATTCGGTAGGACTCCTTGGGCGGGTGATCAGCTCGTCGCAAGGCCTCTACCTGTACACAAACACAGAAAAACGCACACACACATGCCCTGAGTGGGATTCCAACCCATGATCTCGGTTTCCAAGCGAGCGAAGACAGTACGTGCCTTAGACTGCTCGGCTACCGTGACCAGCGTTTAGAGGACTAGGGGATGCAAAATATTGGTTCGCATACTTGGAAACTCTGCGCACTCCAAATTCAAGTTCACAAACAGTAGTGGTTTATTCCCTTTTAGATAGAAGGAAATTATAGAAACGAATGAAACCATTCTAAGCTAATACACTCCCACCTCAATATTCAAAATGGATATATTCCTGAGATGCTTAGGAGTTTCAACGTTTGCAAGTGACGTCACGTACTCTGATAAGTATGTGTATTCCTCATGTGCTGCCCAATTACACTGTCGCCGAATCTGTGCAATAGGCTAGGCACATGGTGACGTTGCGTAAATGTGACAGAGAAGTCTATATCTATGTTATTGATGGTCCTAATCATTCCGAAAATTTTCTCCAATTGTACTACTTCTTCAAATAGCTGTGCCAATTCTCATTCTCATTCATCGCTAAATAAATAAATAAATAAATAAATATATATATATACGGTAGTCGGCTTATCGACTTAGGAATGTTAGCTCTATGCGCTCATAGCGGCAAAACGCGGTATATATATACATATACGATGGGATACCCAAAAGAAACCGAACTAATTTTTTTGTGGGCAGAGCTTTTGTAGTACCGCGTTTTGCCGCTATGAGCGCATAGAGCTAACATTCCTGAGTCGATAAGCCGACTACCGTTGCTTCAGAAGGTAAGGACTAGTTTCGGCAGAGTTTATAGTGACAACTGTTTTGTGTGATCGTCGTTTTTGCAATGGCCCGAACACATGAAAATGTTGAAAAAATTCGTGAAATCATCAAGGAAGATCGACGACGGACCACTGAAGAAATTGTGGAGCTGTCGGGAGTGACTTGGAGCTCAGTTCAGCGAATTTTGACAGAAGATTTGGGAATGAAAAGGGTGGCTGCGAAATTCGTGCCACGACTGCTGACCGCTGAACAAAAACAAGGTCGCGTGGAAGCATGCTGTGCTTTGAAAGAAGAGTCCCGAAATGTTCAAAACTTTTTTTCAGCGTTTTGCTGATGTTGCTGAGGTGAAGGAAAAAAACGACGGAGGCGCTGTCAAGCATCTCAAAAGATGAATTTAGACAATGTTTTGAAAAATGGAATAAAAGACTAGACAAGTGTATTAGTGTAAGTGGAGAGTACTTTGAAAGGGATTGAAGGTTTGTGCTTAAAATTTGAATAAATAAGTTTTAAAAAAAATTAATTCGGTTTCTTTTGGGTACCCCCTCGTACATCTCACAAATACGGCACGCCACCACATTACGGAAGGAATGTTTTTAGAAATGTGTATGCATACTTTTCCAATTATTCCAAGATACCCCCACCCAGTGGTAATAAACCCACAATATAAATAATAATACGTACACAAACGTGAACTTGATAAGATTTAAAATTTAAACTTTACTCAGCAAAAAGTTTGAGTCTTGCGAAAGCTTGTGGTGACAACTATGCTATCAACCACAAATTATCCCCCATGCGTCAAGGACACATGGGCGTAGACTAACAAATGGCCAGATACATAAGCTACGTCATGGCGATGTGTTATGAATTTTCATAATACGATATAATTTCTTTCAGAAATCAACTCTTTTACCTGAATTTGTTGTTCGTGTCATGAATTTAATTGTTTTATAATTTCTGTAAGGGCGGAGTTCCAGAACCCAAACTTCCGTAACATGGGGCACGCTGTACGTTCTTTATCAATTGTGGAGTGAGGCAGACGTTTCGGCAGTGACCACTATAGCATACCCGCACTCGCCCTCACTTCAATACTTCTCCCAACTCCCAACTTTGGAGCCTGAGAAACGCTGACAGACAGCATTATTCTTTCCCTTCATTTCATTTGTAATTCCAATTAAATTAGTGACACTTACTTCTTTTAGAGGGGCAAAGTTGTATGGAAAATGAAGTTATGCTCTTAACTTGTGCTTAAATAACTAATGAAATAAGCTCAACGTTTAAACCATTTTCAAACTGATAAAGCATAGTCATATAAAGAACATCATAAATTGCTTCAAATTGGAAAATATTAGGCATCACACATGAATAAACTGTTTTCATGCCACAATTATTCCTACAAGACTGAGTTCCAATGAGGTAAGTATACTTGTGTTCTACATCATGATTATTATTATTATTATCTCTTGTAGTGCATTTACACTACCAATCAATAAGTTCGTGGAATGGCCGCAAAGCGTCGTACGGGAATTTATTGCCAATATGCTTCAGCAGTGTTTTCAGCAGCCATATCAACGTTGGAAGACTTGCATAATGACCAACGGCAACTATTTTGAGGGCCGATGTGGATCTGCATAAGTGTATGTGAATACCTTGTAATATGATGTGATAAAACCACATTCCACGAACTTAATGACTCTACCGCGTATATTAACACAGATAATTGATCTGGCTCTGGATAGGGAGCAGTGGAGGGCTCTTGTGAACACTGTAATGAACCTTTGAGTTCATAAAATGCTGGGCAGTTCTTGAGTAGCTGCACAATTAGCGGCTTCTCAAGAAGGGCTCAGCTGCATGAGTGAATGGGTGAGTGAATGGAAGTCTTCCTTACTTTGGAAATGGAATTTCATCAAATTCAAAAATCGAAGTGGAAATTAGAAAGATCTGTCATTGTGAGAAATTTTACCAGACTGTCAGGTATCACTGGAAACTGGGAGCACACACACATATCCAGCAACACAATGCACGCAGTCACAAGAGAAGGACACAACACAGAACACAATATACACAAGAATGTAGGAAGAGTGCTCCCATAGAAGAGGACTGACGTGACTCGTGTATTTAAGATACGACGTATGGATGACGAATCCTGAAAGCTTTAGTATTTAGACTTTGTTGCTATACATGATGAATATGCATTTTAGTCATTTTATGATGGAGACGTGATAGCATGCAGTGCAGTAGTTTGACGTGGATAGAGACACACCTGAAGATGGCACATTAGTGCTGAAACATGTAGTGTGGAAGTGAAGATAAAGGTGAAATTGTGTGCACTGTAAGACGGTTGGCAAAAATACACATCATGGAAACTGGGAAATTTCAGGATAGGTCCCATTTACGTTATTTTTTAAACTACTTTTATATGCAGTGGAGAACTGGAACATGGGTTCTGACAGACTTAAGAGCATAAGCAGTGGATATTCTCCACAAAATATAAAGAAATTAACTGGTAAAATATTAAAGCACGACATTAGTCACACAATGAAAGCAGAAGCATTACAAGAAAATCATGGTACTTTATTTGGAGTTTAATCATTATATGATTCAAAACATTAGATTCTAAAAATTATGCTTCAAACATCTAATCCCCTCCTTGAAGAAGCAGACAAAGCCAGTGTATGTAACAAAGCAACTAACACAACTGCATATTTCAAATTAGGCCAGTTCATATGTCACAATAATATTAGATTAGCACCATAGAATTTTGGAAAGCTTTGATAAAAAAAGTATTTTAAAATAAGGATACATGGACAATAGAAATTGGGTTGGATATTTCAACCAATTTTAGGATTGCATTCTTCATTTATTTAATTACATGCTTTCAGCACCATTGGATATACAGCATCAAAAAATCATAAGAATGCAAATGATGAGTCAGGAAATACTCCTACATGGAAGTGGTGACTCATTCTTCATTCTTCGCACCAGAATTATAGTAGTGAAAGCAACAGTCATGTCAACAAAACCATGATGTTTATAAACTGTCAGTTGATTTGCTTTCTACTGATGATTTTCCCTAACTATATTCTGTCACATTCCTCCAAATCATCACTGACAATAACTTCAGGCTCCACAAAGCATTATGTTAGCCATGCTGATTCAGAGCATACTTTTATTATTTTATGGAGAGTTGATAGGCTTATAGCACCATCATGCCCATGCATTTGTCTGTTCACCTCACTCTATGTAGTCTGGCAATGAAGTTCCCACACTGATGCCACAGCATTCGCATTAGATGGCACTGAAATGAACTACTGCCAACTACTAAGTGTAGTCCTATGAGGAACAGTCAGTAAATAGGTCACAAATTGATACAAAACATAAAACATGTGATATTCAAATATGGAAAAAAACATTTATTGCTCGGCATATCTTCCTCCAACATGGATACACTTGGCCCATCGCTTTACCATTTCATCAAAAACTGCAGCAAAAAGTCTTTCAACTGTTATCTCAGCCACTTCAGCACCTGGTTGGGAGACATCTCTGACTTTCAAATATCCTTGAGAGAATTTCTTGCCCCAGTTGTGAACCACTTCACTTAAAGAACACTTCCTACTGTAAACAGGAAACATTTCTTCACGAATATTCTCTGCATTGAGTACTTCTGCCCACAGAAAGTGCACAACAGAACACTGCTCTTTGGTAGTGTAGCCATCAAGCACGGTCACCATTTTGCCTACTGAAACCAGCTTCTGAACATGCACATGCATGTCTGCTACCTAGACTGTCATGAACCTGAACTGTGCTGCTACCTAGTGATACAAACAGGTAAACCTACCACATCCATTTCACCTGTCTCATTGCCATTTCTGACCTATTTATTGACTCTCCCTCATATCTATACCAACAATTAGCAGTGGTCAGAAACTCCAATCAAAGATAGTTCATGAGTAGCAGTTCTGTAAGTTGGTTGTGTTTTTGACTATTGTCACTTTTTTAGCCACGAGACAATGAATGAATACCAAATTTTATATATGAACCAGATAAAACGCCAAAAGAAACTTACAACATGTTGCAAACTTTAAGTCATAACAGTGTATCTGAATGATTTAAACGATTCAAAGATGGGCATGGGGATCTTCAGTATGATCCAAGAAGCATGTGTCCTTCGACAGCTCAAAATTGCCAGACCCTGTATTTCATGCAGTATATATACAGATTACAACGAATCTTGGGATCAACAATATGCCCATGGAGCCCACCCTACATCAATATTTCTAATTTCCTACCAGTTCCATGCTGCAAACTTCTTTCAGAATATAAAACACTAAGCTAGTCAAATCAAATGTTCAATACTATGCTCTTAACACTTTGCAGACCGGTGGCATATTTTTATGCCCAGCGCTTTTAAACGTGGTGGACCAGTGGCATATTTTTATGACTTTAGGACACGTTAGATTGTAACACATTATACCTTTTTCTGGCACCACCCAAATAAAATGACTACTGTGTATTATTATTCCGGAATGTTTGCTTAGTAGGCAGTAACTTGATCTCGCTGTTTGGGTACCCCTTCCAAAGGAAAATTATCTTTGACCCTACAGGCTCTTATGTACCAGGCAGGAAGTTAGTTGCACAATGAGTCAAGGACAGAAGCGGCCGAAAACCAAGCAATATCTGACTTGTTCTCCGTGCTATCTGACGTGAGCTATTTGACATTCCTTCTGAGACGTGTAGTGATAGTGATTTGACAGTGGCAGTGGCAGAGGACGACAAACAATTGTGGCTACAGATAATATAAGTGAAAGTAGCTCTGACGAAAGTGCAGGTAGAAGGGGAATGTTTCCAGAAATATCACACTCTCAAGCACTTCTAGAAGCATTGGTAAGTGTTCTCCAAAAATTTTAGTTCATAAAATTAGGATATTTTATATTAATTTTTAAACTGAACAGTGCACAAGTTAGAGTAGTGGGTTAAAAAATGCCAGTCCCCAGGGTGATTTAAATATTTAAATTGCCGGTCCGCAAAGTGTTAAGATCCCACCCCGGGATATTACTCCAAGCCATATCTAAGTACAAGAGAATAGTTTCTTGATGTAATTGTGCATAATCAGCAATCAGAAGAACCCTCAATTAATTCAAGAATCTATCACTCCCCTACAGATTCGTCAAATAAGAATTTCACTGTCCTATGGATATCAACAATTCATATAATTATGAATTTATAACTTCACCAGCCTGTGCAAAAGAGATGACAGCATTTAACGGACACCAGGTCTGAAAGTTATATTTACCACGCATCTTCCTCATACCTGTAAATTCCATGAGTATGAGAGGTGCTAATTCACTGCACAGCTCCTTCACGACTACTTAAGTATAAGCAAGACACACTATAAAGTTTCAATTTCCAGGACTGCAGTATCTGTCATGATTAGGAAGAGTTTCAGCTGGTACTTTCATACCATTATAAGGTTAAAATGAGCAACTTTCACACTGTTATTAATATTTTATTCGAGAAACACAACCATATACAATTCTCATAATTTTATCAAAATTAACTTGAGATCATTTGAATCCAAGCAAGTGGCATCAATTACAAAAATCATTTCTTCTAATTTAACTGGCTTGAATCACTCAATAAACCAATCATGCCTTCAAGCATTACTTTGTACAATACTCATTAAATAAGCAGGTTACAAAACTCTTGATATTCAATTCTGATCTCAAACTAACTTTGATTTCAAAATTATACACTTAGGAGTTTGCATTAGGGCCCCTCCTGCGGCCGAAACCTTGGACAACATTCACAAACCGGCGATTGTACTGTATACGCCGCTTAGCACGGCCAGTCTTTTTCTTCTTCTTCTCTTGTTTGTCCACCTGAAAAACACATATGTAAAATTATTATACTACTGTGAGTACAGACCAAGGTATGTATATATGTTGTTGTGAATGTGGATAACCACAAACTGTACACATTTACCAAAAAGTTTGGTGAAAGTGCATGATGTAATTACACAGAGACAGATCATGTGCCTTCCTGATATACGTGGCACTGGATAACGTCAATAAGGTTTACCGAAATTCTGCAAACTGTTATTTGTTGTACACACTCAAGCACACGACTTCTTGATGAACTCTGACAAAAGAAGGTCTACTAATGAAACTTTGAATGATGCATTACAGCTGATGATTTAAATGTATGATCTGCATTTTTATTAGCTTAGGATTTATTACTCTTCCTTACCTTGGGGGTCTGACCCTTGACTTTACCAGCACGAGCCAAGGAGCCGTGCACCTTCCCGCCCTTCATAGAAACACTGACATCGATGCTTAAGCATCGCAGGTTCGCTACAAGATCATCCTCATTCAGAGGTGACCCACTACAGTAGAGTTGAACTTCTTCCACAGGAATGTCCTCCAACTTAGCTACTTGCTCCTGCAAAAGCCAACACAAAATTTTAAACACCACCACACCACATCTGGTGGGGGGACTGATTTTAAATCTAAATTTAGGAAGCAAAAAAAAAAAGGGGGGGGACAATTGATTGAGATTAATTATTCATGTTCTTCAGTGCTGTATCAACTGTAAGCATGATGGCACAACTGTGACTGATGAATCAGAAATGACAAGGAAGGAAACAGTTATGGTCTCAGCCTTTTGCTGTGAAGCAAGTTCATCCTCTGCAATCATCTCAGAGCCTGCCGCAAATCACAAAACCACTCTGGTGGAACAAAACACACTGATCCAGCCACCCAGGCCACCAATACTTGGACTGAGAGCACAACTGACAAGCCCACAAGTAAGCATATCACAAATAAAAACCCAGATTGCAGCAAAAACCAGAACTGCTCCACACTCATGACATCACAACAATTCACATTCATGCACAAATGGAGAAACTTGAAACTTCAAAACATAAACATGAAACCCAGTTCCTATGCAAGGCATCCATGAGATTTTTGAGAAGAATGTTCAAACACAGCACTGATTTTATCCAGACTCCCTTCTGTGAGTTCTCATAATTTTCTTTCTTTTCTGGGGACCCAACAATTTCTTTCTCAGTCCTAACGCATTAACAACTGCATGAACAGTTCTACTCTAAACAGCTATAACATGAAAATTATGCTGAAATCTTCCCTTTATATCACCACTTTTCTGGGGACCCAACAATTTCTTTCTCAGTCCTAACTCATTAACTGCATGACCAGTTCTACTCTACACAGCTATAAAAACATGAAAATTATGCTGAAATCTTCCCTTTATACAAACACGAAAAACTTTCACTCCAAAGTCTACCTCATACATGGCATTTCACCACAGGAAATAACAAGACCAAGTGACTATGCATACGCAAAAGCTAGCAAACAACTTATGCAAAGTATGTTTTGGCCTAAGGGTAGTTAGAAGAGTGACTGGACTAAAGACTGTCCGCACGTTATATTATGCTCATTTCAAATCTTTGTTATCATATGGACTGATATTTTGGGGCAACTCGGTAAATGCAAAATTGATCTTTAAATTACAGAAGAGAGCTATAAGAGCTATGACCCAGGTCCAAAAAACGACTAGTTGTAAACAAATTTTAAAATCATTACATATATTACCTCTACCATCTTTGTACATATACGAAACTCTAATACACATAAAATCCAATTTGAATGATTTCACAACCAACTCAGGATTACACTTATACAACACAAGGAAAAAAGATGACTTGCACATCGTCCCATGTAATACAAGTCTATGCAAGAACAACTTTAACAATGTAGGACTTCGACTGCTAAATCATCTGCCACGATATATTAAAGAAATACTGGTACTCTATAAGTTCAAAAACGCTTTGAAAACTTACCTACTTGATCACTGTTTTTATAAAGTGGATGAGTTTCTCTCGTGAGACAAACACTAATCAATTATAATCACATAATTCATGAATAATCGGTTTTTGGAATCCCTCCTGTGCAGTTTTCCTTTCTTTCTTCCAGCAACGAAGACAACACAGTCAGAGATGTGCCTGAATGGGCTACCCTGGAGAGATTGCAGATACCAAGAAACTGCACCACGAAGGGAGAACAGATGTAATGAGATGTTGCAGTGTAGAGTCTACAGTGAAACGCTATACCAGTGCTATCACCAAATTCACCAATATTATCTCAAAGGCCGCACCACAGCTTAAGCAGTTAGTCGCTGGCTTCCCACCGCTGTGGTCTAGTCAAGTGGGATTTGTGATGGACAAAGTGGCGCTGGGGCAGGTTTTCTCCGAGTACTTAGGTTTCCCCTGCCAATCCTCATTCCATAAAATTCTCCATACGCATTATCACCAGTACAGGTACAACAGGACATATGGAAGCCGATGTGCCAAGGGGACCTAATATGGATTCCACCTCACACTATATGAAATCTTAACTATTGTAATCTACTGTAAACAATTTTAAGTATTGTAACTTTATTCTCTTATTGTAATCAGCCAATGTACAGTAAACTGACTTGTCCTATATCACGTAACAATGATCTATGGACGACATAAATAAATAAATCACTGCTTCTTGTACAGGCCAAATGCAGTAGCTACAGTAACATGAGGCTCAGGATTTATGAGTGGTTTAGCATATAACTGCATTACTTACTTCATAGCAGCTGTTCAATAATTTATTTGGATAAAATGAAAAAGAACTTTCAGTATGTACACATTGTTACTTTCATGGTATTGTTAGAAAATGAAAAACCTTTATTTCAACTTGATCAGGTCAGTGTGTGGCTTTTCTGCCTGAGCAGTTGAAAGATCTGCAAGATCTTCTCCAATGATCACACTGTATAATTATGAGCCTACAGGCATCATCTGCTACAGGAACTGTAGGAAGCCATGAAAAATCTCACTTACAAATGCACACTTTTGGAAGGTACTTGAAATGCTTTTCATGCTTGCAGTTTATTTAGTAATGCTGTAAATAACTTTTCCACACAGTGCTAAATCACTGGATGAAAGCAAATAATGAACTGGAGAACATGTAGAAGGCAGTTGTAATACACCAATTTATGGTAGAATCCCAGCACTTTCTCTCAGGAACCAAGGAAACCACAAAAAAAGAAAGTCAGTCTCTTCCAAATGTCTTTCTGCTTGAGTCAAACTGGCTCAATTCGTCCAGTTCACTCAACTATAACCATTAATTAATATAAATATAAAGCAGTTTAGCTGTAAAGTTTTAGTAAAACTCCCCAACATTACTTTTATGAAAATCTGCTCATCTCTTCACAAGTTTACATGTGAATGGACAGGCAAGGCAAAGCTGACAGAGCAATTCTGCAACTCTTCACTCTCATTCATTCATCAGTAATCTGTCAAGACAACGGGTCCACAATCCCTTCCAAAACAGTTCCTCCACTTGATGCGATCTAGAGCTTTCTCCTTCAAATGAAAATATCCTCTTCTGTCCCCAAGGTCATCCAGCATCTTCTTACTTCTTCTTCCTCGTCTTCTGGTCACTTCTATCTGCCCCTCTTCTTCACTCTATATGCACCAAAAATTATCCCCTCCAAACTGCATCCCAACAAAGCCAACAGAACCTGAGAAATCATAAATGCTTCACATCATTGCACTCTGATGTTTCTAGACTCTGAAATTAAGTGTTCAAAACTGTACTTCTTGTACAGCACTTCAACCACTGATCTAGTTAAAAGTAAAAGCAAAGTAATTCACTTACAATGATCCGCCCAACAGACTCACTGCCTTCACAGTCAATAACATGACTCCCCTGTCCTCGTACAAGAAGATGCATTGTGCTTTGATCTGAAAAAAAAAAGCTTAATTAAGACAGTCACTGAAGTCAAGTCATTGGTCAACCTTTAATACTGCTAGACTTGAACTGTGATTTAGCACAAACTTCCATTTTGTTTCAATAAAACCACATTACACTGTATCACCTATGTACAGAGGTCCATAGATGGTTCACTTACATCACTAGGCATTACCCATTGCCTAGTGCTTTCTTCTTCCTTCATTTTCCTCTACCTAGCCTTACATTTATAATGCACTTCTGTTTAGTCCGTGCAATAACAAGACAGCTCCCATGAGATATGACAGTTGAATGAGGGCACAGTAAATCCCTGGTGACGTATCTATCACCTTTGTGTTGGTGGCCTATGTCAAACTAGGTCATTGCTGTGAAAGGAACAGTGTAGCTGTAAAAGTCCAGGGATCATACCCACACTTATTTCCCTAAGCTAGTGGAGACTAAATCTAGTCATCTACTTCACTTTGTGTTGTCTCTGTAAAGCCCACATGTTCACTCCTGAGCTTCAGATTTGTAAGCAATTGTATATCCTTCTATTTTCCTTTACCCAACTTAAAGTTTTGACCCATACTACAAGGGAGCGCATGGTTTTCTTCCGATCTCTGAGGTGCAAGGAGGCAGATCCTCAAACAGTCCAGTACCACCATGACTGGTAAAGAGGAAAGTGCCCAAATTCTAAAGGGATTGCTGCTTGTGCAGTCAACAATTATGTGCACCTCACTGTCAGTAGCCAATTAGAAGCCATAAATTTGAAACCTTTCTTTTCAAAGCAAAAAAGTGGGATGTTTTGGCTTAATGTCTGTGATACTAAGCAGTCTTGAATCGGGCTTCGAGCAAGATGGACATCTTCTGTCACATCAGTGTGCAAACATGGTGAGTTGTAATTGTTCATCCATTTATTTTAAAATCATAACCTGACCTTCTGGTTACATATATATGTAGATGAATTACATGTTAAAGTGTTAATATATACTGCTTTTTCTAGGTGTGAAGGGTTTTGCTGCAAATGAAAACGAAGCTTCCTTATGTCACTTACTCATATACTACTTGAATGCATACTGTATATCCTTGAGAAAAACTCAAGCTCAAGTGTAGTGGCTGGTTACACAAAATTCTTCCCACAACTTGAAACAATTATTTTCTTTCAAATGCTTCAATCTGTATCGCGAGACTAACAGAGAGATACAAATACTGATTACACAATGATGTAGTGATCAATTTCCATGTATAATTTCCAACAGTAGGAGTTGGGTCAGCAACTGGCTACTTGACAGTCAAGATTCGATTCCTGGCAGGAGCAACAGATTTACAACTACATCACAGCTTCCATTTATAAAGTGCAATATATTTGTTTGATGAGAGCCGCTCCACACTTCGTAATCCACTGTAATCTACTGTAAACAATTTAGTATTGTAACTTTATTCTCTTATTGTAATCAGCCAATGTACAGTAACTGACTTGTCCTATATCATGGAACAATGATCTATAGAGACGAAATAAATACATACATACGTCTGCATTTTATGAATGATCAACTGGTGATATTTTGGCGGGCCTGTGATGGCAACCGTAACATGCATCAGGGCTTTCATAATTTACGTGCCCAACAACGAAGTGTATTGTTAGTATTGTTAATTACCACCCTAGCCTGATTGATTGATTGATTTATTTCGTCACTGTAGATCATTGTACATGATATAGGACAAGTCAAGTTAATTCTGAATATTAACAATTTAATATATGAGTAAGATTAAAATTACAATAGTTACAATTGTTTACAGTTGATTACAATTTAGAATTAGTTAAGATATTCTTATTTGTGGAGAATTTGATGGAATGAAGATTGGCAGGGGAAACCGAAGTACTCGGAGGAAACCTGCCCCAGCGCCACTTTGTCCATCACAAATCCCACTTGCCCTGATCGCAGTGGTGGGAAGCCAGCGACTAATAGCTTAAGCTATGGCGTGGCCTTAGAATAATGATATGGATAGCTAGTGTAATGTTCACTGCAGATTGGTGCCCTTCTTGATGGCCTGGTATTCTCGATTATTATGAAACCTGAAATTGTTCGTTATTTATCCTCCACATAATTGTCGAAACCGATATCTTTAAGTTTAATACATGCTTTATGGACTATTACACACGTGGCTTCAACCAACAGACTCCATGGGGGGGAGAAAGTGACATCCTAATACACAATGCAAGACAAAGCAAGTAATATATACCTTTTTTCCTCTCTAGCTTTAGAAATCTTGAAAACTTTATTATAAAAGCGGCTTTCTTCTCCTACAAAAAACACTCCTTAACTCCAGCATACCATTGGCGCAACAAACGAAACGCGAACTGGTATCCCGTGGAATCTCTGGTGGTGAACCCGTGACGTCACAATTACACTTCTCTACCATCAATATTCAGCTATTGATATAAGATGGCCGCCGCCAGTGCCGAGAGCACGATCGGTGAGAAGGCATCCCAACGTACCAACAGTCTTTGACTCCCCCCCCCCAAAAGGGTCACGTAGTTAAGACGAATATCAACAAACAATTTTTCATTTCTGATCTCTTGTACTGAGGATGGTTTTACTCCGTTTCTTAACTCTGTTTAATCTCACTTCACTCATATCCATCAATAAGATTGAAGGCACACCATGGATACTGGCAACTGCAACACGACCGCAATTTCCGGGAATTGTTATCAGCCTGAGTTGAACACATGTAATTGAATGGATCAGCGGAAATTGAGGAAACGGCAATGCAGTTTCCTCAATTTCCGCTGATCCATTGAATAACATGTGTTCAACTCAGGCTGATACTAATTCTCTGAAATTTCAGTTGCGTTGCGGTTGCCAGTTTCTTTTGTGTGCCCTCGCCACTGAGCAAGACTGAGCGACTCACTCTATATTTAGTGACACTGTCAAATTATTTCACCGATGAGAATAAAGTTATTGGATTTTAGTTGAATATTCAAGCTAAAATTTAATTAGCATATTGTTAACTTATTGCTGCATTATCAAGTATGTATTTTATTTTAAAGCAATAGCTTGACTCGAAGTTTTGTCAGCTGCATGGGAAAACCCAATAGCAAACATAATAGAATTAAATAGCCAGTGTTTTGGGTTCAATGAGATTAATTACGTAATTATTAAAGTTTGATGCGAACACACTTCGTTATCAATAATACATCGTAATTTCGACATAGAGTGAATATGTGTGAATTCTGTTAGAAGTCTTACTTGTATTTTTACAAGGTTACATCTCCTGTCGCAGGTAGACGAGATCATGAGCTACGTTCGTGTTGGAAGTGGTGGGGTTGAAGTGCATGTGTAGTGATGTGTAGGGAGAGATAGGGAGAGTGGTAGGAGTGATGAAGTTACTAATATTGTGGCAATGCGTGGTTGTAGGAACCGGCGCTCGTAGTGTATGTTTTAAGGATAATGGTATATGTACGTTTGTTCATCAAACAGTATGACGTTCAGTTTGTACCGTGTTACGTGGACACTTTTGCATATGTTGATATCTGCTCTGCACTTCATAGAGTGCGTGTGGATTTCAGTTCGCAAGAAACTAGATCTGTTGCATAAGAAATGCACGGAAGATGAATATGACTTTATTTCGAGATATGTAAAGTTATTTGATAAAGTCCCTTCACATTTAGTAGTCATTGTAGGTAATGAATCTATATCGTACAGGGATCTGGCAAATGTAGCTGTTTGGTGCATTGCAGCAGGAATTTCGTTCATAAGCTTCTACGATCATCATGGTATGGAATATTCTTGACCTTTATTCGGTCTGTGTTCGTTCAGAAATATATGTATTTCAAGCATAATGCTTGCAGAAGCAGATTTAAGGTTGGCGTTGGTCAGTAAGATAAGGCATCCCATTATCTTGTTTTCAGAATTATTTAATATAGGTATCTTGTATTCCAGGAAATTTAAAGAAGAATGAAACTGAATTATTCAGAGCCCTTTCTGAAGTGACAAAAGGACATCTTGATAACATTATATGGGGGAAGAAAACCAAGACACATGGGTTAATAAAAAGGAATGGAACAAAAAATGGTAATGGTATAATAAACCCTGTATAAAATATTGTCACGTGTTTATGACCCCATGGCCGATAATAATGGGTTTTTGGAATGGATGATTGGATTTATTAACACCTTTTACAATCTCTCCAAATCACAATCAATTAATAGCTCTAACACTAGGACTGGACTCACTCCCATTCTAAAACTACCTTCTGATCAAAGTCAAAGTCACAATGCGACTGATGGTCAGTAACTCAGTCAGTCTTGGTGTTGAGCCCAATCAGGGGCTTATGGTCAGATATTTATTACTATGTGACAGTTTCTGCCTTGTTTTTGTGGGGCGCCCTCTCTGACAAGAGGACAGGCTGTCTTTTGTCAGAGTCATTGTCTGCAGTAGTAAGTCATTTGTCATAATGTAAAGGATATTTACATTTTACATGTTAAATATGTTAATAAATGTATATAAAATATATACAGGGCCTCTGTCAGTCCAGGCTTAGTACAGCAGATCCCTATTTTTAGTAGCTTCCACTATAACAGCAGAGTAGTCACTTGAATGGTTGTATGCTTGACCACCGCCAAGTTTAAGACTCATACTTTATATGTTTCGGTTCTCCTTGCCCAGTATTGTGAACTGCTGTCTGACTTACGACTGGACTACGTACATAGTCTTGAGGCGGACCCATAGAAAACATTTCTGTTGCCCAGATATGCGAACCATGCAGAAAATAACCTCTTCCTCTATTGTATTTACAGTGTGTTGCATAGGAACAGAAGTTATCCAACTGTTGCCTGCATATTCTTTGTCATGGCAATGTGTTTACTGAGTCGTTGCCCAGCAGTGGGTCTACATGCCACAATATTTTTAAGATGTATTTTCAGGTAGTGACTTAGATCTGTACATCATCATTAGAAAGTTTCTAGATTTTATTAACATATGATATGAACCAAAACCACCATAATGAAATCTTGTTGAACATGTGGGACTTTACTTCCCCATCTTTGCTTACTGAATGGCTGATGTGCTCTCAGATATATTTTAGACAGGATAATTCACAGTTAGCATGATAGTATAGTATTTCTAGTTATGCTGGTATGCGAGTTATCTGTTATACACATGCTCCTTTCATCTTAAATGTATTATTATAGTTTATTATTTTATTTGTATAATAACCCATAACCATGCTAAAAAGAAGTTTAATTCCCAGCATTTAGACTTTGTTTCGGAATAGCTGTCATGTACTCTGCAGAGGTATAGTTAGAGGTCAAGTTATCCAAGGGTTTTAATTAAATAAGCACAACACCATGAAGACGTATGGAAGACTGGAATTATAGCTCTCCCATTCTTAACCTTGCCACTAGCTGGAGCTGGGTGGTCAGCTTCACTCCTTCTGTTTTACCCCATGGGAAAGACCCCCTGCTACCCATTGGGTAGAAGGCTGGGTGGGCATCTATCTATTTATTTATTTATTTATTTCATCTCTATAGATCATTGTTATGTGATATAGGACAAGTCAATTACTGTACATTGGCTAAAATTAGCTTAACTACATGTTTCGACTCTGTTAATGAGATTCACAAATGTAAAACTAGATACCTAAATAATCTTTACTTACCTACTGTCAACCTATCAAAATACAGGAAAGTCATATGTAGCAGGCATTAAAGCCTTTACTCATCTACCTCAAGCAATAAAAGTTTTGTCTTCTGATCTGTTAAACTTCAAAGCAGCACTGAAGAGATTTTTATTTTATCACTCTTGTTACTCTATGAAGGAATACTATCAGCATAATTGGTAATACTATGTAAATTATAATAATAATAATTATTTGTAATATATTCTTAGTTCATATATGCATATGAAGGTGTGGGAACATCCCACATACTATGACGCTATTTCTACAGCCCTCACTTTTCACCATCATGCACGCTCACCAATCAAATTGCTTCCAACGTTCGCATTTATACAGTACTCACTGTCTAGTCATTACATGCGCTAGCCAATCAGCGCACAGCAAATTTTTGCTCCTCGATCGTGCTTTGTATAAAAGGGCGCAGCTCCAACTCCGCACCACTGAAACGCATTCAGTCAACATCAGTCAGCAAGCCAGCGCACTTCGTCGCCAGCGCTCGGTCTTCGGAGGCATCGGTACTTCGCTGCGTCAGGCACAGCTGCCACAGCTCTCCGGCAGTCACACCCGACTCACTGGGAAACTCGGCTGCCTCAGCTCATCGGCGGTCATGCCCGACTCACTGGGCAACTGGCGTAGCTACCGCCTCTCCACTCCTGCGACCGCGCTCTGCAAGCAGATGTCTTCCAGCAACCAGGCAACCCCTGGCAACTGCCGCAACATTAATCAACACACCACAACCAACATCTCTTTCTACCAGCGTATGTAGTGCTACTTCACCAGCCAAACATCCTAGCAGCCAATGGTCCTTTTCAGGACCTACAAACTTTCTGAAGAAGTGGGTTGTCATTGGAGTAATGACAAATTCCCGCAAAGGAATATTATCAGCATAACTGGTCATAATATGTAAATTATAACAGAGCTAGCTCAGTAATTATCAGTAATTATTTGTAATATATTTTCAATTTATATATGCAGTTGTCCTATCTAAAATTATTATGGCTCATATTTTATTTAATCTTAAATGTGACCTGCAAATTTGGAATCAACATTTTAATAACCTAGATCTGTTTGTCATTAATTGATAATTATAACAAAGATGGCTGCTGATGGTACAATCTTAAATATGCATTGAAGAGGCTGTTACACCTCTCTAACTTGTATGAACATTTAACATAGAACTGGTTATAAATGTGTGACGCCAGAAGACACCTAATTGGTAATTTAAGTGATTATATGAAATTGTGACTCTGTTTTTATAGTAAGTTATTTAATTCATGTTTTATTTATTTATTTATTATTATTATTATATGTGATTTTATGATGTAATAAGTTTGCCTATCTGCAGCCTGCAAAATTGATGTTAACCTATTGTTGCAAATAATGGACTCATACAATTTTGTGTCTGTATTTTGAAGATTATTTTGATATGTATTTGAAGGACCATTTCCACATCCTGGTTATATACTGTACTAATCTATGGAAAATAAGAAAAATGAATGAATTAATGANATTGTGACTCTGTTTTTATAGTAAGTTATTTAATTCATGTTTTATTTATTTATTTATTATTATTATTATATGTGATTTTATGATGTAATAAGTTTGCCTATCTGCAGCCTGCAAAATTGATGTTAACCTATTGTTGCAAATAATGGACTCATACAATTTTGTGTCTGTATTTTGAAGATTATTTTGATATGTATTTGAAGGACCATTTCCACATCCTGGTTATATACTGTACTAATCTATGGAAAATAAGAAAAATGAATGAATTAATGAATGAATTAAAACCATCATAAGGCAAACCCATGGTTACCATATTCACACACTACTGAACTGCAATTTTGATGGTGAAGCTGGGTACTTGATAATTATTACATTATAAAATACGTGGTAAAAAATACAATGAACTATAAGCTTATCATAAAAATGAAAGTTGTGGTGCAAAATAAGGTTAAAAACTTTTCATATGATATTCCATATCATCAAGTCACTTGTTGCAATTCATTATATTCCCGCAGACATAATGGTATATTCTAGACTTGTATACATGTAATAAACTTCTTGGAGGCCCGTGGTACAGATGTAGTATAGTTTTGACATTAATTGTTTAGCCAGTGCCTCATCGTACGATGTATTTTGTCCATTCTGTGGGGAATATAGATTGCAACTGATGGACTCTAATAAAGAATTGTATATAATAACACAACAGGATGTACGAAAAAAAAAATAATTGTTTCATTTCATTTCATTTATTTCGTGTCCATGGATCATTATACATGATATAAGACATGTCATTCTTGTGTAGTTATAGTATAATAAGTTTCATGATGTTACTATTGGGGGGGGGGGCTGCATGTGAAGCATGCAGTGCAACGTGGAATTTGGGTACCAACTCAGCATTTGCTCTGGGACCAAGGAAAACCACGGAAAACCTTGATCGAATTGGCCGGTCACAAGACCTCCCAGATACACTGGTTTCTAGCAGCACCACTCCCACCGCCTCGGCTAAATATCCCATAGTCCCTGCTGTGTTTTCTCCAGCACATGGCGTCCTGTTTCCTGCAAGAAGAGAGTTACGCAGTATACACTCCTAGTGTGTGTTAAGCTAAGCTCAATTGTTCTTACTTTTAAATTATTATATGATCCTAATGTGAACTAAGTCTTGTCAACATAGGAGAGGAACTCATCTATGCTATAAAAGCAATGTTTTAATAGAAATGTTTTCAAAGTAATTTTAAATTTACATAATGCTGGTATCTCTTTAATGTATTGCGGTAGGTGGTTTAGAAGACGAAGACCAAGATTATTGAAATTGTTTTTACACAAGCTTGTATTGCATGGAACAATGTATAAGTCCTCTTTCCTTCTTGTATTATATGAGTGTACATTTGCATTGGTTATGAAGGTATTCGAGTTGGATTTCATGTAAACTAGTGTTTCATATATATAGAGGCATGGTAGAGGTAATACGTGTAGTGATTTGAAATACTGTTTGCAGCTAGTAGTTTTGGTTACCTGCATTATGGCTCTCTTTTGTAACTTAAAAATCGACTCTGCGTTTGATGAATGACCCCAAAATATCAATCCATATGATTGTAGTAGGGTACAGCATTATAAAATAATCTGATAAAACATGGTAAACAATAAAGGTTACCTTTATCGTGAAGGACTGCAGCATTTGGTTTTACAGGGGTATGAAACTTATTCCAGACCTTGGCCAAAGATATAGGTAATTGCTAGTTTCCTGCTATGACTGCTTTACACTCATGGAAATATTACTCATAACCTGCTGGATGAGAGGTTGGGTGAGCCCCAGAACTGATCCAGATGTAGTGATGAAGAGAAACATCTGTAATTTTTGCCAGTCATTGAACTCCTCTTCTTGAGCCTGTAATTTGTCACTTCATTGACTGAGCTATCCCTGCTCACTCTGTGAGCAAAGGAAACCGAAGTGGTGTTTATTATTTCTATGAGACTGGAAAGAGATTAATCAGTACATATGAAGTATTATTTTTTTCAGGTGTTATATCAACACAGAAGCTTCATGTGAATATTTTTTCTCTGAGTGATGGAAAAGGAGCTTTGGTGCAGCTCGCAAGGAGCATCTGCCAGTCTGCTATCAGTGGTCAAATAAAGTCAGCAGATATTAATCAGGACATAATTGACACGAAGTTACAGGCAGAAATGGACATTCCAGATCCAGAACTTGCTCTTATCTGTGGAGATGTGTGTTCTACATATGGCTTCCTTCCGTGGCAGATACGTGTCACAGAATTTTTGTAAGCTACTTACATGGTTCTTTACTTAACTTAAAATGATACACAAATTTTAAATGACTTAGTATACAACTGAATGATAGCATTACTACATTGGATACAGAATTTATGATTATTTATCCACAGTGATGGAAGGGAGAAGTAGCGTGGAAGTAGCAAATAATATAAAAACCAGAAAGTATACATTATCCCTGTTGCATCCAACCCCCAAAACCACTTAATTATTACTTATTGCCCATGCAACTGATCACTAAAGGGTGAGAAGAATACTTTCCAGACAGAAAGTAGGCTTTGATCAATCGTATTAGGCCAGCGCAAAATGCTCTTAAACTAACTAACTCCATGGAGCTGAGTCCTTGGGAAGCTGCCATTTGATCAGGTGCTCAAGAATACCCCAACTTCATATGGAATACAAAGGTTCAAGACTTTGTTCACAAAAGCCCTGCACTGATCCTTGTCCAGAGCCAAGTGAATCCAGTTCATACCCCCCCATTCTCTTACTCAGAGATCCATTTTAATATTATCCTTTCACATACATCTAGGTCTTCCTGGTGGTCTTTCCTTCTGGCATTTCACCAAATTCTTTTATGCATTCCTCTTCCCCCCATTTATGCCCTGTTCATCTCATACTCCTTGACTTGATCAGTCTAATTAAAACTGTAAAATGGAAAAGTTGCTGTCGGAAGAGAAGATGTACAGTCTACTGCAAATCATTGTAAAGTGTTGCTGATACATATTACTGAAATAGATACAATGGGCAACACTTAAATAATTATGGAAATCTATTAATTAATACCTAAAGGGTTCTAGCTTGCTGAGATCAATCCACAAACCAGATACTTGACAGCCTACTTTAGTTGTACTGTAGATCCCCCATTTAATATTTCCTTGATTTAAGATTTTCTCTTATTCATTGTTTAATTTCAGTGATCTCAATTAGTAATCTTTGTTAAATTAGCTCCATTGAAGATTTTACACAGTTAAATGTTCAAATCCATTGTTCGCTTAGAAACATTTGGGGGGGGGGTTGAGTGTATTGAGTGTACTTCCATCTACAAGTAGTTCACAACCAGTCTGCCATGCCTTTGCAGGTAATGTCAAGCAAAAAAAAGAAAACAACAATGCAACAGTGGTCCTATTTCCAGTTGTGGAGCTACAGATGTTTTCAGATGTGCAACCAACTTATGTCTGTGAATTTGATAGAGGGCAACATTGGTGATAGTTTAACTTCTGAGAAATTGAGTATATGGCAACACTGTTGATAGTTCCAGTTGAATTGTAGCCACTATCAGTTCTCAGTTATTTCTTGCCCTACTTGTGTCTGGTTCGTGCTGAGTCAAACCTGATATTGTGTTGTGGGAAGGTCTGTATGTGTACTTTCATGAATCAGTGGTACACTCCTACTGAATACAATGATATCCGTCACATATATGTATTATGATGATGACAGCAGGGTGGCAGTTGAAGCATATCAGACATTTTCTAAATCACTGAATCCTGAATTTGCAAGTGTTTAATAATACACGCCAGGTATGTCAGACCAGTTGTGAAATCTCTTCTATAGCAGGAATTACAATCCTAATTTAACCCTTGACTGCCAAGCCCCACCACAGAACTACGTACTAGAAATGCCAAGGCTTCCTGGATATAAACACAGTGGCATAGAAAATCCCACAATTTTTCCTCAAATGACCTTCAAATAACAGCAGATACACATCATGTAAAATCTGTTCTCTGAACAGTATCTTGTCATACTTGATGCTGTCTATAGACTGAAATGCTGTAGCTGTCATGAATACTGGGGGTGAAGCATGATGCTGATCAAAAGCCAAATCAAGTATCAGAGATTAAGAATTTGTAGAACCTTGCTCCATTTTATCTGCATGTCTAACGAATGGAATTGTTTATCTTTATATTTACCACTAGATTCCTTGAAATTCTATGATGTGTACATAAAAAACATGTATTTAGCTTTTGGTTTGGTTATGTGGCGGTAGATCATGAACATATCTACAAATTCCATGTGAAAAGTATTTAGTAAATGTTGCAAGAGTGCAAAGTTCTGGGAGTCATGTTCTCTATTGTTCATAAATTTGTCACTAAATTGTATAATTATTAATTTATAGATGTTGCTAGTCTCACCATGTAGATTGAAACATTTGAAGGAATGTAGATATTGTTAAGTATTTACAGAACTTATCTGTAATTGTGTGTTTATCATTTCAGACAGCTGCAGTCGCATCATAACATTCAAGTAAAGGATTTCCTGTTACTCTTAATGCGATATGGAAAATGTGCACAGAGGTTTGGTAAATGACCTGGGGTGATAGATGTTAGCATGTGAATTATGTGAAAGAACCTTTAGTGAACAGACTGATGCAAGGATGTTTTCTTGACTGTCAAATCCCCACCTACCGGCAGAGTTCAGCCAGGATATCAATGAAGCCACTGAACTCTTACAACAAGAATTAATTTAATAATCTTGGGCTTCAGATTTGGAGTTATCAGAACCACCATTAAAATGAAATATAAATATTTTCACTTTTAATACTATTAAGAGTTAACTTAGAGAAGTAATTATGTGGTCACCGAAGTACACACTGTTGTCCATGATCCCTAGTTGCCCCCCCTTCCTGTCCATGTCAATAGAAACGGACATTTTGCAGAATCCAGAGATGCCAGTGTAAATTAAAAGTCAGTGGTTACTGTTGGTTTATTTTAATTCTGTTTCAGTCAGAATTACACTATGTTTGGTTAGTTTGTATGTGTTTCCCGCCCCCAGTTTTGGTTTCAGAAACTTTACAAGGCATTAATTGTTGTGACCTGATGTTTTATAGCATATAATATGTGCCTTGCTATTTTAATCAAAACTGATACAGGTTTATGTATTGGGAACATTCCAGATTTGTTAAAATTAGGGTCTTCAGGGATGTGATGGGTCACTGATAGTCTGGTAAGTAGCACTTTTAGTGAAATTGGTTTCTCACTGACCTGGTCCCAGCCCTCTCTTCCCAATATTACATACATTTTATCTTTGCTTATATCACTTCCCCCATGAAGATTGAGGCGGCAGTGCCTACCAAAATGTTGGTACCTGTCTACAAGACAACATGGTTTCCGAGCTCAGAGGGCAGTAATTGTAAATGCTGTTGGCCAGATTTAAATCTTCACTAGCACAGTGCTGATGGATATATTTAAACTTGGGAGGTACTGGGGTTTACACTGTAAACAATGTGACACTAAACCTGCTGGGGCCTGCTTAACCAGCACTGTTGTGAGGCACACATGTGATGGTTAATATTCACTGCCATGAGGACCTCAGATCTCACTCCAGATTTGTTTTTAAGGGGTACCTGGTTAGAATGCGAGGTTACTGCTTAAAATGACTGAGATGATTTATTGGTCTCTTCAGTCTCTGCAAGGATGTTACGTTGCAGTATGCTCTAACCAGGTCTTTACAGATCATTGCCTATTCACCATTTATTATCATTTGAGTCTGTATACTGTCTGAAGTTGAAACATGTTAAACAGCCTAGAAATCAGTTTCAAACAAGTTATTTACAGTTCCATCATTTTTATTGTTATTATTATTATTCAGTACAAAGCAACCAAGTTATATGAAATTGTTGGTCATCATACATCTTTGGAAAGTACGAGGGTAAATCAGTAAGTAAGGCAAATGTAAACATAGCTTCAACACAGTTGTTGTCTTTTCAGGCTTTATATGGATGTGTTTGTTTATAATTGTGCAAAGGGCTCGATTGAGGTAGCAGTGAGGCTACCCTTAGCAAGACCTCATTATCAGACCTTTTTCTGCTAGCGGATTATTCGGTCTGTAAATCAGTGTTAATGACCAGTGACTAAGCCTGTTTTCCAGCTTGTTATGTATTCATTCTTTGCATGCTCAAGGTGTACCAGCACTCACTTTTACATCTTACTGCTTTTGATTTCCTGTATTATAAATTGTATTTATGGTAATGTCATATGCAGGAACCCTTATACACTAAACTTCTGTTCCAACCACTGTACTAGTGATGTAACCTTAGTATAATGACATCTGATGTCACTTCAAGACAGTTGTAGCCTCTTCCAAAATTCTGTATTTTAAATATACACTAAGCAGGGTCCAACATGGTATGGTGTAAAGATTTTATGTGTTAAATTGCAATGTTACATTGCACTGACTTAACTCAGTAGGCCTGAGTTGGTTTATTTGTGGAAGAAGTGATTCTTCAGCATTAGCTGCACTCATATCTGTAAACTTTCCAAGAACTATAAATGATTAAAATGAAACTGCCTGAACCTTTCAGGAATTATTTGTCAATGTATCAAAGTGGAAATGTTAGTAGTTTTGAAAGTGTTCTGATGATTGCATATAATGCCCAGAATTACTGGGTTTCTGGACATGATCTGTCATAATGATGAACAAAGTCAAGAAACCCAGTAATCCCAGAGAGAAATGTTAATTTCCAGTTTCGTGTATGTGTGCTGAGAGGCCGTTTCTGTAAAAAGTAAATCCCAGACGGGCAAACCTCAGTGATATATAGGTGGCACAGTAACTGAGGTTGTCCGCATGTGTATGTGAAATGGCAATAGTCACAAAATATATCTGTGTACAGAAATGTCATTTTATCCTTAGGAGGTTAGGTTGAGACACATCACATTATTAATGGCCAGTGCATTCACCCATTTCATTAGTTTGTTGTTAATGCAGGCAAAAATATTGCTATTACACAAGCAAATTCAATCATTCCATTTAAAGTGACTGTCATTTGGGAAGATGTAAAATATCTGTTATGAAAATACAGTAAAATAGTTACTGAGTTCCATGATATGTTATCATTTGGTGTCTGTATATATAAAATGTTCTTGTTATCATAATTTTATATGTAAATCTTTTCTGTTCAATAATTCCATCACCAAAACTTACTTTCCAAAGTAAAGTGAAATCCCTATTTAAGGTTTCTTTTTGAAGCAATGTATTTGAATGCTTAACTGAGAAAAATCTTAAATTTATGTAATTTAACATGGAAGTTGTTGATTTGGGATCATTGAAATCAAAAGTTAAATGAAATGAAACCTTAAATGGAGGTCCACTAAACTGCATTTGTTTTAACCCATTCCCTATTTCAGTAATAAGAATAAAATATGCCAGCTGGAGGCTGCTCGGTAGGTATCTGATTGCCAGTGATGCCAATACAGTATTTTATATAGCTGTATTTTGTATATACATTAAGAAGACATAATTATAACAGAGAGATTCTCATAAACAACCACCAGCTTCATTCATGAATAGGAATGAAATGTGCAAAACTTACAAATGTAAAATTTTTGCTTTTGCAGTTTAGTTTCATGTTATGAAGTTTTCCAGTATTTTGCCATTCAGTCCATTCACCATCTTCAGGGTAAATGCAGAGGAAGGAATATGCAGCCTTATATGTAGGTCTTGCAGTAGAAGTAAGGTTGGGCATGTTCAGCTTGGTGCTGTCCAGTGGGTATATTGCAAGACGTCAGAAATAACCAAACTTACATAGCTCAGTCACCGAATGATTGACTGGATTGAGGTCCCCAAAGGAGAAATATCTTCTGTTTCAGTGCATGAGAACCCCTGCACCATTCTGTTCACTGGGTATTGAAGGCTCTTTCCCTATCCCATTCATATGTCATCTTACCCATTTACACCTTATAGTCTAACTACTGACAGCATTGTTAAAATCTTTATTTAATACATTCTCTATATTGTGAATTTTTAACAAAATATTTTATTTTGTGTACGTCATGTATCAGTAATGTGATCAGCCATGAAGCAATGTAGTTTCTCTGTAATTAATGAATATCAAGGCTGGTGAATTGTGGAAAATAACGGATTGATTCTAGAAGATTATGTACTCAGTTTACCCCAAATTGGAGTACACATTCCCATTTCATGTTTTTATTGGAAGTCATTAAAGAAGCTATAGTGGGAAGAGGAATATGAGACTAAATTAGGATTGAAATCATGGTCTTCTTGGTTATGACATAGTGTAGTTTGGTAGATAGGTATCAGCGTTTTGGAGGAGCGTACTGCTCGAAGGATTAAGACCTGCTTCTGTCTTGAAGGTCAAGGCAGGGTGTTCACATAGATGTTGGTACCTGTCTACCTCACTACAAGTTGTCACATCCCAAAAGTCAGTAATATTCACAATACTGCCATGAGAACATCACGTCTCATGAATTTCTGTTTTGTAAACTTAAAGTTATGTTGCATTTTAATGAACAGAGGCTGAAATACAAGGTTTGCATGGGGGTGAAGGTTCTTGTTGTGGATATGGGTTAAGATACCATGTAGTCTGGCAGGTTATTACCATTGTGTCATAGGAATATACTACCTCCATATTCAGCTATCTTGAAGTGGAAGCAACATGTTTCTTCAAAATGTTGGTAGACACCTGCAGGACTAGCATCTCATATCCTAGCAGGAAACAGTCAAAATGATGGTTGTGTTTGTGGTGTAATAAATGGAAAGACATCAGATTTATTAAAATACTTATTTATCAATGATTAGCTTGAAATAATCAGTTTTATGCTGATACAATATTGGAATCTTTCACCGAGGCCAAAGTTGATAAAATTTCCTCTGGAAAGAGATGGTCCCTAGAGCATCAGTTTTGCTGTTTAATAATGCCATTTCCTTTTTAAATGTTATAATCCATTATTTTAGCCATAACAGAAGTGCCATTATTATTTTGTGAAGCTCGTTGGTATCAAGTTCATGACTATTGTCAAGTTGTTTCACGGGAACAGATAGGCATAAATGATCGGGTATATTTTTGCAAGTTTAAATTGTGAAGGCCTCATAGATTCATTCATTAGACTGTTTGAAATGTGTTGTTCAGTTTGGTCGAAGTTTTGTTTATTCTGCACACTTAAATTATGGCAAAGTTGTTGCTGCCGGTCTACAGCCCATATACCAGAAAGCAGTCGGTGTTTCAGGCATTTGGAGTTTGGCATTACATAAAAGAGGTCTTAAGCTTTGCTTTCCGTGTGTTTTCTCCTCAAGGAAAATTATGTTAGCTATAAAGTTAGAAGGGCCACGCTCTAGCATAGTTGGTTGAAGCACTATGCTATAAGCTGGAGGGTCACAGGTTTGATTCTCAATGTCATCGGACTTTTCAATTGACTGAATCCTTCCAGCTGCACTATGGCCCTGGAGTGAACTCAGCCTCTAACAGAAATGAGTACCAGGAATCTTCCTGGGGGGTTGAGGGTGGCCGGCATGTAAGCCTGACAACCTTACTGCCATCTGTGATCTGTGAACTGCTTGCCTAGAGGAAATATGGGGGCCTTCATGGCCTCTTACCGGAATAGCTTTACCTTTAGGAGTTGGGCTAGCGCAGTCAGTACAGTGACTAGCTACAGGCTGGACGACCAAGGGGTCGGACTTCAAGTCCTGGTGGGGGCAACAGTTTTCATTTATTCGTTACCCAGCAATGCTCTGGCCGTCCATGTTACGTTACTCACATAATGCATAATGAATAGTGCAATCTGTACAGTGATTGGCTATGGGCTAGATGGCCGAGGAGTCAAGGTTCGAGTCCCAGTAGCTGCAAAATTTTTCTCCTCATCAAGACCGGTTCTGGATCCCACCAAGCCTCCTATCCAGTGGACACTGGGGGTAAAGTGGCAGGGGCGTGAAGCTGACCACTCACCTCCAACTAGTGCTGAGGCCAAGGAAACATGGGTCTATACATCTGCTCCTCCATAAGCCTTCATGGTATAGTGCTTAATTAGTTAAGCACAGGGACAACTTTACCTTACCTATGTATACACACACACATATGTATGACTAGATTTCACTTAGTATTCCAGGACAGGCTTCTCCAGAGTACCTATACATCTGGAAGCCATTCCTAAAACTATGAGTCGGAATGAAAACCAAATTACCTCAGCTAAGGAGTTCACTCCTTTTAAAGCTTTCTTCCAAAATTAAGTAAGAGGAGGGCCTCATGTGCCTGTCACCTATTGTCATCCTCTAAAACACTGGACAGATTTTCTTGAAATTTGATATGAAGATATTTCAGTAAAAATTTCTGGTTTTTGGCCATAAGCTTATTGATCCATAATGAAATATGGTTTACACAAAACTATGAATGGAATGTTTTAATATGAAGAAGTGGAAGAAAGGGAGGAGGAGAAGAGTGGAAAGGAATACTGAAGAGAGAAGTGGAGGTGTAAAGGTAAAGAGGAATGGAAGAACAGTGGTGAGAGGACTGATTTGGTGTGAAGGAGAAGGAAGAAAGGATGAGAGGAATTAAGATAGGATGGATAAATGAAAGGACAAGAAAAAGATCACAGTGAAATAGGAAATAGATGTACAAAAGGAATAAAGGAAAGGAAGAAATAAGTTATTTTGTCCATCCTCCATGATATGTCATGTTTGTTATAATATAATATGAATAAAATTTCAATCACCATGAAAATTATATGCACCTTGACCAGCTGGCACCGCCAGTTTTACAGGTCAGCCATTCAATTTTTGCTGATCACCCTGAAGTATTTGCAACAAAAGTCTTTTTCAAACACTCTCAATTCTTGATATTAACATTTATCATATTTTCTTATTTTCCCAAGAATCTGGGTGTATAAGGTTTCCTTTTTGGCCGTTCATCTAAACAGCCAAAAAGGAAACAACTAGACTTGACAACAGTGCAAATCCTTAAAGAGCTAAAAAAGGGGACATCACTGTGTGGACCTCTGAGGATGCCAAACAATGCCCCAACTTTCTGTTTTAGCATAGAGACACAAGGACACAAGTCATATTGGTTCAAGATGTTAAATATGAGACATTAATAAGACTTTTAATCTAAAGAATTGCAAATAATGGCTTCTAAATATGTATTATGAGTTTCGTAATGGTAGTTGCTGAACATGTTTATATAATTCATGCCTTCTGAAGATGGTCACAGCTGACCAAAACATGTAAATTCAGTAAATATCTACAAATTGAATCACACTGGACGGTGTTATCTGTTACTTTGTAATTTAGTTTACTAGTGTGAAGGACCAGAATGAATAAAAGTTAAGTTTTTTATGGTTGTTCAGCCTGAGAGCTTGACTTTGAAAGATCAGGAAGAACTTTATGTGAGCTGCAGTCTGATCATCCTCTCAAGATGAGATTTACTGACTTATCCCTGGACAAGTTCTGAATTTCTGTGATAGAAGAGTATCCTTCCATTTACAGGAAAGCAATAAACATATTACCCCAGTTTTCTCATTCTTACATTCATAAGCAACCTTTTTCTTGTTTAAGAAGAATTAAGAGCAAAGGTAGAAATTGTTTCATTTCTGCTGAAGATAACTCCATGTGTGCTTATCTAAAGTTCAAGTCAGAATTAAATATTTGTGCAGCAAAAAAAAAAGCACAGATCTCACATTACAAAAGTAAATTTCATTCTTTATTTTAGTTTAAAAATTAACACTGTTTTATATGATATTTTTGTTCATATTCCTTTGATTTATCTGTAGGCTTTCAGTTACCTTACTATTGAACATTGCCAATAAATTTAATGTTGTAAATTGCACTAATTAAGATCAGTTTATGACATTTATAATTTTGTGCATAGGTTCTGTGAGACTTGAAAATTATTTCAAGGGTTCCTGAAAGGCAAAAAGTTGAGAAAGGCTGTGCTAGGTTAACACAAAATAATCAGTTGGCAACTGAATGGCCAATGCCAGCTGGACCCTGGCCACCATCCATTACAGAAAATCAATGAAAACTTCCAGCCAGAGCTGAACTCAACTGAACAGCACCCATAGTGCTGACAGTAAGAATGAATGAAGCATTACCTCCATGCCATGGTGGATTAATTACAAAGAACCAGCTTCATTTCTGAACAGAACAGCCTTCCCTGTTATAATTCCACATAGTTCAAAAGTAGCCTGACATTTCAGAGGGACATATCACCTCCACATTGAGGGTTGATGGTTCTACTTGGCAACTACATGTATATTATTTTTGCATTGGGTAGTCTTATGACCCTGAAGATAGAGGCTCTTCCGAAACCTCCGGCCCAATCCCAAGTACGTGGCATAACATCCAGCTACAAGACTTTGATGTCATTACTTAACAATTCATCACTCCGCAGGACACTGAAGTAAGAAACAATTTCTGCAACAGGTATGTTTTATCCAGCAACCCTTCGATGTTTTTCCTGTTGACTGGTACAAAAGCATGGGCACTTGTTAATTACTAAACACAGCACTCCACATATGTGTCTACAATGATGTCCAAATTAAACAGAGATATAAAATGACTGTTAAATATCTATCTGTCTGTACTTTTGAATGTGTACAATGCTTGGTCTCTCATGTTAGGAGAAGAACTTGGACAGAAGGTGTTTGAGAATGTGCTGATGAGACAGTTTGAAACTGAGTAAGTGGAAGTAGCAGGAGTCTGGAGGAAAGTATGTAATGAGGAGCTTCTTTATTTTGTACTTGTAGCCAACATTATTAGGATGATTAAATGAGCAGAGCATGTAGCACGCATAGGAAAGATCAGAACCACATTTTGTTTTGAAAGCCTGTCGCGGAGGTTCCTGATGAAATATCTGGGTACACAATGGAGGAAAACATTAAAATTATTCTTTAATTAGAATGAGAGGTTGTGCGACTTGATTTTACTGGCTGAGGTTAGGGAACAGTGGTGGGCTTTTTGTGGGCGTGATAATGAACCTTCGAGTTAGGTAAATGAGAGACTATTGCTAGGCCTGCTAGCTTCCCAAGAAGGATTCTGCACGATGTAATTTGTTACTTCGTTTTTTATCCCGAACGTTTATGTCGGGGAAAGTTGTCTGTAACGGTCTGTATTGGCCACACTGCTCATATGCTAAATGCATGTGATCACATGGCGTCACATGTTGATTGGCTTCGAGCGCTTCGAGGGTTCGAGGGCTTCGAGCGCTCTGAAGTAGCATGTTATAGTGAAGCGGTGTTACCGGTATATACACTGGAGACCCGGATTATATTTGGTTTAATAAAAGACTCTGTATTTGTAACGTCTACCAATTTTAATAAAATACGTCTGTAATTGTAGCGTCTACCAATTTTAATATATGAACAAAGTAAGTAATATTGTGAGATTTTGTTTTGTGGTAATTGTATCCAGTAATATTCGGCGTGCTGGAAAGCTCCCAGAAAAAGTTGTTATTTGTATGTTTCGTTGTTGGTACACATAAGTACGATGTAATGTCACTTTATAGAAGTCCATAAAAGTTGGGTTTATTGTTATATAAGAACACAGTACACCACCTTTTATAAAAATGCGTACACAGTGTACAGTTGCATTACAAGGAATACTCATACGTTTGACCTGAATTTAAAAAGAAGTAAATGTGAGAATACTTACTGAGTGGGAAATAATGATTCAAGAATGAAGTATGTGATGGAACATAATAGTGGTTAGAAAAAGGGAAGAGTTCGGAGAGATTGGAGCATATTTAGAACTCAGTGACAAGTGCAAGTGTGACGTTTTAACCATGAAGTGCATCAGTAATTACAATAATTCATCGCAAAATCATGTACCATACTGAAATAGTGCAAGGCCATAACATCTAAGCTGTATTTGATAAGTGTCCCTGTCACCACATTCTGGAAGTTGGCCAGCATTTTTATGTACCAGGTATTGTCCATGATTCAGATGTCCACCATGAATGAATGAATGAATATATGAGGGGTGGACCATAATAATCCAACACATTGCACCATACTGATATGTTGGGTTTTTGGACTTTATCCATCGTCCTGGTTTTTAAGATAACAAATAAAAACACGACGTTTCGGAAACTGGATCTGTTTCCACTGGATCACTGGTCCAGTGATTGAGGCTAGCTCATTCTAACGGACCCAACTGAATAGGTGTTTTCCTTCACCTGAGGACGGAAACAGATCCAGTTTCCGAAATGTCGTGTTTTTATTTGTTATCTTAAAAACCAGGACGATGGATAAAGTCCAAAAACCCAACATATCAGTGTGTTATACACCATCGTCAGAATCCTATAGTAATTACATTGCACCATGACCTTCAGTGATCTAAAAGTGTCCACCTTGTCATGATATGCTAAAATTATGAGAGATATGAAATCGGGTTACATTTCTAAATCAACTGGACAAGCATGAACTGCTCTAGGTGGTGCATGTGGAGTTAAATTTCATATTGCACATGACACCTGTATAAATTTGACCTTGAAGAAATAATAATTAACCTTCATTAAGAACCAGTTAGGCTGGTGTAGCACTATTGTTCTAATTAATATTGAGGATGTACCTGCTTTGAATCTCAAGTTTGCCTATACTGAGTTCTTTTGGTTTTCTTCATTCTCTTCAGTCACATGCCAAGGTGGTGTTTCCAACTAGGCTACAGCTGACTCCTTCCTATTCCTTACCTACTTCCCTGTAATAATAATCTGTCATCCTTATTCATCTGCATGTTGACCCATCACTGTGGTTCAGCATGTTGTGTATGGCATTTATTTACTGTATGTGTGTTTTAATATATGCCATACATGTGGCTGTAAGCTTAATTTCTGTGGTCTGTAAATAGGGAATGAATAACTGCTATGTGATGAGGTTTTCACTGGCCAGTTACAGAATGAATGAACAGGTCAGTCTTAAGTATATATAAATTCATGACCCCTTAGTTATCATGGCCAGCCTGTAGTACACTCGTGGAGCTTGAACAAGTAGAAGTTTTGAATGAAATTTTAGGCAGTGAAAATGTTGGTGAATTTAGTTTGGATAGTGACAGCATTTTTGACAGTGATTATGCACAACTGGTGCTTCTAGGAACACAGTGATTAGTGATAGTGGGAGCACTAATGGTGGTGATGAACAACATGAAGAAAACATAAGTGTATGATTGGGAGAGGTGTCAAATTAGTTTGTATGGCAAAATATAGGTCCATTTCCTGCTTCACAAAAAAAATTGTGATGTGTATGATTACCAGCGTGATTATTGCTGACCTGGATGCCATGAGTACATTTGAAAACATTTTTGTGTAGCCTTTGCACAATTAACTGTAGGTGAAACCAGCAAATATGCCTAGTTAGAAATTTTGAAAAGTGTCGGCTCTCTCACATTTCACTCCAGGATTAATAAGTGGGAATATGTTACGGTGGACGAAGTGGCCATGGTTTTTACTCTCTTTTATGTTGGTGGGCATTGTACATAGGCCTGTACTTAGATTTATAACCAGTCATTACTTACTGGTCTAATTCCTAAATGGTAATTACTCAGGACTTAATACCAGTCTTGTGCTAAATGTGACTTATACTCAGTTTTGCATTAACTATTCTAAGCATTTGCAGTGAGGAATGTTTAGATAAGAGCTACTAGAAGGATCTTTGATAGCTGGTGGGACATATGAATCGCTTACCTCATCCCACTAGCCTGCTTAAAGAAACTTCCAGAACTTTCTAAATCTGTAGAACAGTGTGGGAGCTTCGAGAATAATCTGGAAGTGGAAGGTTCTGGGATATTACATCATCCATGAGTATTTAAAGGACTGATTTTTGAAGATGCTAGACAGGCAGACAGACGGATTATCAGAGTACAAATCCAGCCTGTGTATATAGTACAATAGTGTGTACATGTATTCATTGTGACTATTGGGTGTTGTGCACAGTTGCATATGAGCACAGTTGTACCCATGACCTAAAGTGACTGACTTGTAAAAACGTGTACTGCTGGCATATAAATCAAGTATGTCATTTCATCAGATAAAGCGTGATCCATGGACTTCTTCTGCAAAACCTCTCTTATCTGAGCAAGGCCCATTAAGCTCTGAAGAGAATCTCATGCTCAGACCCTGCACACTCTTAAGACATTCTTGGCATTTCGAAGTTGTTCTAAGACCATGTGTCATCCACAGCCACAACCGAGGCTACTTCAACGAGGGCAGAAAAGGACAGTCAAAGATTGTACCACTCAAAGGATCGACTCTTATTCATTCCATTTTTTTTTTCCTGAGACCTTACCTCTGGAAAACTCAGAGGTAACAGTAAATTTATACACTTTTCTGAAGATAGTAACCACATGAGCTTACCACTGCACCGTATACTTTCAGTCATTTCAGTCGGATCTACATTTTCATACCATCTGTTTCTAAGATTCTTTTCAGTATTTTCCTCCCATTTGTACTTGCATGTTTTTATCACTTTTCCTTTCAGATTTTCTGATCAGAGTTTCATATGCAATAATCATTTCATTCCTGCCCAGCTCATCTACCTAAGAATACTGGGCAAAGAGTATGAGTTGTGAATCACCCTATTTAAAACTTTCTCTTGCCTCCTCTTCCTATTTCTTAAGCCAAATTATTTCCTTCAACACTTTGTTACCAGACACCCTTAATCTGTAGTTCCTCTCTTGCTGAGAGACCATCTGAGGGTGTTTGAGAACAGGATGTTGAGGAGAATATTTGGACCGAAGAGAGATGAAGTGACAGGAGGATAGAGACAACTGCATAATGAGGAGCTTCATAACTTGTACTCTTCTCCAAGTATAATTAGAATGATGGAGTCAAGGAGGACGAGGTGAGCAGGGCATGTAACACGAATGGGGGAGACGAGTAATGCGTATAGGATATTGGTGGGAAAGCCAGAAGGAAAGAGACCACTGGGAAGACCAAGGTGTAGGTGGGTGGTGAAACGTGAAAAGGGCTTGAAGACCGAAATTTGGTTTTTGGGTAGGATGTACCAACTCAAAGACACTATAACAAATATATCAAATGACAATATATATATTAAATACTAAATGCCAATACAACGTAAGTCCCTGGAGGTAATAGGCCTCCGCCAATCAAACAATCAAAATCGTACACCCAGGAGAAGAGTGAATCGACTGAACAGTTCAAGCTCCCACAGCAGAATGGATCACTCGCGTTGGACCTCAGCGGTCCGGAACCAGGAAGTGGAACAGTGGTATGGGGAAGGTAGTAAAAGAGGGGGACGCCCTCTGACATAACACAGACACGGCGTTACAGTGGACAGTAATAAAATGGATCTTAGAGAGATAGGATGGGATGGTATGGATTGGATTGATCTGGCTCAGGATATGGACCAGTGGAGAGCTCTTGTGAATTCAGTAATGAACCTTCGGGTTCCATAAAATGCTGGGAAATTCTTGAGTAGCTGCAGAATTGACGGCTCCTCAAGAAGAGCTCAGCTCCATGAGTAAGTAAGTAAGTATAAAATACAAGTATAAGGTCGAAACAATAGTTTTGTGTGTTTTAATCTTTGTTTTTGAATAGAACTTGTAATCATAGATGATTCAGAACGGATTGTTAACAGACATTTTCAGAATTAAATGTGCCTTAATTTTATTGTGAATATAATAATTATTTGTTGTTGCTTTCGTTCCTAAATATCAGGATTTGGCCACATTTTCAAAGAAGTTATTTATTAATTATCTCGGAGGATCATGAAGTGCTGGCATTTTGTGTGTTGCAGGATTACAATGGAGCAGCCTGCAGAACCAAGTAAACTTCTGCCCATTTCTCAAACTGTGTAAGTGTGCCATTTGTTGTGTTTTGATGTGAAAAAATTATTGAAATAGTAAACAGCACGGAGTTACCATAAAAAATAGTGGGATCTCTTGCAGTTGCAACTACAAGGGTTGGAACTTTAATAGTGGCAACTATTTATTTACAACTGATACAAAATAGAAGCATGTTTCAAAGTTTTACTGTCCTTCAGTGTAGTCACCAGCATTGTGTACAACCCATTGCCAGCGACGTGGAAGTTGTAGGATACGTTAAGCAGCGCCTGTTGTGTTGATAGTTCAAATGGAGCGGTCTGCTGCCGGAAGAATCTCTGGAACAGTTCTGAAGCGAATGCCACAAAGTGGTTCCTTCATCTTAGGAGTCAAGTCGAAGTCACAAGGGCGTAAGTCTGGGGAGTATGGTGGATGGAACAAGACTTCCCAGCCCCATCGATCGAACAATCAGCCACAGCTTGCGCTGCATGCGGCCAAACATTGCCCTGCAAAACGATGGGTGGGTTCTGCAGAAAGTGTTGCCGCTTCTTTCTCAAACCTGGTCACAGGTTTTGTTCCAAAAATGAACAGTAATACTGCGCATTGATGGTGTGCTGTCAGGGAACGGTATGCGTTAGGATAACACCATCACAGTCGTGCACGAGAATCACCATAACTTTCACATTGCTGGGGTTCTGACGAACTTTTGATTTTCGTGGTGACCCCTAATGATGCCATTCGTTTGATTGGCGTTTCATTTGTGGCTCATACAATTTGGCTCATGTCTCATCCAGCATAATGATGTGGCGTAAGAAAGCCTCTCCTTCGCGCTCATAGCGCTCCAAGTGGTTACGAGCAGTGTTGTATCGTAGCCATTTCTGCATTTCCATCAAATCATGCAGAACCCATCGTGATGCACTTTTTCTCATGCCCAGGTGTTCCTTCAGAATGTGAAGCACAGTCGTATGTGCTAATCCTTTTTCTCGAGCCAGCTTATGAATCGTATGGCGTCGATCACTCTGTAGTAACGCAGAAAGAGCATACACTTCTTCACTGACACTAGGATGACCTGGCAGACGGATGTCTACCACATTTTGGCGTCCCTTGTTGAAGGTTTTTATCCACCTTGCCACTGTTCTGTAAGGCAAAGCAGATTCCCTGCAAGCCTCTTGAAGATCTTGATGACACTGTCATGATGTATGGCCTCTGGTACATTCAGTCTTTAACCAACTCCATTGTTCCTGTTTTGAAGACATCGTGACAACACTACATTAGACTGCCAGCTAACGTGAGGCTCTGTTCTTCTCGCCACTGCGCATGCACGTGATGTGGGAAGGGAGAGTCCATTTGCTCTGAGGTAAGGTAGGTATGTAACTAACGTGTGGTATAAATGACATTATTTGATTCCATTACATGGCATCTCTACAGCAGTGTTGCCAGTATTAAAGTTCCAACCCTCATACATGTGCACATACATCCATTTCCAATGATGTTTCTCACATGCATGGTTTCAACATTTCTGATGTCATATGTGCTGTAGTTTGGTGGATGGCCTATGATGTCACACATAACTTATACATGTTTTGCCACATATGTTTTGAAGTAATTTCAGATATACTGCAGTTATTCTGTTGGTTCTGTCAGGGCTCTTACCCAGGCCTGCATCCAGATCACATTTCTTCATATGTTGTTGACTTTCCTTGCTGCTTGCCTCTTGCTTCCTTGGCTTGTTCTTTGAACCTGAAGATAGAAGCAGTACATTCCTCCAAAACATCTGTAAATTTCTACCATACTGCATGATGCTACTTTCCACAAGATGGCACTCTTCAGATCCAGATTTGTCGGCAGATTAGGGCACTGTACATTAATTTACTAATTTAATCTGAGCTATCCACGTGTGGAGCATCCACTTTGCGGATTAACCGCAGGACATTTATAACCCTTCATATATTGCTTACAGCTTCCCTAAATGATTTTAGTGTTACCCATTGCTTATATTTCAGTAAAGTGTATCAGTGTTTCTTTACAATGATTTACAGTAAGTAGATTATATATCTTCTCACCCTCTTGCAATGTCTGTTTTATTTTATCATTTTATCACTGGCCTACCGCTGAACAGGGGTTGCATCTTTCTGTCTCACTCTTCAGTGACAGTTGAATGGGCAGTAGGAAGTACAGTCAACTCTCGATTATCCGGGCTAATGGTGGGGATGGAAGTCACGGTTAATCGAAAACCCGGTTAAGCCAAATTTTATTATACGGGCTGGACGACTGTGAAGGGTCGGAGTTCGAGTCCCGGTAGGGTCAAGAATTTTAACTTCTCCAAATCGTCCAGACCGGCTCTGGGGTCCATCCAACCTCCTATCCAATGGGTACCGGGGGCTCTTTCCCCGGGGGTAAAGCGGCCGGGGCGTGAAGCTGACCACTCACCTCCAACTAGTGCCGAGGTCAAGAAAATTTGGATCTATACATCCACTCCCCCACACGCCTTAATGGCGTAGGGCTTAATTCGTTGAGCAGAGGAACAACTNGATTTTCAGAGTTGACTGCAGCATTGATAGTGGGTATTACCTGATTTTTTATTATATATTGTTTTTAATTATCTATGTTGCTTCTTCCCTCTGTTTCTATTAATCAAGAAAATTTTATATTATGTTTGTGTAGGGTTTAATAAACATAAGTAGAACACAAATTCTGTTTGAAGTTTATTGGTTTGTGATTTTACGGGTGTGTACTGCAGAGGTTCAAATGCATGGTCACTGTACTGTGAAGCTGTTTCTTGTGGTATTAAGCTGGTTTTGATATGATACGGAAGTATACAGATAATATTTTGACTGTTATCTTCACTAAAAATGTGATGTTTTGTTTTACATGGCTGTGTTGTGTTTTGAGGGGTTAAGTATGTTTGTTGCTTTATATTGGACTGCTGGGAGTTGTCATCCATGGTTGGTAAGCTATGGCAAGGTGATATTGATCAAAAAGGGATTGCATTGTACATTCTTTTATATTGTTTTGTTCATGTTTAAGAGTTGTTGACATGTAGTGTTTGGCTGTTTTCAACCGACTTGCCCAATTGTGCCTGTGTTATGGATGTTAAATAAATTATTACGTTGTTGTTGTTGTTGTTGTTGTTGTTGTTGTTGGTCGACTCTATTCATTTAGCCCCTTGTAAGATCTTAAATTAAGTATGCAAATTAATTTGGTGGGTTGTAATTTTGTGTTGTTGTACAAAATCAGGTGCTTCAAAGGAACAGATGAAAGTAACAGTGCCGAAGTATTCTGTGAGAAAGTGACAATTATCCCCAGTTCAGGTCAGCATGAGACTGGCAGCTCAAAGGTGAAATTGAAGAATGTCGTGGACTTCAGTTGGGAGTTGCGATTTTATACAGGTCAACTCCTCGCTGTTCATGTTGGTGGGAAATATTTAGCATATGGAATTAAAGGTAAGTCTTATACATTGTTATAATGCCACATAATTTATTCATATGTAGTGGTATTTTGCTGCTGTACAAGAACTGTACAAGAGTTAAGAAGTGTACATTGAGTGCCGAGTTCCTATAGTTTCTTGAGGAAAATGTCAGGCTAGTATCTTCAAATAAACTATGCCCTCCTTACAAAATCTTATCAAGTCATTTGGGTGTGGTGTAACATTTGCAATGGAATTGTTAAATAAACAAAGAACTGGTTAGTGAATACTCTTTTCTTTTTTAATTCGCTTAGTGGGGGGTGGAGTCCAACTGGGTCGACTCGGCACACCGGCCACTGATTGGCCTATTGTAGCCTGCCCTGGGTGATTATGATGATGGAGAATTTTATGGAATGAAGATTGTAGGGGAAACCGAAGTACTCTGAGAAAACCCACCCCAGCACCACTTGACCAGACCCGGGATCAAACCCGGGCCACCACCGTGGGAAGCCAGTGACCAACTGCTTGAGCTATGGCACAGCCTAGTGAACAGTCTTGCTTTTCATCATTTAGGAACTACAGCTGTGAATTATGAGATTTTTTTGAGGACAAATACACTTTACAGATCTGTGATGTTCATAGGAGATTACTTTGTAGGTTGGTATACACACTGAAAAATGCTACTGGAGGAAGTAGAATTTATAATGTAAAAGCTGTCTTTTACAACTGCATGTCCATTTATCTATTATGTTTTTCAGCTGTAGGAAAAACTAATGGCGTTGTTAGAGTGGTAAACCGGGAGAGTTCAGAGAGATCACTTATCAAAGGCATAGAGGGCATGGTTCAAGACATAGCCTTTGCTCATATTCCAACAGAAGTGGTACTGGCATGTGTGGATGAGTATGGAAATCTTCTGGTTCATCAGATAGAAGAAACAAAAGATAAAACGATGTATCCTTAAAAACTGAATGACTAATGTCAGAGTAATTTTAAATTAACATGCATACAGCCCAATTATAAATTCTAAGATGAATGTTTTGCTACCACATTTTTCTAATAGAATTCAAAACGTTAATGTGTCAACAAGTTATTGATTTTTACTTGCAAGCTGCAAAAGTATTCTCTGAGAATCTTCTGGCAGGATTTATAATAACAGTTCTGAACAGTAGGTTTCATGGCAACAGGTAACTCTTTGATCAGCCAAATGACAGTTTGTTGCTCAAGGTATGTTGTGCACTTTACATGTAACAGCTTATTTTAAATTGAAGCATACCCTCATGTGTGATTAATAAGCAATAGTTTCACAAACATGTGTTAATATTGTAAGTTTTGAGGTTTTCACGGCGATGACAATGAAGAAAGTTGTCTTCTGGGTTTAGGCACCGTGTATTCTTCGTTTTGGCCGACGTTTCGGAGGAACATAGCACCTCCATCTTCAGAGCAGTTGAATAGCTGCGGAGAGCAGTAGCTGTGGTGCTACTGCTCTCCGCAGCTATTCAACTGCTCTGAAGATGGAGGTGCTATGTTCCTCCGAAACGTCGGCCAAAACGAAGAATACACGGTGCCTAAACCCAGAAGACAACTTTCTTCATGTGTTAATATTCATGCAGCAGCTGCTATATGAATGGAAAGTTTTTGCACATGCTACTTGTTAATACCTTCACTCCAACAAATGAGCTTGGTTGTATACAAGTGGCATTTCCAAATTACCATAGAGAAGTTGTGGTGTTTAACATCAGCAGTTTTCTCTTTCTGAAAGTCCTGTGAGAAAGGCTTCCCTGTCACTAGATCGTTTTTATAACCACCTTTTGTGATTTTATGGACATATACAGACCATGTGTTTTTCATTTTGTCCCTGTGAAATGACTTCTGACTGCTAGTATACTGCAAAAGATGCTGAGCTGTGGTTAAGCCAGCTCTATAGATCTGGGAGTGAAAGTATTAAAAGCTTAGTTTCAGTCAAGTACACGTTTAATATTTTTCCATTCAAAGTTTCATCCATTTATCATTAAGCCAATCTCCCCTTTTAAAGAAGGAGGCAACTTGAAGTACCACAGTAACTGGGTTGCAGACTGAGACAAAAATATGTTTTAGAACTAAAGAAGGTCTTTTTTCCTTAAAAGGTTAATTAGGCTAGTACAGGGGATGCTCAAAATGCAGCCAACCATTATATATTATAACCCCTCCACATAATTCTGCTCATCGGTCCACAGATGTTCAGCTGAGAGAAGTGGTCAGACACCAAACTTAGACCTTCTAGAACAAATAGCTTACACACATGAATATTCACCCAGACCCACTGTACAAGCAGGAGTGTGTTTCAGACCAGGCAACATTTTGATCATATGATCTTGAGTGTGTTTGCTTATTTTTGTACATTATTTTAACTATTTGTGAATACTGATATGTTAACTCTCTGGTAAATGTATCTTTTGTTTATTTAACACAAGAGGGAAATTATTTTTTTATGTTGGTCAAGAACACTCTCCCCCCCCCCAATTATAATATGTGGCCCTATGAGAAAACAGTCCCCAAAACTTAACTCTTCAAGAGCAGATCACTTTTTCAAGAATTGCATCTTGGTCAAATCTACAAGTGCACCCGTAGTTGCTTGTTTGGTATGGGTTCAGTTTATTTTAAGGGGGGGAAGGGGGGCAGGGTATAACTGATTTAGTTTGGTTTGGCTTGATTTAATTTCACTGTGGGAGGAGATGTTTGCATCCCCTACAGCCTTCACATTTTAATTATCAATGAAAAAGACATTTGTATACACATTTAAAAATAAAGTGTTGAGTGTTGCTGTCCTTATGAAATTCTCAGCTGTACGTTGCTGCTTCATGTAGAGCAAAGCAATACTCACACTCCTGGTAGCAATCACAGGGTTATATGGTGTCCATATATACCAGAAGAAGAGAACTCTGATGTTACATATGATGATGTTGCCAAATTGTTGGTGCTAACACATGGTGCTAAGGTGAACAGTTGCTTTATATTCCTCTGGGCCCTAGGTGCAGTCTAATCTTGAACACACAGAGCTTTCAGATACATTCCCTTCTTTTGTTTGTTTCTTCTATACCTTCTTTTCTTTCTCTCATTCTTAGGAAAGCCTATTAAGTTTGTTACATCCGTCAGTATGTGAGCCGAGATAGCGCATTCAGTATAGCGAATGGCTACTGGCTGGACAACCAAGGGATCGGAGTTTGAGTCCCAGTGGGGTGAAGTATTTTCATTTCTTCTTGTCATTCAGACCAGCTCTGGTGTCCACCCAACCTCAGCTAGTGCTGAGGTCAAGAAAATGTGTATCTATACATCCATTCCCACTTACACGTTCATGGTGTCCTGCTTAATTAGTTAAGCACAGGGACAGCTTTACCTTTACATCCGTCTATGTGCATGATGCAACTAAAGAACTCTGGAACTGATTTTCATAAAATTCGATGTTATGGAGCTTTCCTAAAATTTCTTGGCACTTTTCAGCTTTGGATAAAATCAGACAAAAATAATGGACCCACTATGTGTTTTTCTGTGTATCTCAGCATTAACTTACTGAATATTTATTGGAGTTAAAAATGTCTTGAATGAAAGTTTCGAAGAAAAATGCAACACATTTTATGCACAGTGTGTGTTTTTTGTAAGTTATACAGTTTTTGAGATAAAAAAAGGGATGCTGTATCTGTTGTCACGTATCGGGTGTATAACGCGACAAATAAGTTCACGCCGTTGTCCCAGTATAGCGAATTTATTCCTTTCGCTCGTTTACACACACTTTACAGACATTTACACTTGCAGTGTTACAATCACTGCTCACAATATTCGGCGAGACACTGGACTCTCTTCTCTGGAGGCTGATCTTGAGACTTTCTTCTCCGGAGGCTTGATGACGGCTGGCTTCTTAGCTGGCTCTTCCGAGACTTTCTTCTCCGAAGACTATTCCGACACTGAAGGCTTCTCGTCGAAGCTGGGCTACTTATAACCTTGTTGTTAGGCAACGAACCCTTTGTTATAACAGTGGAAACGTCGCTTTGTTGGCTCCGCATTTCCTACGCAATGACCCATTGTTATTGCGTTGTCTCTGTGGGAACGCTAGCGTATTTGTCGTAACCGTGGAGATTCGATATTCTCGATACAGCGGCTCACTGTTGGAATTACAGTGCCGCTATTGTTACTTCCTATGTAGCGGTCCATTCTTCCTCTGGTTTGCCGACACGTTACACTATATTGCAATACAGCTTACCGAGGGAGTTGTAGTGGTAATGCCATAGATCTGTTCAGGAAGTACTTACTCAGTTTGAATCTTGACTGGAGTATCTGTGATTTTCTTTTGTCTTCCTAGCATATTCCAAGCCAGTGCCTTAATGAAGCCTCAGCCACATCCTTCCAATATTTTCCAAGTTATTTATCAATTGTCCTGTCATGCAACACTGTATAGTCTGAGATACTGACAGCATCATAAATTGAACCACAAACGAACTACCGTGCAGCTTTGAAACATTTATAATTCCTTCTGCAGACTGGCCTTGTTGAGTGTACATTGTGTAGTTTTACAGTCTTCTTTTCTTTCCTCCTTTAGTTTTTTGTACACAGCAATTATAAATACATTCTTAGTAATTCTTTTTCCTTCTTTCTTTTCCCCTCTTCATTATTTCTTTCATTCTATATTAGCTTTCAGCACCCTCAATTGATCTTGCGCCATGCTTTTTGAAATTACAAATGCTGCTATTAGATTTACTTGGAAGGTTACTACATGTGAGGCTGAAAAGAAGAATGGGCGATAATATTAAAATATTGTGACATGATGGCTGAAAGCCAGAAGAGGAGAACAGATCGAGGCAGCCATTTCTAGGCAATATCATGGTGGACACATTTCCACTGCAACAAATTAACAAGTAAAGGCGGTCATTCCTAGGCAGTAACACAGTACACATGTTTCCATGGCAACAGATACTGATGCAACAATAGACAACATGGTGTTTTCTGTGTGGTCTATGGTGGCAGTTTGTGGGTTTGCCATGAGGAATATCTGGTGTTAGCAGCCGCTACCTGGCAACGACTAGTGATGGCAGAATAACAGACAGAAAGTTTTATGTGCGCTGTAGTGATCTATAGAGTGTAAATTAGTGATACTGTTGTAATCATTTGTAGTTACAAGCGGTAAGAATACATTAAATTTAGTAAGCAAGCCAAACCCTGTGTCTGGTTACTAAGATGTGGGAATGAAGATTTGAGGTTCTCGCAGTGGTGAATGTGAAGAGTTCTGTCCTCTGGAATATAACACAATGTGGTCTGTTGAAATTCGACCACTGTTTTGGGGGAACATGCCACCTCCATCCTCACGGTCAGTGTATAAGCCAAACAAGACCCCAGCGTGAAGCGGTAGCAAGCAAATGTTGGTTGACTTTCAACAGCATTATATCTCATGAGACAGAACTTTTTAGCATTAAGATAGATGTTATAAATTATGATGGCATGAACAGGGTTAAAATCAATCTTGTATTCATTGATGGGCTCTCAAATTAACAGTGTTGATCCTTATGTTCTGCTATTAGTCAGTGTTGCTTTTCTCAGAAAACTATTGAGTTAGGGGGGGCACGCGGTAGCATAGTTGGTTGAGGCACTGTGCTACAAGCTGGAAGGTCGTGGGTTCAAATCCTGATGAGGTCATTGGATTTTTTTTCATTTGACCTAATCCTTCTGGTCACACTATGGCCCTGGGATTGACTCAGCCTCTAACAGCAATGAGTATCAGGAATTAATTAAATGATTTTCCTGGGGAGTAAAGTGCAGCCGGTGTGTAAGGCTGACAACCTTACTGCCATCTTTGAGCTGATTGTCTAGATAATGTGGGACCCTCAATGTCTTACAACCCTATGGGCCTTCACTGCCTGTTTACTTTACTATTGTGTTAGAGACATAGTATCTTCACCAAATGTTCTAGTTCATTGTTTACGTCGGATAATATTTACAAATTTGTTAACTGTTCTTTCACCAGGCAGAAATGTGGAATGTAGGAATGGTCACTGCGAAACATGGGGTTGGTCCATTGCATCCAGAAAATGTTGGGGAAGGATATCTGGAGATTAAGGAACACACAGCACCCATAATTGATGCTGCATTCTCTCCAGATGGGACTGCACTTGCAACAGCAAGTTTGGATGGAGATGTCAAGTTTTTCCAAGTGTACATGCACAATGACACCAAACCACGATGTCTTCATCAGTGGCAGCCACATGCTGGAAAACCTCTCTCCTCCCTTTTCTTCTTAGATAATCATAAGACATACAACCCAGAGTATGTGTACTGTGACTTCTTTGTTCTGTAAAGTAAAAAGTAGGTTCCTAATGACATGAAACTCTTTGTTCAACTAAATAGCTATCATTTGCAGAAGGAATATCTTGCATGCAAGTCATAATCCATATTGTGATTGCTGCTGGATAAAAAATAATCAACTTTATTGACTTCAAAATCACTGTACTGACATTCTGTTTCTTCTATCAAGGTAGTCAGTGATTGATTAATCAAAATTAGCTTTCCACGGATATTGAACCACTGTCCTTTCAGAACACACTTGTACAAGTGTCATTGTGATACTGCCCAGACCCCAGTGGAGCTTTACAACTGAAACGGTATGAATGCAGTACCACTTTCAGTAACAGAGACAATTGATTGGGTAGCACTCCAGCTTTGAATTTGGGAAGTCCTGGACTGAAATGTTGGCCCAGAGACTGGCTGACCTGGCAAGAGTTTTTATTGTTTTCCTCAGTCCCTTCAAGCACCTCTAGGTGACTGTCAAAATGTTACCTCAGAGTTTAGGTTGTGGCTGCCTTTTTTTATTTCCTGTCCAATTGATTATTTATTAATTATATCACTTGATGCTATTACCTCATATAATCTATGCTATTAAAAGTGTATTTAAGTAAAGCAAGAAAAATAAAAAATAAATATCTGAGATTAAAGGTAAATGACATTGCATTTAAGTCAGAGTAAATTTAAGTGTGATTGTTGTAAGATTACCATGGATGTGTGTGACCCAAAAATTGCTTTCAGGTCCTTCCATTCAAAGTTTCCCTCACTTTGGTGTTCAAATCTATTGTTCCCCAATGAAAATGAAATGATAATTTCATTTATTTATATAATTGTCTCATATACAGGGTGTCCAGATGAAAGGTATCCAATATAAAATAACTATCTCAGAAAGCATTTATTATACATATTTATTGGTTACACCGGGGGCACACGGTAGCATAGTTGGGTGAGGCACTATACTACAAGCTGGAAGGTCGCAGGATCGAATCCTGATGAGGTGGAGTTTTTCAATTGACCTAATCCTTCCAGCCGCACTGTGGGCCTGGGGTTGACACAGCTTCTAACAGAAATGAGTCAGAGGGTCAGCATCTGGCACATGCGCATAAGCCAGGCATGAAAAATCTTTCAGTTTTCCTTTCTGATGACACAAACCGGATATGTATATGACAGTTTCCGAGATATAAATTTTTTATTTTGGATACCTTTCATCTGGACAGCCTGTATATGTAGTCAGTCCTGTTGTAACAACATGTGAACCAGCAAAAAATTTTCAAGAAAGTCATGCTGAATGATGTGACACTCATATTTTTCAGTTTCTTAACCAGCAGTAATAGTTGAATATTGTGTGTTATCTTCTCAGATGTGAAACATACTGCCACCGTTTAATATAGTGCCATGGAAATCCATATGGTGATGGTTCTCTGAAAAATGTACAGATTTCATTTAATTTCTATGTAAAGTGTATAACTGGGACCCACATGAAATCCCTATTAATTGTTCCATATAATTTCCTATGAAATTTGATATCAAGATAAGCCATCAACATGCCTACAAATTTTGTGAGATTTGGTGCATGCGTTAGTTTTACAAACATAGCAGTTGAGCAAAGAGTTTGGTTATGTCTGGTAGAATTTGGGTTCATCACAATAAATTATGCACATTATCTCTGCATTTAATATGATGGAACTCTTAAATGTGAATTTCACTGTGATCGTTATTTTTCCCTTGCTATCCTTATTTAATGCAGAAAGGTAGGTTTATAGTATCGTCATATCTATGTGCTCCCCTTAATAACTTTGAACCAGTTGATAACACTGTGTATGAGCTTAGTTGAGGGTGGAATAGAAAACAACATGGCAGCCATTCAAAACCTATGTGTAGTTTTGTATTGCTGGTGAGAACAAATGTATCATTTGATCTAGATATTTAAAATGTTGTATGAAACATAACAAGTATACCTACAAATTCTGTTGGAACATTTCTTTGTATATTTACAGTTGCAAACATGGCAGTAACGTGAAACATTTAGATTCTGTCTGGCATATTTAACATAGTTGTCATCTATACTAGTGGAAATTATGCACAAGAATACATCCCTAAAGTTTTTAATTATTAATTTATAATGCTTTCTAGTTACCATACAGATCGTAATATTTGAAGGAAAGTAGGCATCATAATTTCTTCCCAGAGTTCCTTGTTTAAAGTGTGAAGTTCTCTTCTGGATTTAAATTTTCTTCTTTCAGGCTTCAGAAGCATATTAATATTAGAGTCAATTTTACTGACCACACAACATATTTTTATTATTATTACACTACATGTTTCAACCTCAAGAGGTCATCCTCAGGTGTACGAACACAGCTGTATAATTACATGCAATGACATTCGTCTTTTCACTTATTCGATCCTATATCTTATTCAGGCTCATGCTCAATAATATATCAAGCTCCTCTCACAAAACACAAGTTAAAATATTATTCTAAATGTCAAAAGTTAAAATTTAAAATTTGCGAATCGAATTTCAATTCAGATCACTAGTTATGCTTTCACTTTCACTTGTTATTCAGACGCTCATCACTGCGTCAAGTTCACTTTAACTAGTTTTAATTATATTATTGGTTAAAAAGTTCATGAATTAAAGTACAATTTTATTATATTGATTGCACTTTTCACTTTTTGGAGGTCTCGCTGTGAGATGCAAGAAACAATTAAAGTTCAGAAGCATATGTTTAAAATTTCATGTCAGAGTACATCAGAAGCATATCAGAGCAGGGAACACATTAGACAAAGTTTGAAAATAATTTCTGTTTTCCTTTTACTTTTACTTCTGCTGTTTGCCAGCACCCATTCTGGTTTCATGACGAGCTTTTTACAGAATAGCAGTGATGCTTTGAAATTAATTTTTGTTTCCAGAGTGCAGTTTTGGAAGTTTGCAATAACAGGTGCAGAAAATAACTCTGAATTGAAGATCTGGTCATGTGAGTCCTGGACTTGCCTTCAGACCATCAAGTTCACTCGAGAAGCAGGAAACAAAAGCATTGTCTTGAAAGCTGGGTTGGATCTAGGAGCTGGTTATTTGCTTCTGTCAGATATAAACTATAAGGTGAGGAAAATAATTGTTTAGTTATGTAACCCTTCAGTGTTCTCACTGATATGGATGGAACAACTCCACTGCTTGGAAAACCATGCTGTACATTATGGGCCCAAGAAGTCTTCAGAGCATAAAGCAATAATGTTAATTTTTCATAGCTGTGGTTTAGGCAAGAAAGAGGGTGGTTATGGTTTTATATTTTCAGAAGTTTTGTACTTCTTTCAGACCTTCTTTAGTGTAGAATATTACTGTTTGACATTTGAAACTCGTTTCTTTAAGAAATGACCATACTATCCACCAGTACTATTGCATGTCAATAGCTTCATGTAAAATGTGTTTGTGGGGAATTACACAGGAAACTTTTTACCCTAACATGCCCAAAATTTTAAATTGGGGTGTGAAACTTCCTCAGAATGTTTCATTACAATTTATAACAGCTTATTTATCAGCAAGGCACTGAATCTAGCTAACATGAATCCAGGTGCCTGGAATTGAGGCTGATTTTATCGTGGGCCTTGTTTGAGGATGAGTGTGTTTCATATTCATTTCAAAAAGGTAAAGGTAAAATTGTCCCTGTGCTTATTAAACATCATTCCATGAAGACATGGGGGAGTGGCATGACACTAGATGGAAGTGAGCAGTCATCTTCACACTCCAACTATTTTACCCCTGGTAAAGTGCTCCCGATACCCAGTGGACAGATGGCTGGGAACTGCAAATATTCACCAGTCCCTCTCTCCTGGGAAGAGAAGTGTTGTCTCATAACATCCTACCTGCTGAAAGAGATAAATACAGAGTTCCATCAGCACAGCTGGGTAGCAAATAATCATTTATGTACATTTGTTTAGTAAGCTACATATTATGGCCTAACTGGCCTTCATTGGGCTGTTACATTTGCTATCTATGTGACCGCTCTACTATACAGTGGCCAGTGTTTACAGTTGGAGTCTTAGATGACTTTGTGTTACTGTGACAGTGCTATAATCACTGTAGTATTTTTTTAGGTACAAGTGAATAAAATATATGACTGTATGTAAAATTAAGGTATGTGGATATTCTTATCTGGCGCTGCAGCCCTTTGTGAGCCTTGGCTTCCTTGATAACAGCCTTCCAACTACCTATGTCTTGTGCCCTCTTCAGTGAAGCTGTCATGTAAAATTTTAAGAGCTTGAAATACATCATCCACCCACCTTAATTTTGGTCTTCGTTTCTTTCTACTGGAAGTTGTGTGGATAGAACGTATTTATTAAATGCAGAACATAATACTCCAATATATTATTTGAAAGAAAGAAGTTTCTGAGACGGTGTTTTGTTATGTGTAAGAATGAAGGTGTTTGGAAAGAAGTGAAATGTATGACCCTTAAATAGATATTCAGTTTGGTTTGCAGCATTGTTTCAGTATTTCAGGGCCCGAAGAATTATTAAGTGAAAGAATGCTTTGCTTCAGGAAAACGTCTTGATTTTAAATGTAAGAATGTTGTTTTGAAATTTATGGGAATGAAATATTGAATTTTTGTGTAAGCACTCATAATATGATGATTATTGTTTAAAGCAATTCGAAAAACATAAAAATTAGAATATACAAAACTGTAATTTTGCCTGTGGTTCTGTGTGAGTGTGAAACTTGGTCTCTCACATTAAGGGAGGAATATAGACTGATGGTGTTTGTGAACAGGGTGTTGAGAATATTTGGACCGAAGAGAGATGAAGTGACAGGAGGTTGGAGGAAACTGCATAACAAAGAACTTCATAACTTGTACTCTTCTCCAAGTATAATTAGAATGATCTAGTCAAGGAGGATGAGGTGGGCAGGGCGTGTAGCACGAATGGGAGAGACTAGGAATGCATATAGGATATTGCTGGGAAAGCCATAAGGAAAGAGACTACTGGGAAGACCAAGGCATAGATGGGTTGACAATATTAAAATGGATCTTAGAGAGATAGGATGGGATGATATGGATTGGATAGATCTGGCTCAGGATAGGGACCAGTGGAGGGCTCTTGTGAACATGGTAATGAATCTTCGGGTTCCATAAAATGCTGGGAAATTCTTGAGTAGCTGCAGAATTGGCAGCTCCTCCAAAAGGACTCAGCTCCATGAGTAAGTAAGTTTGTTTAAAGCACAATTTACTTATATATACGTTCTCATTACCAATAAAGATTGATTATGGGCAGTGAGTTTCTTGTCTGTGTGAGTCAGGATAAAGCAGTGAGTATGGCTACTAGCTATCAGCTGAATGGCTGGGGGTTGAAGTTAGAATCCCGTTAAGCGTACAGTTTTTGCTCATGTTGTCCAGGCAGGTTCTGGGGCACATCCAGCGTCCTATCCCATGGGAACTGGGGGCTCTTTCTCTTGGAGTAAAGCAGCCAGGCCATGAAGCTGACCACTCCCCTTGAACTAGTGCTGATGTCAAGAATGGTGAAGGTACACCCCCCCCCCATATGTGTCATGATGTAGTGCTTAATTAGTTAAGCACAGGGTCTACTTTTTTTTTAACTTCAGGTTTCTTGTGTAAAGACTGAATCTGAAACCTTTTTGATAACTGAATGCAGTGAAGATTTAGCCCATTAATCTACGTTTATCACTTCATGTGAAATGTAACATTTCAAGTCTGTGTAAAACACAAGTAGTAGTGTTATATATTTTAGTCTTTACATTTAGGTATGAGCTGGGAAGAAGAAAGATTTCAGAGTAGTAAGAATATCTTCAGAGGTTAGTAACTAGATAGAGGGTTTGGATTGATAATTGAATCTATCGAATACTAATTACTCTTAACAACAGATAGTTACAACACTTTCACTACTACTCACAAGCTTCAGTACAGCACATTTCAAGTCTTTTCAAGGTTGTTATATATTCAAATAGTCATTGCCTGGTAATGGCTGCAAATAAACAGGACTCTTCCTAATACTGCCTTGCTCATTGACCTCTGTTTCAGTTTTGGGTAATCCCCAACACCTCCTCTTTATATAACTTTGATGCAAATTGATTGGAAAACACTACCCCAACAGTTCCCATACTGTTGTTTGTGTATTTGTTGCCACAGAAACATGTTTTAGCAAGCTGTTGTGTAGCATTGGATATGTCCCCAGTCCTGAGATTCTGACTTTTAGGGGTAATGTCACAATATCGTTCCAGAACTTCAGAATTATTCATGGCTGACTCTCACATTTGTTTCATAACAATGAAGAAGTTTTAATCACAAAAGAGTTTCTCAAAGATAAGTTAGGAACTCTGATAATAGAAACCTAAAGTTAACAACTTCTAATGCCAAAAATCACCATTAAACGCGACTCTGAGTCAGTCTGATGCAGTTCATATCTTTATAACCCATTTTTGTAAGAGTTCATTTGAATGTTACCTGCCAGTTTCCATCTCAGGATTCTGAACTGGCCACTTTAAAAGAGGTTTTCTGATCAATGTGTTCTGTGCATGTCTCATCTCCCCCACATGTATGCTGTTTGTCCAGATGATTGTAACCTACTGTAGTTTACTAACACCATGTCAACTGTGTGAATTGCATGGTTCCTCCTTGTGTAATATGTCCCATTTCTCACTTATTTTATGTCTGTTGAGTGCAGATGTTCTTAATTTTTTGTATATTTGAAATTTATCTTCCAAAAAAATGGAGGGCCTTGTTCTTCAGTTGTACAAAAGTATTTCAAGTCATTCATGTTTCTTTCTTAATTTTTCTGTATTGTGAAATAATGTCATTTATTCTCTGTCTAGTTGCTGTATGTCCTCCAGTTACACAAGGATCCATCAGAGACACAGGCTTATATTTGCTCTGTCTCAGAGTTCCTGCTGCCATATCCTATCTTGAGTTTTGGAATTGTTGATGCTGGGCTCAGAAAGTTCAAGAGCAACAGTCTGGAGGATTTATGCAATGGTAGTAGTAATGTATAATGAAACCCCCATTTGATGTTTCATTGGGAGCAATGAATTTGAACACTAAACTGAAGAAAATCTTAAATAGCAGAAATGTAGTGCTGGACTGTTAATGTGGTATCATTGCAGTTTAGTGTTTAATAAGGGAAAGTCTTAAATAAAAGAATGTTGTATGGGGCTTTCCCCTGTGTGTATGTTGTTTGCTTACTTGGTTATTTTGTTGTGTGTCAACTGCTTGAAGATAGGTAGCCTTAAATTGGGTATAATGAATGTCCATTGTTGTCAGTTGTAGTGCAACGTGTCCTGTATTTAATGAGCTTTGAGTATCTGCAGTTGCTATTGTTATTTTCTATTTTCCAAGGCACAAAGATTTAAAATAGCTTTCCACGCACTGTAAATGATACAAAAGATACTAAGACCTTGCTCCCAAACAAATAAATATAGTAGAAGCAGCATTGATCATGTAAAGTGCCTAGACTGCCTGTTAAAAATATGTAGGATGGACTGGGAGAATGTTCAGTGGCCTGTACAAAGAACGCATTCAGGTTGTATGGAAAAACAATAGCAATTCTGGATACTCAAATCACATATTCAATACAGGAGATACACACAACCTTTGTCCATAAAGTTCCAAGACTGAGTCTGTAAAAAATACAGAATTCAACTTTTTAACCAGTGGTTCCTGTCCCCTTCAGAGTAGTACCCTCTGTAGTCAGTACACCGTTGCCAGCTAGTGAATGCCTCTTTCAGAATGGCTGTGAGCTCCGTTTTCGCAGCTGGTTGAATAGCCTCTATATTCTCATGTCATCATCCTTTTAGCATTTTTTTTAGTTGCAGAAACAAAAGAATCACATCGAGAGAGGTCAGGGGAGTACGGGGGATGTTGAAGCACGGTAATGTGTTTAGCAAGAAATCTGTTGACACTTAGAGCTGTGTGTGGTCTCACATTGTCATGCAACAGAGTCCACTGTCCAGATGCCCATAGGTAAGGACAACAACGTTGAAGTGCATCATACATATGCCTGAGTATGCAGATGTAAAATTCTTGGTTGACAGTTTGCCCTTGCAGAACAAATTTATGATCAACAATGCCCCTGACATCAAAAAAAAAAGAACAATTATCGTGGTCTTTGTTTTTGATGGCTGCCGCCTCACTTTCTTTGACACCGGTGAACCCGTTCACCGCCATTCAGCATTTTGCCTCTTCAGCTGAGGGTCATACTGGAAACACCATGATTCATCCTAGGCAGTGATACTGTTGATGAATGTGGAATTGTTCTGTGCCTCGTTTAACAAATCAGCACAAACTGAAGCTCACACCTCCTTTTGATTTTGAGTGAGTGTGTGTGTGTGTGAGACTACCCTGGCATTGTATTTTCGTGTACCCAAGTCCTGTTGCAGAATTTGGTGGCAGATTGACTTCTTGATATTCAGGGCATCAGCTAACATGCACACTGTAACAGTACGGTCTTCCTGTGACATGTCTCTGATGCGAACCATGTTGCCTTCATTCTGGGTACTTGAAGGCTGTCCTGATCTTGTGTCATCCTCCATCGACACCCTGCCTGACATGAATCACCTGTGCCACTCACACTCGTGCCCGAAATAAAGCTTCATCGCCTTAGGCATCATACAGAAGCTACAATGTCTCTGTGGCTGTCTTGCCCAGCTTCACACAAAATTTGATGTTAACTCGCTGTTCAAATTGAACATTCATTCATTCTCACAACATGGGTTTTCCGCAGAGGTCGAGAAAACTAACATCAGTAAGACAGTAAAATGTCCCGTATTTAGAACACCTTTTCCCAGTATTTCCATCATATACCTAAGCCAAGATATTAAATCAGTCTTGGGACTTTATGGACAAAGGCTGTATGACACTACAGCTGACACCCATGGACATTATAAGGACAGGAAAGAAAGGGAAACATTTAAACAGCTTACAGCTTAGAGAGAATGCCATATTTTTTTTAGCAAAAACAGTCCATGCATGGACGAAAGCTATGTTGACACAACCCAAAATTCAAGGCCTTATATGGACTTTACACCAGATAGCAGCACATAGCTCTCCCCCTCCTCCATTATGTATAACAGACACAACTCTATGGAAGGTTCATAATTAGCACATACTAACCACCAGAGCACAAGCAAGAAGCACACTGTGACACACAATGTGTATTTTTACATTTTAAATTATTTTAAAATTAATTTATATGTTAAATTATTTTAACAAAAACCAGCGTGTTCTTTTAAAATAATAAACTTATGCATATACAGCCCTCAGAGACTGTATATAGTTACAGTGCAGCATAATAATTTATACAAATCATCATGTGTACCTGATGATGGCCCCCTGTGGTGGAAATATGTCATGGATTTCCATGAAAGCATGTACTAAGTAGTTATTCAATCAGTAATCTGTGAAGTTGCTCTGAAGAATATAATGTGATGGATTTGCTGAAAGCATTGTTAGTCAGCGGCTTGTTAAACACCCCGTGAGTGACATGCATGCAACAATAGAAGGACATCCATTTCTAGAGTGTTTTCTATTGCTAGGCAGCAGCCAGGGTGCCAGTGGGCTGGCTGAGTAGTGATTACATGGAAACCCCAGCAGACATGCACGTGTCAATAGAGGGGCTGTGTTTTCTGTGCATGGTCTATGCCGAAAGGATACAGGAGAATATGGGAATGGAAATTCGTTCAGTTGTTGCTAGGAGATAGCTAATGGAAGTTTGTAGTAGAACAATTAGAAGTCATCCTGTGAAGACTTAGTGTGTGATTAGATGATTTAGTCACAGTGAGATTGTCTTCAATTCCATTACCAGGAATCAACTAGTGAAGACTGTGAAGCCTAGTGCATGTGTAATGGTGAGCTGTAAATTGTGTAAATCTGTGATAACGCTGTATTAATTGTAATTAAGAGATGATATAAGAGGTTAGTAAATCCCATCATCACTCCAAACCCCATGACAGGTCACCGTGTATCAGGATATCACGATATTATGAACAAGTGTCTAGTTTCATCTCACTTATTTCAGAAGCCATCTTGATGTACAGAGTGCTGACAAATAAACTTTATATCAGTTTCCAACACATTACTGCTTAAAATTTCATGAACACTAACTGGGCTGTTAGAGCCAAACATGTTAAGTCTAGAAGAATTCTCATAGCTCTCTCTTGAATTTGGTCTGGTGTTGTAACCAGGTTAAGTTATACGTGGGGAAGTCATAACATTTTAATTATCACCCAGAAGAAACAGAGACACAGGTGAAAGAAAATGTATGTGAGTCAGTCCTCTACATATGCCCCTTCCAAGGCGACACATTCTCCCCAGTAATGCATTAGCTGTTGGATACATTGATCATAGAAGGTCTCATTTTCACTCTTTAGGAACTCCACTGCAGAAATGACATCATCTTTCTCAGAATTGCTTACCACAAAGTGGCCTTTAGCCATGGAAAGACAAAGAAGTCGCTCGGTGCCAGGTCTGGTGAATATGGTGGATGGGGAGAATTTCATATCCCAAACTGGCAGCAAGTGTCATCGTAGCATGAGCAGCATGAACCAGTGCGTTGTTATGAAGAAGTCACACACTTTATCCCAGCATTCCTTGTCGCTTTTTCTTGATTTCATCCCGTAATTTTGTCAGAAGGTTCCGGTAGTACTTGCCAGTGATGGTGACATCTGTTTGCGCCTAGTCGGTCATGATGACTGATGATGGCTTGGATTTCACGTTCTTTGGTGGTAGCGAGTCTGCATATTTCTGCTGCTTGCTCATTTCCTTTGTTTCAGGGTCATAATGATAGCACCAACATTCATCCATCCTGATAAGGCAGTCAAAAAATTCCACCTTTTTGTTTTGACACAACTGCAAAAGTTTCTTTGTCACATCCATCTGTAGCTGTTTTTGAACTGGTGTCAACAATCGTGGCACCCAACGTGCAGCAATCTTTGTCATGTGTAATTTGTCATGGATGATGTTGAAAACCGACTCATGGCTAATGTGGACCTCTTGAACAATAGCTTCGATAGTTATGTGCCTATCAGATAGGATCAAAGCTTCCACCTGTGCCACAATTCCCGGTTCCTCAGCGAGAGATGGTCTTCCACTTCAGGGTTCAACTTCGAGGTTTGTCTGCCCACAACAAAAACGCCTCTTCCACCTGACCACTGTGTCATATGATGGTATGCTTTCCTGATGCACAGCAGTCATCTGGTCGTGGAGCTCCCAGGCAGACTTCTGTTGCAAATGCAGCAACCGTATCACAGCACAAGCCTCCACTTTCTCAACTCATGTCATTTTTCTTCTGCCCTTTCTGGTGGCTCCCTCGTCCACTTGGCACGACTGGCTGTTCGGCAAGCTCAGGATATGGGCTATCTCCTATATAGAACGATAGTTTGGAATTATGATTTTCTAATGGTGATAATTAAAACATTATGACTTCCCATTGTATATAAGTTTTCAGGTTATCACAGGGCCACTTAGTTACTTACTCATGAAGCTGAGCCGTTCCAGAGGAGCCACCAATTCTGCAGCTACTGAAGAATTTCCCAGCATTTTATGGAACCCGAAGGTTCATCACCATGTTCACAAGAGCTCTCCACTGGTCCCTATCCTGAGCCAGATTATCCAATCCATACCATCCCATCCTATCTCTCTAAGATCCATTCTGATATTGTCCACCCACCTGCGCCTTGGTCTTCCCTGTGGTCTCTTTCCTTCTGGCTTTCCCTCCAATATCCTATACGCATTCATCTCCCCCATTCGTGCTACATGACCTGCCCACCTCATCCTCCTTGACTTGATTGTTCTAATTATATTTGGAGAAGAGTACAAGTTATGAAGCTCCTCATTATGCAGTTTTCTCCAACCTACCGTCATTTCATCTCTCTTCAGTCCAAATATTCTCAGACACCCTCAGTCTATGTTCCTCTCTTAATGTCAGAGACCAAGTTTCACAGGGTTAGATGTTCATATTGTGGTCTTGTAGTTGTGACGTGTATAGTTTGTAGGTGGGTATGAGCAATTTAGAGGAACAACCCTGAAGATGGATTCATCATCATCTCTGAAACTTGATATCCACTACATGACTACACAGTGTCACACAGTGACAACAAGTTGTTGCCTGTACATCAGTTCTTAGTCTCAGCATTGTGTTCACAGAGGATGGTGATGACGAGCCACTGCAGTTTGTTCAGGCTGTGGTTGTACGGATGTACTTGGTTCAACCAAAGTCTCTTCAGGAATGCCACATCACCTTTCAGCCACCAGTACCACTAGGAGACATGGATCAGAAGCTTAGTACCTTGTCACATGATTCTCTAAGTAAGTCATCTGTTTGTTTATTCAGTTACTTAAACTTTCCAATTGAGGAAGCAGTTGTTTCACATGTAGAGAATGAATGTAGTAAACACTATAGTAGTAGTTGCTGGAGAGATTTGTTAAATCTTTTCTTTTAATAGCAAAAGCATATACAGAGATCTGTGGTTGTCCATCTCTTCTTGTATTTTATTTACAAAACTAAGTAGTAGATTTTGATGAAGTGGCATGGGTCAGTGCCAAATGTTCTGAATCAGGAATGCTCTGGCTGTGGGTCATCTACCATCTTTGGATCAGTTGGAGGCATTTCAGATTTATTTTGAAAATAAGAAAAATGGTTGTGTGCCATGCAAAGTGTGGTAGTAAAGCTGCAGCACTTCATTGACTCCTCTTCTAATAGAACAGCTCTGTTCCTAGTCAGAATCAATGTTGCCCAACCTCTGCAGGTGCCTATGACTCCCAGCCGAATTTCCTGCAGGTCATAGGTCTCTACAGGCCACAAAATGGGTTTATATTGTTCTTGCTACTGCACAGGGACCTTCTTGGTAGCAGGAGCACAGTGTAGAATATTCCAGAATTTATTTTGGATGGGGGGGAATACAGGAAATTACTAGAAAATTTTGAACCAGTGGATATTCAAATTGGCATATATCAAACTGTTGTATACTAAGGGCCCACTGTCTTTATGATGTATTTTATTCTCTACCTGGTGTAAGAGAAAGAAAGTTGAATTGTGATTTTTTGCGTTTATATTTGATTCAGTGTTTAGAGAGGGGTTGTCAGACTTATCTACAAATGCACTAAGTACATCAGTGGCGGAGTTAGATGCTATTGTATCCGATCTTCCAGCTAATCATATGTCTGACATTCAGCAACCAGCAAATCTCAACTCTCAACAGCAACAAGAACAGCAGCAACTCAATCTTATGACTCCGGATGCATTTAGTTCTCCTGCAAAGAAGGACAGTCCCACAGACCTACGGAGTCCACAGGTAAGTTTAATGTATTGGTTTCAAAACTGTTAAAAGGTAAAAAGGTAAAGTTATCCCTGTAACAGGCCGTGAAGGCCCATAGAATTATGAGACTTCGAGGCTCCCACATTTTCTAAACAGTTGGCCCACAGGTGGCGGTGAGGTTGTCACCCTCATGCGCCTGCTGCTTTTACTTCTCAGGAAGATTCCTGGTACTCATTTCTGTTAGAGGCTGAGCTGACCCCAGGGCCATAGTGTGGCTGGAAGGATTAAGTTAATTGTAAAATTTAGTGGCCACATCTAGAATTGAACCTGTGACCTTCCAGCTTGTAGCATAGTGTCTCAACCAACTGTGCTACTGTGTGCCTCTTCAAAACTGTTAGGACAGTGAACTCCAGAATATTACTATAGTTTGGACAGAACAGCTGACTCAGGGAGCGCATACACAGTGTTGATGGGGAAACCTCTTAGGAAGATACAGAAAGAGACAGGATGTTAACACTATTGAGATGGTTCTTATAGAAGCAAGTTGAAAGAGTGGAATGTAGATCAGATTGCCTCATGATAGAGTACAAAGGTGGGCTTTGATGTTGGTGATGTTGAACCTTTGATATTTGCTGCCAGAGGTGTAGGGGCATCATTTGATTCTTGAACTGTGGTTTGCAAATTCCTTGGCAGTATGTAGAATACCGAAGTTTTATAAGATTAACTGTCACATGGACTGGTGAAGTGTGTGTTTCACTTCTATCTACAACTTTCATGTTTATATATATTTGGTGAGTTTGCATGATTTTTGTGTGAGATGCATGCAAAAACATTTTGGTAATGTATTTTAACAGAAACTGAAATATTATGATGTATGTTAGTAAAACTTACCAATATGAAATTTATTGAAAATTTATGTAGCAGTTCTCAGTTTGTTACATGCAGATGGATGGACAGACAAACATAGAGAAGCTGTTAAGGCATTTTCACAAATTTCCACTGCAAATGTATCAAAAGGAAAAACAGTTACTGTAGTGCTGACATTATTGCTTTAAATCTTAGTGCTCTATGATACAGATAACTAGAAACTGGGCTTGAAGTTATGTGTATCAACTGTTTTGAGATAATATTGGAACTAGCTATAACAAGCATGTTACGGATTTTATATATGATTGTTATATTTAATTTCCACTGTACTTCAGTTTTCCCTTGCCACTTATTCCACTAATGCATCATACTCTTCTTTCATCAGGAGATGGTAAAATAGGCCCTATGAGGCCACAGTACTAAGGACCTCAGTCTCATTACATTTCTATAATTACCTTTGAGCAAGGATCTTTTAGAACATGTGTAGGAGATAGTAGACCTCATAGCTGATATGGACATTCTCGTGAAGAGAATAATTTAGCCCATTAAAAGATAGCTGACAGCTCTTGAAGTTTCCATGTCGTACAGATAAGAGGCTCATTGAACCCCAGATCCAGTCTGTATACAGTAGTGAAGAGAAAATTCCTGCCTCTTTCAGAATGTTTACACAACAGAATGTAGCTACAACAAACTTTCGCTTGAGAACTGCTGTTATAGTTGTTTATTTAGCTCGCTGAACTTGTTCTGTTTTCAGATATCTCGTCATGTGGATACATCACAGCACATGACCAGGATCTTAGAAGGTTCTATTTCTGGATCCCCTACTATCATCAGTGCTATAGCATCATCACCTCTGGATGATGTTATGTCTCTTGCAGGGGGTCAGGCTAAGGTAATTTCCCTATTCCATCATGAATTTGTATGCTACAGAGAAAATGTTATTGTCATTTGTTTAGTGACTATAGATGGAGTCTGAATTGGTACTCAGATTAATTGGACTCTTAAACAACTTGGAATTACAAGTAATGATAACAGTTTCCCTAGTTCCTGCCCTTTACTGTTCACTGTAGCTGAACTTTGTCTTCTCCAGGTCCACTAGGCACTGCCTGGCAATGGCTTCTCAGCGTCAGCTTTTGTCCTCTCTGGCTAGCGGCTTCCAAATCTGTGGATTCCTCAGCTTCAGTCTTAAGCACCACTGCCCTCACTGGCTGGTGTCTGTCTCACAACTTGCTGGCGTGTTTACCAACTCTGTAGATTTCTCAGCTTCAGTCTTAAGCACCACTGCCCTCACTGGCTGGTGTCTGTCTCACAACTTGCTGGCATGTTTACTTACTCCTTAGATTCATCAGCTTATACTTTCATTGGCTCCTGTCCTCGCTGGCTAGCATCTGTCACAACTCAACTAGGTGTTGTCTGGTTACAGTCTTCTAACAAGGGCTATGTCCAGCCCATTTTTGCTTCCTTTAGTTCAGTATCCTAGCAATACTAAATTACATTGGTAAACCACAGAGATCCATGCTATTTAATATATGAAATTATACATTTCATACTTTAGGTCCAGATGTTTTCTTGAGCTTTGTCTTCAAACACTGTGATTTATATTCTTCTGTTAGACTAATAGGCCATGCTTCATGCTCAGACTTACTACAGCAGTATTTGAATATCTGTCATCTTTAAAGTGGCATGCCATATAATTTTCACATTGATTTCCATTCTTTGCAATTCCATAAATTTGTTATAATGTTTTAGGTTGTTCCAGGAGTGGATCAACCCCTGGCTACATCAGAGCTTCAGGAAGTTGTTGCATTTCAGAAGGAAGGCTTTGCCAGTGGGGGAAGCAGTCCTAGTCGTGAGGTCCAGGAGATTTTGTCATTGAAAGGTTCAGACCATCATAATCATAGTTACTATGATGACAAGAACATTACTGAGATTGCTGAAACAAAAATTGAGTGAGTAAACTATAAGTTCAGTGGTTTTCATTTCTCATAGTGTATTCTAGAGAGTTAATATCACAGGATGTAGATAGGTGAGCTAGAAAGTCCTGTAAAGAACTTGGCACTTGCTTTCCTTAGGCTGTGTACAGTATATGTTTTACGAATATGAAATTTTAGCCGTCAGCAGGTTGTCTGTGTTGCAGGTGCAGTCACACAGTTTCCAAGGGTGTTTTCATAGTTCATTTCCATAATGAACTTGTGATGTGAAATCCCTATTTATCATTCCTCTTGGTGATAGAGGCTTTGAAGACAAATTAAACTGTTAAATTGTAGAAATATAGCAATGGCAGAAGTTGAATGGGCCATGATTCTTCATCAGTTCAGTGCAATTCAAATCACGTGACACGAGCAAAAAGTTAAGTACCCCCTCCCCCCGCATTATTTATTTGAAGTGTTTCAGTTTGTAAGTACAAATCTCATTGGTTTTGCATGTAAGATAACCGTTTGCATAGGAAATCCAGTCCTAGTGAAACGTGTGATGTGGCATCCTGCCTGTGCAATGATTTGTACAAGTCAAATTATGAAATTACATAGTAGAGGTTGCAGAGTTTTCGTGGTGGCCCTTCTGAATGGCCTCTTTCAAATCATAAATTTCCATATAGGGAAAAGTCATATTGGTTTAAATTTAGTGACAGAGGTGGCCACTCATAACCTGCACTATGAACATGAGGATATCCGTTTGAGAACCCTCTTGTTCTCAGACGTTTTCATAAAAAAACTCAACACACAAGTGACTGCATGAAGCTTCATGCCATCTTGCTGAAACCAGACCATACCAGTATCTGTGCCATAACCCATGAGAAAAGGAATGAAGTCATTCTGTAAAACATGAAGTCAAACTTGGGGCCCATCTGTGTCACCAGTAAGCACATGTCTGAATGTGCCATTATGGGAAAGTGCACAGCACTGTAATTGATTGGAAAGTAAGGGTTTGTCAATAACAATCTCTGGATTCAGTAAATCCCAGTACCAAGCATTCTGTTTGTTCACATTGTCTAAATGAAAATGGTCATCATCAGAAAAACATATTTCATTGAGAATATCTGCTTCATCATCTAAACATCGTGACAACTCCTTGCAAAACACTGAGTGTCTGATCCTGAAGTGAGAGGCTGAGATAATGGTATCTTGTAATGATATTCTGGGAAGTCAGATTGATAAATTTTTCTTTGTAAGATTTGAGGTTCTCACAGCAATGGTCATGAAGAGCATTATTTTCTGGGATATAACATCATGTAGTTCGTTGAAAGTTTTGGAGGAACATATCGCCTCCATCTTCAGGGTCAAAGAATAAGCTGAGCAGTATGAAAGCTGTCATGCTGGTTTCTTGTTTCGGTTGACTTTCAACAGACTACAAGGCATTATATCCCAGAGTTGGAATTCTTCATATTCATTTGTTGTAGAAGACATCACAAGCTTTTCCTAGGATTGCTGGGTAATAATTTTCTGGCTCTATCCACCATGTCAGGTGTCCATATGGATGAGCATCCATCATGATTTTCTGTGATCCACTTTTGTAAGACTCTTTTGAAAAGAAAGCTTCTGCTGCACACTGTATTCTGGGTAATTTGGAGAATAAAGTGGCACTATTCCAGTATTAGCAGCCAAAAACTAAATTATGTACCTGGAATTAGCTAAATTTTGATTTCCAAAAGTGTGGATTACAAAATACAAGCAACAGTGGTTCACCAAATAAGAAATTACCCTGTCTATAAATGACCTATGGTGTGATTTATTGGTTTAAAAAAATTGTTAGTAATAAACCGTAATTATTGTATATGCTCATATATGAAATAGTTCTTTTATAATATTGTTAGTGTGACAGACCAGGACGAAAGAAATCAAACTTAATTCTTTTCTGTTATATTGTATATTTATAACTTATGTGGCCTTTTAGGACTACGGTTAATTTAGCAACTTTGTTACTGACACATTTTTTGGTTGCTCCAGAAACAGTTTCATGACCCCCTAGGGTTGCGCTGTTGTAACATCTTTCCTTGCCTCTAGTTGTGTTCTCAAGACACTGTTATGTGTTGATTATTTGCTTTTCATTATTGCAAACCTATGTAAAGTCATAATTCAAAATTAAATCCACTAATATATTATTTTTCATCTCTTTTTAAGATGAAATGTTATTTTTATGGTGTAGGACTCAAGCAGCACCAACAGCAGCAACAGAAAATTGTCAGTTTGATGCACTGGTGAAAGAGAAGGATGTGACGAACATGAAACCAAGCAGACCTGAAGCTGATGGTTGGCCACAAATTCCTATCAGTTTGGTCAGTCAGTTTGGTAAATCAGAAGAGAATCAAACCAAGAGGTAAGGAAGACTTCTTACATGAAAGCACTACATAAAATTTGAGGTTTAATGAGGTTGATACTGTGGTATTTTGGATTATGACATTGTGTAGTCTGGCCATCATCTGAAAGACCACAGGGTTTAAAAGCGTAAGGTGTTTTAAAGAGTTGCAGGTTTTTACCAGGCAAAAGGAAAATATGTTTGTCCCAAATATATGCACTTAAAGACCAGTCAGAACAAACATTGCCTCACTGGGGTACCAGATAGTTGAATCTTTATATATACTCAGAGGAATGAAATTTTAACCACTTGCTGTGTTTACAAAATATCTGTTGACCATCCCATAAAATGCAGTGCCTTCCAAGCTTTTTTCTCAGTTACCTTGATCAGCCCAACTTAAATCGCTACGTAAAGTTATTCCCAAGTATTTACAACTACTCGCTTTTGGAATTACTATGTCCTGTAATGAATAATTTAGTGGTTCCATCGCTCAGTCTCATGAAACAAACTGCCTTGCTTTTAGCTGGATTAATTGTCATTGCATTTTCAAATGCCTACTCCCAAGCCTGTTCAGATCTGTATGCAACTCTTCCATATCTTTATTGTTTATAATTTTCCTATATAGTATATAGTCATCTGTGAAAAGTCTAATAGTTGACTCTTCTCCAAATAACATTTATGTACGCAAGGAACAATAGTTGACCCAGTACACTTCCTTGCAGTACTCCTGATGTTACTCTGACTTCCTCCGATAATTGCCTTCCTACTCCAACTCTCTGTGTATGGCCCAAAAGAAATTCCCTTATCCATACAACTACCCTCGAGTGCACTCCCAAGGTGACAGTTTTCATAAGCAGCCGATCATGGGGCACTAATTCGAAAGACTTTGCAAAATCTCTTATAATAGCATCTATCCTACCTCTGTTATCCAGTGATTCTTCAATGTCCTGGCAAACTGTCATTACTTGACTTTCACATGGATATCCCAACCTGAATCCATGTTGACCCTCAGATAACCAATCCCTTTTATCCCAGATGTTCCTCAGGCACTAAGCAATAACGTGTTCCATTTGCTTGCAGACCACTGAGGTTAAACTGAGGGGTCTGTAATTTGAGACCAGAGATTGGTCACCCCCCCCCCCTTGTAAATAGGAACCACTATGGCCTTTTTCCAGTCACTTGGGATAGTGGCATTATTAATTGTTATGTCCAGTAATCACACAAGGCATGGCACCATGGCTTCCCCACCCGATTTTTAGAATTTCACGAGAAATTCTGTCAGGCCCTACTGATTTGTTTTTACCTGTCACTGCTAAGTTTTTCCTAATAATGACAGCTGCACATCCAGTAATGAGAAATTCCACTGTGATTTTGAGTAAATTACCAAAAATTCTTTACCCTTGCTTCAAAATTTGTTTGGATTGAATGCAGTGGAGCCTAATTCTCAGTTGTTCATGCCTTATAGTGCAATGTGTGCTAAGCCAAAAAATAAAAAACAGCTACAAAATTTTAGTGCTTGAAGCACAGAGTCACCTTGTATATACGTAGGGAAGTCAAAAATTATCCGCACTCTTGTTTTTCCAATCCATATATAGAAAAGTAGGGGTTGAACAAGTACTTCATTTTTCTGCATAGTCTCCTCCCTTTTCGATGCACTTGGTCCAGCAGTCCAAAAGCTTGCATATTCCCTCCACAAAGAAGGTTTTCGGTTGGTTTCGCAACCATTTATGCACTGCTTCTCCCACTTCTTTGTCCGTAGAAAATCAAAAACCTCGTAAAACATCTTTGAGCAGTCCAAAGAGATGATAGTCGGAAAGGGCGAGATCTGGGCTGTAGGCAGGGTGTTCCAGCACCTCAAAACACACATGGTTAATGGTTTCAACGGTCTGGCCATCCTTGTGTGAGTGTTCATTGTCATGCAACAACAACACTTTCTTCGACAATAGGCCTCGGCGTTTGGTGCAAATTGCTGGCTTCAGATTGTTGGCCAGCAAATCACTGTACCTTGCACTGTTGATCGTACGCCCTTTTTCCAGGTAGTCTTCCAGTATAGGCCTTTTTGAGTTCCAAAACACGGTTAGCATCACCTTTCCCACGAAAGATTTAGTCTTGAATTTCATCTTTGTTTGCGATCCTGGGTGTTTCCACGCCATACGCTGGCTTTTGGATTCTGGCTCATAGTGATGAACCCACATATGAATTTCAGCCCCGGACACACCTTCCAACCAGCGAAATCAGATCACTATTCTTTGTTAATCATTGGTGCACACTGCTAGCAGAGCTGCCATGTTTACACTGTCACAGCATCAAGGAAAATGATGCGATGAAGGTAAAACTTCGATCACGTGACCACAGTAGTACCAACTCTAACAATGCATGCATAGGAGGCAGTGTGACAAACGTAAAGATGTGTTATGGAGAAAGTGCGGATAATTTCTGACTTACCCTCGTAGATCTGTTTATATGCATTTATGTACATAATGCAGTGAAACCCCCACTTTAGATTTCTTTGGGAACCAGTGAGGAAACTCTTAAGTAAGGAAAATTTGTTACTGACATTATTGACCTGGGATCATCGAAACTGAAAGTTAATTAAGGGAAAGCTTTAAAATGAGGGTCAGTAACAGGGGTTTCATTGCATTTATATTGCTTGTTATATTTCTTACTGTGATTTCTACACTATTAAAAAATTACAATATAAATTTGGCAGTGTACTGTATTTTCTTTCACACCACTTTTTACTAGATTGTTTTACCAGTAGTGGTTCCAAACATACATACTTTTTAATACTACTGCCATTTTTAGTTAAAATCTAACTACCATCCCCAAGGTAGGGGGAATTTAAATCCCATGTCCCCATACAATAAATGTTAAAAGGAAAAGGTCATGAATGTATATATGTTCAGGAATGTACCACTATTCCAAGATGAAGCTGTTGGGCAAAATGGAGACAGTTTTCAGCACAGCCTGTGGAACAAAAACCAGAAACTGGAGAACTCTATTACTGTACTGGACCATAAAATCAGTTCTATTTGTGAGATACTACAACAGCAACAGCTGGAAATCAAGGTAATGTGTTGGTAATATTAAGCTGTTTATCTAGTTTTGGGGTTGGTTAGGTAAACTGTCTGTACAAGCATACCTTGGAGATATGGCAAGTTTGGGTCCAGATCACTGCATTAAAGTGAATATTGCAGTAAAGCGAGTCACACAAATTTTTTGGTTTCCCAGTGCATATAAAAGTTATGTGTAAACTATACTGTAGTCCATTAAGTATGCACTAGCATTATGTCTAAAAGAAAATGTACATACCTTAATTAAAAAGTACTTTATTGCTAAAAATGAAAACTATCATCTGAGCTTTCAGTGAGTCATAATCTTTTTGCTGATGGAGGGTCTCGCCTGCTGCTGAAGGTTGGGGTGGCTGTGACAATTTCTTAAAATAAGACAACAATGAAGTGTGCTACATCGATTGACTCTTCCTTTCACAAGGCCATTGTAGGGTTATGAATTGGCCTAATTTCAATATTCTTGTGTCTCAGGGAATATGGAGGGCGGAGGAGAGGGAGATGGGGGACAGTCAGGACAAACACGGCATTTAGCGATTAAGTTGGCCGTTTTATATGGCTGCGGTTCATGGTGCCCAAAAACAGTTACAATAAGTAACATCACAGATCACCATAGCAGATATAATAATAATGAAAAAGTTTGAAATATTGCAGGAATTACCAAAATGTGATACAGAGACATGAAGTTGGAAAATAGCCCCAATAGCTTACTCAACACAGGGTTGCCACAAATCTTAAATTTCTAAAAATCACAATATCTGCAAAGCGCAATAAACCAAGGTATGCCTGTACACCACTGCGCTGTTTTCTTCGAAAATCTTGTTGCTGTCAACTTCACTGACCTAACTTCTTGCCTCACAGCACACACTTTTCCTCCGCATATGAACACTGTATGCCGCTTATAAGCTCATCATCAGGCTCAACTCAACTGCCTTCTCCTTACCTTGCAACTAAGGTTCAATACAAGTTATATGTAAAAAAAAGTCCAGTTTACGTGTGGGAGATGAGGCACACTGCGTATGTGGAATGTGTGAGAAGGAGGAGGAGGTCTTCTGGAAATTTCAGTTAACTAGAGAACATGCTGGCATGTGACCCACTGCCTCCCTCACCCACACAGTCCACGTAACAGTGTGTTTTGGATTAATACTATATTCACTGCCCTGAAGACATTAAAGAAATTCCACACACATCACACATGTATTCTCATAACAAGCTGCATTCAGAGAAACTTAATATAATTTTTAAAAGACGGACTTGCAATAAAATAACTACATATTCCTGTGTACAACTGCCTGATGATGGTCTTATGTGACTGAAACATGTAGCAGTATAAAGATCGAAAATAAAAATTGTATTTGTTATGTTGACGGTGATATAATTCTTATATATAATATTGTCACGTGTTTGGTATATGTCACGCGACAAATAACTTCACACCATATTGGATATAGCGAATGTATTCCACTTGCTCATATGTTTACACAATTTACAATCTCACAACTACTGCCATCGGCAGTATCACACTTACTTCTCCTGCTTCCATTCACTCCGGAGAATGCTAGACTGCAACTGACTGGTTACTCCCTCTCACTGACGAATACTCCTGTTATGTAGCTTCCACACTGACAACACAGAAAACAGTTACGTGATAGCTTTCACTGTTGTGTGACATCGTGTTTACCGATTGCCTAGCAACAGCAGCTGCATGGGCTCCCCTGTTGCGTGACGCCATGTTTACAGGTGTTGCTGGACAACACTGTGTAGCAAGCAGCACACTTCAGCTCGGCTCGGCACAGACAAACACCGCTTTCCTTACTGTTACGTAACTTGGCAATCGACCGTTTATCAAGGGTCTGTCTTCATGGTAACTCGTTCCACCTCCTGTTGCCCAGCAATGGTTAGACATGTCACGATATGTATAACACCCAACAGGATGCAACCAATGAAGATAATTGCAATAAAATACCTGCATCTCATTGCCATGGTGCGTAATTAAACATAGGGACAACATAAACCTTGAAGATGGAGGTAACGTGTGCCTGCAAAATACCAGTAACACTGCCCACAACGACATGGTGCAAAGACCCAAAGCAGGACCAACACTGATATTGCAATATAATTTAAAAGATGCATCACATCAACGTTTAAATAACTTTAAGCAATATTCATATATCTGGCATGCCTTTTGACATGACAGGTATTTCAGAGCAGATACTCCATATGAAATTATGGAAGCACAAGATAGACAAGATGGCTATAGATGCAAAATTTTAAAAAAATGTTGTGATTCTGATGTTTGTATTACTTATAATAGAGGATATACAGGGTTACTACAAACGATTCATTCTATTTCAGAACACTATAGTTTACAAAGTATTACACATACAAGGCCGGTCACGGTAGCTGAGCGGTCTAAGGCATGCACTGTCTTTGCTCGCTCGGAAGCCGGGATCGTGGGTTTGAATCCCACTCAGGGCATGGATGTTTGTGTGCGTTTTTCTGTGTTTGTCTACAGGTAGAGGCCTTACGACGAGCTGATCACTCGCCCAAGGAGTCCTACCGAATGTGTAAGATCTAGTAAACCGAAGTGAAACGGAGAGTTTCATGGAGGTAGGCCTAGGCCCAAATTGGGGCTGTAGCGCCACAGAAAAAAAAAATTACACATACAAATATGATTGATACATGAAGAGAACCGCAAACTCACCGAGTTTGCATCGTGATACACCAGTTGGCAGCATGAGTGCAGTGCCTCACAAAATGGCGACGAAGCTGGAAAAGAGTTTCTGTGTGTTGGAATATGTGAGATGTTCATCTGTTATTGCAGTGCAGCATGCATTCAGAGCAGAGCACAGAAAAGAACCACCATGTAAACAGAGCATTCTGTGGTGGTGTCGGCAGCTTAAGGATACTGGTTCTCTGTGTAAACGGAAAAGCACAGGGCGACCAATATAGTATTTCAAAATGGAATGAATCATTTGTAGTAGCCTTGTATATTAGAACTTAAGATCAAATGCTTAACACCGGCAGTATATTAAAATGCCTTTTAAGGGAGCATGAAGGACATATATTTGCTTCAGTGTGGTGGCTGTTTTAATCATCCTCATCTTCCCATGGAAGTTCCACCAACTGAGGTTCTAGGAGGTGACTACTCTGTTGATGCAACAGTGACAGCAGAAAGAAAATGTGTTACATTTATGAAAAATTAACATATACAACACATCCTGTACTGTGTTCAGCGTAAACTTAATTCAGATTTGCTTTTATGGGAGTCTCATCATTGTAAGTTAGTTGGTGTTAAATAGCGCATCCTATAAATGATGGTCCTTAGGACTGTGGTATGGGATACCCCATTGAACACACAGGACTTTTCTATGAAGTAGCTTGCAGAAGGTATGATTTCAGGCCTGGTCCAAGAATAACAGGCATTTGTTTCACTGTGCAAGAGATTTCCAGAGTGTCATTACTTTTTGCAGAAATTGTATGAAGTATGTACTGTCCATCGTGCTGAACACAGGGATCATAATTCTCCATCACTTAGTCCACGGATTGAGTCAGTAATTATGTCACAGCTTGACAAAGCACTATTGAAACATCAACAGCAGCAGGGGGTTTTGTTGGAGGAATTGCTGCTACAGAGCAATGACAAAGAACAGAAGAGACAAGAGGCTATCATGTCTGCCATTTCACAGGCTGTTGGTAACTTGGTTACAGCGAAACTTGAAGACATTGTCACAGCTGAGATTAAGAATGGCATCATACCAGGTACGTAGCTACCACCATGCATTAATTAATCTTATTTAACACACTGGTTCCCAACCTTTTTTGAATGATGAATGAGTAAAGCAGTAGTGCATTTTTCATATACAAAATGGGTAATCTCATTCATTGTTCTCAAGGGAGAAACAAATTGCAAGTAGAGAACCCAGTAACATGATTCAGTGCAGTGGATGGTACCTTCCTTCATTCTGTAAGTAAATGACTTCTTTGGCATACCCCTGCAGTGACTTATGAGCTAGTAAAACACAGACATATGGAAGTAATAATGAGCCAGGATTTCACATCAGGACAGCTTTTGTTTTTTTAAGATGTATGTGATTTAAATGGCATGCAGACAGATCTATCCTTAAATTGTTATCAGTTTATCCTATTAATCTAGAACTAGTATTCCCATAACATCAGAACTGCATTATCTGAAGTGAGGTTATGTAACAGTGGTTCCCAACATTTTGTTTTTCATGGACCAGTAAATCAATTGTGAGATTATCAGGGACCAATGGACAGTGTCCTGCCCTTCTCACACTGTAAAGTGGAAAGTTAAACTCCGTTATTTACAGTTTAAAATGTAATGGCTTTATGTAGTATTATAATCAAAGATGTGTTAATTGTCCATATTTAAAATGAAATTTTATGAACAGAAGTGTATCAAATAATTTGAATTGCCAAACAGATCCATTCTCCAGGAATCTGAATTGTAAGATGGCTTAGCCTCCATATTTCTGAGCAGCTTACCTCAAATCTCCACATCCTCTTCCTTACCCCTCTCCCTTCCCCCCCCCCCCTTTAAGTGTAACTAAAGGGGAGAGAGAAAAAGGGATTAGTTGTGTTGAATCAAATTAAAATGTGGGCTTTTGTACAGGCATTTTACCTCGCAAGATATTTTCTTGTAGGTTTCAGCTTAGTAAATTCAAGAAAGAAAGTAAATGACATTAACCAACTTTTTCTCCAAATATATGAAGCTATAAAATTATTGGTAGACTGCTAAATGTATCACACTGTTGAAGAATTGGGCATTGCTGGTGTTATGTGCACTTTTGTTTGGGTTTGGTATGGTTTTGGAATTAATTTAATTTTTTCTTTACACATGGAAATAATTACCCACCGAGAAGAAGAAGCAGCTACCACGTTCCCCCCCAAGCACTTAAGGTTAGTTATATAGAACTAATTTGTTAGGGTGGCTAAAATTGGCTGAAGGGTGTGAACATTTCCCCACTCTGGTAGCTGCATTTAAACCTTTGGCTTATGCTGCTGGAGGTGTATCACAAATACTATGACAGTGTGCACTAATTCGTCCATGTTTATGTTCTCTGGGGAACTGGGATTCCATTCTGCATTATTCCTTGTACTAATCTCTGTTGTGTGTTTATTTTTTTTAGCTTTAGTTTCAACAGTGGAACCACTGAAGCACCAGCTTCATGTAGAGATGACGCAGAAACTGACAGCTACTGATCATCTACTGAAGGAAAATATAGCAAAGCTAGTTCATAGTAAGGTAATGGCAAAAGGAAATAAATGTTATCTTTTTCACTAAGGCATGGGTCAGTGGATGTACATGCTCTTCCATCCCATAAGTTTTCACCTTCTACCTCTCTCCACACTTTAGTATACTATTACAAGTTTATGGTTGTGTGACTAGTGACACTAAATTGTCCCATATTTGCGGTGTAACCACTTGAAGAATGCAGTATGCTCCGAGCTGCCAGCTTCTGACACCAAAATGTCACATGGAGGATGGTATGCATGACAAAATTACAGGTTCTAGTTCAGATGATTGGATTTATTGGCACTTCACTTACAACCTCTCTTAATTATGCTCAACTTACAGCACTATCACTGATTTACACTCTTCATAATCCACTGTTGCACACACACACTAGCCATCTCCAGGTAACATATCTCAACACAGAAATTAGTGCTTCAAATCACTCCAAGTATTACACATGAATAAAGTCTTCTCACCACACTTTAAGTCTTCACCGGTCTTTTACAAACTTCCTGTGGTTGTCTCCTATCGAGAACTCTCTCACTGTTACTTAAACATGTTCAAATACCCTCAAAAACTGGAACCTGTTCCATCTCTAACTGCCGTTATATAGCCTCCGCAATGACCACACGGTAAACAGCCTATATTGTTGTAGAGAAGCGTTTACCACAACATTGCATAGCAGCAAGCGCGGTGCGGCTTGGCTTGGCACGGTATGGCACTGAGGAAACACCACTTTCCTTATTGTTGCACAATTGCTGCACCCCACAGACCTCCACAGCTCAACAGCTCTCGTGTGGTGTAAATACACCACAATAGATTTAGTACTGTCATTTACATCTGTGTTCCTCAGCCTTTTCCATGTAGGGGCACACTAAAATATATTTAAACATGGTGATGTAACATATCATGGTTATTGTACAGTTTTGTATGTATATGGATAAAGTGTACTCATAATCAGATTCTGATCTTCTGGGTTGTGACACCATTTTTCCTTGTAGCGGATTACTTACGTGTCAAAAGAACATGCTGCTCCCATCCTCAAGGTTCAGTTTTGTAAATGCAGGAATTGGCCCAGTTGTCAGAACAGGTTGCAGTGAAGGTGGTCACTGAGACACAAAATGGGGAGGTAAGGAAGAAGCGCCCAATCTGAGCCAGTAAGAAAAGTGGATAGGAAAAAGCCCTCTTGAGGGGCATACTCAGTTTCCAATCACAGGCAGGAAATGGAATAGCGGTAAGTATGGCCCATTTCATTATTCCATTCCCCACCTGTGATAAAAGAACTTAGTGTGGCACTGAAAAGGGCTCTTTTTCCTACAAAGTTTTCCTTTTGGGCTGGATCAGGCTTCTCTTGCTTACTCCCTTGGGTCCCAGATGTCATCCTCTTTGCAACCTGCATATATAAATGATTCATCTCCTCAACCTATATAATTCAACCCTGAGGATGGAAGCAGAATATTCCTCCGAAACGTTGGTATTCATTTACATATTCTGAAAACGTTCAGTATGTAATAAATATGATATACAGAAATTATTGACACAACAGTTTGACAAAGAAACAATGGCACAGGCCAGTGAGTTGACAAACCAATATCATACTGTGTAAGATTTGAGGCTTTCACGGCGGTGACTATGAAGAAAGCAGTCTTCTGGGATTTGGCACCGTGTATATGTGGTGTTAACCGACGTTTCGGAGGAACGTATCGCCTCCATCTTCAGGGTAGAAGAAAAAATATAAGAAATCTGCAAGCGAAGAGACCGTGAGAACCGGTAAAATCAGATTGCTTTTACCGGTTCTCACGGTCTCTTCGCTTGCAGATTTCTTATATTTTTTCTTCTACCCTGAAGATGGAGGCGATACGTTCCTCCGAAACGTCGGTTAACACCACATATACACGGTGCCAAATCCCAGAAGACTGCTTTCTTCAATATCATACTGCTGTCCACACTTTGTTTAGAATTGTTGGATGTGTGGCGAATACATTTCAATTCAGACTGTCATGGCACACTAACTGAGGAACACTGCAGTGTGCCATCTCTATCTGTGGCACTCATTTGGTCTTGTGAATTTCAGTTACGATTCTATAAATATTTTCTGTATTATTTATATATCTGTTCTTTCAACATGTCCAAACAGTTGTGATGTTTCCTATGTAACTCCATCAAGCATCTGTAAACTCAGGAATGCTGATCACACTATCCACATTGTGACAGGGAGAATATCAGCTTGAGGAAATACACTTCTCTAATGCAGAAACCATGAAGACCCAACATTGGTGGTGATGTGTTAGACCTAACTATCCTGACTCTGGGTTTTCCTCAGCACTTTCAAGGGAAAGCTGTGGAAGTACCTCAACCCTTATACTGCTGCGGTCGACATATGTCGATCTCTGAAAAACATGGCATCCTTGCTGTGATCGACAAAACCTGTATTGTGACTAGAGTTTCAAATCTCAGGTTTCTTTGCACCAATCTCATTCAAACTTGACGGGTGCATAGAGTCATCTGTTGGGAACGTAATGAAGCATCAATCATTTCAATGGCTGCATTCTTCTGCCCTCTAGCTTAAGAAATGTAAAAGGTTGCATCTGCACAGCAAGGCATATGCTCTATGCTCATGTGACATGGCTATTTCACAGGGCTAGTAAAAATGGCTTCATATAGTGTGCAGTGCTTTCTATAATAGTTTTAAATAAAGTTGTAGACTTTGGTCAACATGTGACATAGATAAGACTGTGATGTAAATACAGTGATTCTAGGATAGTGAATTATGTATTTTTTTGGCCATCTTGGACAAATGGACTTTTCCCCTGTGAAAAATAATGAATAATTCAACATTTTTGCAACTTCTGCTGCCTGTTCCCTGTCTGATGTAAGATTAGTTACATTTTATCACACATTTTCATACTTTGCACTTAAATTATTTATAAAAGATTTATTCAAAAATAATTCAGCACAGAGGGTGCTGAGAGTTACTTAGCAGTGAAAGGGTTAAGGCCCTGACCACATAATTTCCATTTTGGTGCTAATGATTCCCAAATACATGCTTTGTTTCATCTTCAAAATGATAATCCACCCCAAAACTTGTGTTCTGGTAATTGTTGCATTAGTTGGTAAGTCCTAGTCGATGTCTTTCCAATCTGATAACATTTAATGTGTATGCATGTATTTGCAGATAATGTTAAAGCAACACTTGACATAAACACTCTACCTCAAGTATGAACCACAGGTGAATGAAACAATAGAATGAGCTTAAACATATCAGAACACTTTCATTACAGCTGTGTTCTTACAGTGTGTTTATCTGGCTCATATTCAGTCTCAGCACGTTTTGGTCAGACCTTGTATCTTCACAGACTGGAAAGGGCAGGTAGAAAGTATGGAAGAAACCGTAACATTTTTCTATATGTTAAAAATTGCAAACATTGTAACAGTACAAAATTTTGAAGTTATGTCTGATGATTGTAACGTGTTAGTGAAAATCATGTACAGAACTGAATCACTAAGTTTTGTGATTATAATTCTTACTGTCTTCACCATATACAGTATTGAAGGATTTGAAGGAACGTGAGTTCCCATTGGAACATTTTTCTTTTGTTCTGCACAAATAGTTCTGAATACTGTTTCCTTTTGTACAGTCTGTGATGGAGGTGCTGAGTAACTCCATAGTGACTGCACTTCAGCCAACCGTGCACCACACATACAAGGAGGCATTCACCACTCTTGTGATGCCATCTTTTGAAAAGTCCTGCCAGTCCATGTTTCATCAAATCAATGAATCATTCTCCAAAGGAACAAAAGAGTGTAAGTATCCATTATCCATATTCTCTATGCTGATCCATTATAACCCTCCTTTACAAAAATCTTAAATCAGACTTTGTGAGTTTTTCACTCTCCCATGTTGCTGTACAGAGGATTGCTTATTCTAGTCAGGTGTCCTCATGGCATTTTGTAGATATTCAAACTCTGGAAAGTTATTTTGACAAGCAGCGACGACAGCAAGAAAAGGGGCGAGATATGATCAGCCAAATACAGGCCTTGTCTGATTCGTTGCGCACAAACATTGAACGTCTTACTTCCGCCATACAAGAGGAGGTGCAGTCACAAGTTAAGGAGGGACTTACAAGGTAAGTAGGGAAGAATACTCCCATACGCTGTTTTCATGCATTTGATTTGTTTCATTCTGGTCCATGACACTAACAAATTACAAAGACAAAACAACTCTGTCCAGTGTGACTATTGAAGTTTTTACTACTTGAAAACTTAACACCCTCACATGTTTCGGTCCCTATAGATCATCATCAGAGGGACATCGATACTTTTTGGAAACTACTATCACAATGGGTGTTTTGAGTGGGTACAGAACAGTAAAAACAACGCAGCATGCCACAAACAAACACAGGACGATACCAAGAGTCTCCTCAAGAGAGACAGGCAGCACAAGTTCAGCCGCCGTCAAGAAAGACGATAGAAGGGACATGAACCTACTTGGTTTATAAATTTTAACTTAAATAACAAAGTTTTAAAAACTTTAATATACCAAGAAAGCTGCTGTAGTTGTGGAAAAGTTGGATTTTGTATATATATTGTGCATTACAAACTAACTTACTTACTTACTCATGGAGCTGAGCCCTTCTGGAGGAGCCACCAATTCTGCAGCTACTCAAGAATTTCCCAGCATTTTATGGAATCCGAAGGTTCATCACCATGTTCACAGGAGCCCTCCACTGGTCCCTATCCTGAGCCAGATTATCCAGTCCATACCATCCCTTCCTATCTCTCTAAGATCCATTCTAATATTGTCCACCCACCTACACCTTTGTCTTCCCTGTGGTCTCTTTCCTTCTGGCTTTCCCACTGATATCCTATACGCATTTGTCTCCCCCATTTGTGCTACATGACCTGCCCACCTCATCCTCCTTGACTTGATCATTCTAATTATACTTGGAGAAGAGTACAAGTTATGAAGCTCTTTATTATGCAGTTTTCTCCAACCCCCTGTCACTTCATCCCTCTTCGGTCCAAATATTCTCCTCAACACCCTGTTCTCAAACACCCTCAGTCTATGCATTACAAACATTGTATGTATATATATTTTAACACTCAAATCACCCATTGTGATAGTAGTTTCCAAAAAGTATCGATGTCCCTCTGATGATGGTCTATAGGGACTGAAACATGTAAGGGTGTTAAGTTTTCAAGTAGTAGAAACTTCAATAGTCACACTGGACGGAGTTGTTTTGTCTTTGTAACTTTCATGCATTCTTTGCACAGACTCCATAAATTTAATGTGTAATGGGTCAAAATATACAGGAGAGGAGTGCTCTACAGTAACAACTATGAGATTTTAGGTTCTCATGATGGTAAATATGAAGACTGCAGTCTTATGGGATGTGAAGCCATGTAGTCTGATGTTTTCTGAGAGATAGTTAATATTATTTTGGAGTAACCTGCTGCCTTCATCTTCAGATTGTGGGGAGGGGGAGGGGGGAGTGAGTACCCTGAAAGTGTAGGCAGCAGGTTCCTCTAAATGTTCATACTGCTCTACCAAACTATGTCGTGTCACATTTCAGAAAACCAACTTCCATTTTAAGGTGGTATATGTTAGTCAGTTGTAACTCCTACTGTTTGCAAAGTCCAAATTGAACTTTATCAAATTTCTTGATAAATCTGACACATCATGTTTCCTAGTTTCTAGAATGCCAGATGATGGAAAAGTTAAAAAACCCAGGAATTCTGAATGTTGTACACCATCATCAGAACCCTTTAGAATGTACCCTTTGATATCCTGTTTGAAGACTTCTACATACTTCATTAAACTTGTAAGAAGTTTTGTGCAAATCACATTATCCATAACAATATGTGAACACCTATTGTTGTTTAGCATTACAAGAAAAGTGCTGAACAAGTTTACTGAAGCAGTGACACTGCTCATTTGTCCTGGAGATTCTTGTTTATAATCTGTGCCAGGGCATTGCTTATCCTAATAGGCTTCCACGGTAATCCTCAGTCATGTTGCAGAGTATTCTACGACCACTTCCTTTGCATTCCTGATATATTCTCTATCACGTCTTCCTTCCATCACCCTGAATGATCAATAACCTCTTTAGATAATACTACATCATTAACTGTTTCAGACCAATTTAATCAAGAATATGTCAATTTTTCAGTAATGATTTCCTGAATGACAATATGGAGGTGACATGAAAATACTAGACTTAGTTTTTTACATCAATATATATTTTTTTCCCTTCCAACAGCTTGTGGCACATTCCTGTGACAGAAATAAACACTAAACTATAATCAACGGCTGTGCCATAGCTCAAGTGGTTAGTCGCTGGCTTCCCACCATGGCAGCCCGGGTTCGATCCCAGGTCTGGTCAAGTGGAATTTGTGGTGGACAAAGTGGCGCTGGGTTGGGTTTTCTCCAAGTACTTCGGTTTCCCCTGCCAATCTTCATTCCACCAAATTCTCCATCATAATCACCCGGGGCAGGCTACAATAGGCCAAACAATGGCCACCATGCCGAGTGGACCTAGATGGACTCCACCCCCTACTAAGTGAAAAAAAAACACAGAGACATACACATTTTACCATATACTATGACTGAAATTGAGATGCCCATGTGTTATTGCATTTGAAGTATTTGTCACTCTGCAGTTGTGTGTTCAGAACCTGAAGAGATAAAATAACATGAATCATCATTCATATCACTTATTTCAATTTCATATAGCATTCAGGACAGTTTGAACAAGACTGTTTGTGAGACAATAAAGGAACATATAGCCAAAGGTTTCCGGGGACAACAAGATGTTATTCAGAACAGTGTGATCACCGCAGTGCGATCACGTGCTGTGACACCTGCACCTCATATTGTTGACTCTCACGTGCAGCAAATGCAGATTGAACAGCTCATTGGACAAGGCCAGATTAATACAGCTTTTCAGCAGGTAAACTCTTCAGCAACACTGGTTCTACTTTTTATGCTTTTGCATGCATCCCAATTTGTCACTCACATTGATGTTGTGTGCTGTGTACCTATGCAATTGATAAATTGTTAAAAATGCAGAGCAAACAATCATACCCCCTCAGGTTTTTTTTTTGGGGGGGGGGGTTAGGAATGACAAATGTCATCTTGAACTACTGTTATGCAATGACAGTGTCCTGTTGTAACAGAGTGTCTTCCATTGTGGCTGAAGAATTTCTGTTGCCTGTTATGATTGTCAAGAAAGTGGAACTCATTAAGATTATTTAGTGTGCCTACTTAATTTTGGACAAGCGGCCTCCGTAGTCTAGAGGTAACGTTCCCACCTCATGACTCGTAGTACGCGGGTTCAAATACCCGGCGGAGGTCGTTGAATTTTTAAGGGCGGAAAAATTCAGGGAACAAGTCCTCCGGGAGGGACTTTAAGCCGTGGGTCCCATGTCGTAACTTTACCTCACGTAAAAGAACCTCATATCTCCAAAGGAGGTCACTGAGCCAAATTAATGGACGTTTCCCGCCCAACAGCAGTCTCTAATAACTCTGGTAGATGGGGGAAGCATTATAGATACCTCTCAGCTAGTAGAGCCAGTCTTGCTGGCTGGGCGGGATTGATGGTAAGCACCAGTACCGGTAGGATATAGAGACTGGTAAAAATCATAAGAGGGAAGCACAATGGACCAATACAGGTCTCAGTGCATGGGGAAAACCCACCCTCTCCAATAACTAAGTAACTAATTTTGGACAACTCTCAAAATTTAACTGGCTGTTTCATGAAGGTTTTCTGTATAAAGTTGAGTTCTAAATATACAACTCAGAAATCTTCTTTGTAGACTGTTAGTTTAAACAGACATTTCATCGCAGTAAGCTGAATTGACAAGATTTTACCATAGCTGAACAGCACTAGATTTTCTATAAATGTAATCCGTGTGTCCTAATATTACAAGTCTACTACCAGTGATTATGCTGTTTTTACAAACCACTTTTTAGTGTCATAGGAATGAAGTAGCAGGCCACAATAAGTTCAGTACAGGTACATATTCATGTAAAGGTGTCTCTTTCTACAGGCCCTCTCTGCCTCAGATTTAGGGCTAGTAGTCTTCATCTGTGAAAAAGTAAACCCACAGCAGGTGTTCAACCAAACTCCATGCCCACTGCAGCAACATGTGCTGCTTTCACTGATACAGCAGCTGTCTGCTGACATGTCAAATCACACAGAGCTGAAGCACAAGTAAGTGTCTGCTTATAAAGGTCGTGTTAAAATTTAATGTCTTCTGCTTTAATATGAGACAGATGAATTTGGGAATTTTATATGCACATTACATGTCAACAAATTTTCATTCATGAGCATTTAGCAACCAGTTTTGCTGCCTTTTGCTGATTGTGTAGACTAACCTGAAACCAGAGCTGTCCAGGAGCGGAAAACAGTTTTTATGTTTTTGTAGATAGGAGGTTGGCCTAAAAGTAAACACACAGTATATGTTGCTGTCTCATCAGCAAAATGCAGGGCAAAATCATGACATACAGATAGGTAACAGATGTTTTGAAAATGTGGCACAGTTCATATATTAGGGAATGACTGATACATTAAAACCTGATTCAGGAGGAAATTAAGAGGAAATTGAACTCTGGTTATGCTTGCTACCATTCAGTCCAGAACCTTTTGTCTTCTCATCTGCTGTCCAAAAAAATAAAAATTAGAATATACAGAACTATAATCTTGCCTGTGATTCTGTATGGGTATGAAACTTGGTCTCTAACATTAAGGGAGGAACATAGACTTGAGGGTGTATGAGAACAGTGTGTTGAGGAGAATATTTGGACCGAAGAGAGATGAAGTGACAGGAGGTTGGAGAAAACTGCATAATGAGGAGCTTCATAACTTGTTCTCTTCTCTAAGTATAATTACTAGAATGATCAAGTCAAGGTGGATGATATGGGCAGGGCATGTAGCACGAATTGGGGAGAAGATGAATGCATATAGGATATTGGTGGGAAATCCAGATGGAAAGAGACCAAAGCATAGGTGGGTGGACAATAGCAAAATGGATCTTAGAGAGAGAGAGAGGATGGATTGGATTGACCTGGCTCAGGATAGGGACCGGTGGATGACTCTTGTGAACATGGTAATGAACCTTCTGGTTCCATAAAATGCTGGGAAGTTCTTGAGTAGCCGCACAATTGGCAGCTTCTCAAGAAGGGCTCTTCTCCGAGTGCTGATAATATTTCAGTACATGAAGGCTTATAGTTTGTGTGTATCATAAGCAGTCTCATCATTCAGGCAGTTATTGGCAGACTTCTCACTCGTCCATGATAGCGTTTTGTAGAGGATGGGTATGAAATTTAGACACCTGTGCCTGAGCCCCGTTTCTTTGATGTGCTGCCGCCAGACAATAAGGTCATACATTTAAACATATTACATTCAGGTACTGCTCCTGAGTGTTGGCTGTGGGTATGGGATAACATGGCTGTAGTGCTCATTTACTTGACTCAGTGTTATATTTATAACTAATGAACTTCATGGAGCTGGGTCCTTCTTGAGAAGCCACCATCCTCCATGAATGGTAGCAAACATTACCTGAGTTCAGTCTGCACATAATTTCCTCATGAAAGAAATTTTGATTTATTGCTGTTCTTCCCAAATATTTGAACTTTGCAGCATTTCGAAGGATCTGTTAGCCTCCTTTATGTTTTGATTTTTCCCTGCATTATGGTAATGAGACATTAATATATAGATAGTTTTTCTCTGTATTTATTTTTAGATCACCCTTCTTAGTAATATCAGTTAGAGCATCTGTATTTTTCTTTATGGTATTTAAATTATCTCCCAATATATTTACATCAAGAGCCGGGATAGCGGAGTCAGTGTAGTGACTGGCTATGGGCTGGATGACCTAGGGGTCAGAGTTCGAGTCCCAGTAGGGTTAAGAATTTTCTCTTCTCAACATTGTCCAGACTGGCTGTCGGGCTCACCCAGCCTCCTATCCAGTGGGTACCGGGGGCTCTTTCCCCCTGGGGTAAGGCGGCAGGGGGCGCTTGAAGCTGACCGTTCACCTCCATCTAGTGCTGAGGTCAAAAAAAAAAGTGGATCTGTATATCCACTCCCCCATACGCCTTCATGGCAGTGCTTGGTTAGTTAAGCATGAGGATAAATTTACCTTCACATATTTACATCACTAGCACAAACCAGCAGCTGATGTATCCCATTTCATTTGACTCCCAGCTTGTTTTCCTGGACCTTACTAATGACATTTTCTAAAGCAAAGTTAAAAGCAATAGCAGTAAAGCATATCCTTGTTCTAGACCATTCTGAATAGGAAACTTGTCAGACAAATGTCTATGTATACAGACATTACTATAGGTTTCATTTAAACACATTTTAGCTGAACTAACTAGCTTCATGGGTACCTCAAACTTAGTGAGAAAACTCTACAATACTTTGTTTTAACCAAAACATACGGTTACTTGAAGTCTATGAACAGCTGATGATACCATCTCACTGTACTCCCATATTTTCTGCAGTATGTGACAAATGCAAAAAATCAGATCAGTGGTTGATCTGTTGTGTCGAAACCCGTGTTGATGATACCTAATAATTTCGTCTACATGTGAACTTATCCTTGAGACAGGATATTGCATAAAATTTTGTAGTCGGTTTTATTGCTCTTTTTGTAAATTTGTACAATGATAGACTCCTTCCACTGATCAGGCAATACTCCCTTATTCCAAATAGAATTAATGAGTTTACAGATCTCATACTGTAATAGTTCATCTTCTGCTGGAATTTGTTCACCACCTGGTGATTTATACATTTTCAACTTTGCAGTTTCAACCTCAAAACAATTGGGATCAGATACAAACAGCTCAGCTGTATGTATTTCTATCTGACTAACATCACTGACTAGGTACATTCAATAAAAGAGAAGTTCTCTGACCTATTAAGAATGCTGTGGGACTCTCCAAGCAGATCACGATTCTCATCCTTCACTAGGTTACTTCTAGGTTTGTAACCAAGCTGAGCTTAACATTCATCAGATATGCTGATGGGGCTTTGCAGCTGAGATGTCGGTGCATTGAGGCTGAGTTTGTGAGAACAGTCTGGAAGTTATGTACAGGTGCACATAGTAACGACAAAGAAAGTATGGTACACGTACTTGTCCTCACTGGTTGAAAGTTATGTTCATGTTTTCACATATGTCCTAACTGAAAGACATTCAGTAACGGCTCAGCTCTTGGACATAGGCTGCAATGGCCAAGTACACAGTCTTCAGCCTCCATGTTGCAAACCATCTTAATTCTCAACAGTTATGGAATAAAAGAATGGGGAACCTAAAAACAAATTATTATTGGTACTAATAAATCAGAAGATTTTAAAAACATAACATCTGATGTTTGTTACATATTTTAGATACCTGGAAGAAGCAGTTATGAATTTGGATGCAACAAATCCTTTGACAAGAGAACATATGCCAGCAGTTCTGACCAACTTGCAACGCCAGCTGACAGCATACATTGCAAGCAACCCCAATAACAAGATTACACGCAGCATGAAGATGCTTAATATGGCCACACAGTCTCTGCTCAATGGTTAGGGTATGTTTAACATTCTCTCTAGCAGCTTGTTTTTATTTATTTTATTTTTAGTATTTTCTCAGCTGTATAGTTTATATGGCACAAATGGGAACAGTCATTTTAGAAAGATACAGAATGAGAAGCTGAGGTCTATTTTAGGTGATATCCGAATATTTTCCTAGATGGACATCAGAAAGACTGAATCAAGGTAGCTGGTCTCTGGGCCAAGAATCAAATCTTAGACCTCCTAAATGTGAAGGAGTGCTAAGGTTCAACCACATAAGCCTTGAAATTAAAGTATTTTTAGAGATATGTAAAGCAGGCATGTAAAAGTCTTGAATTTTAGATACTGAATAAAAAAGTCTTGATATCAATTTAAATGTCGATTTTTCAGTCAGACCTCAAGAATTTTCACATAAATCTTTTTACTTTGATAACCACAGTGATCGGCAACATTAGCAGTGATCAGCTTCCAGCTTTCTGGCTGCATTGTATCTTTCTCCTGTATGCAACACTGGGACTTTCCTTCTTATCACCAGCTCATCTCAGTGTCAGCAGTGCCAACATAGTATAAGAAAAGTGACTAGTGTTATCAGTTATGACTGCAGTGAAAAATATTCATATGTCACAGTTCCCAAAATTTTTCAAAGTCTTATCTCTGAGAAATTCATTCTCACACATGACTTATGTAAACTTCTTTGGCTATGAAGACTTAACTCCTGTGTTATAAATAGAAATGCATTCCTACAGAAATTTTTCAGTTCACACCTGTAATAGAAACACAGTTTTATCCAACAGAAATAGTAGTAGTTATAAAAAAGAACTTGAACTTGATGGCTTCCTTCCATACAACTTAAACAAAGGTAATAACTGCACAGCCTTACTACCAGCCAGACATGCGCACAGGCTGGTCAGCTGCATATCCTGTATCACTGGTGTACGTACAAATATGATCTTAATTTCATAACATAATCATCTCTTAAAAAGTAGATACGAATTGGCTGAATTGGATTTTTGTAAAAATTTTAATATTTATTTGATGCTTCCAAAATGGTAACATTCCATAACCTGTAAAATAACAATCAGGTTTTAAGGACTGTTATAACTTGGGACGCTGCTGTAGTAAACAGAGTAACATATGTAGTACATTTTGTCTCACCGCAGCCTGACATGTTAACTATATAAAGATCTTCATTGTATAGAAAGTCATGTGTGAAGGTTCATGGGGTATTATAAATTTTTTGAAGGAGCGATAGATTTAATGTCCTATTAATACAGGTTAATTTTGAAAATTATCATTATTTCTTTCTCATGACAAATGCAAATGACCTCTACAGAGTTCAATGTGTGATTTATTTCAGCAATTCCCAGGAATTAACCAACCACACAAAAATTTTTAAGTTCTGACTATAGAAGGTCCTCACAAAGGTTAGTATATGGATCTTCATTATAGATTCAAGTTCTTGCAATAGTATGATACCTACCTTTCTTCATATCTTCTAGTGGATATAATGATGCTAACAAGAGCTATAAATTAGCAATTTACAATTCAGTGATCCACTTCTATGCATAATTTCTACTATACAGATTCTGACAATGTTAAGTTTTACAAATAACACCTCAAACTTTAATATCATCACCATGTTTATAACTGGTAACATGTAAAAATTATTCCATACACAATTTGTAGGTGTGTTTATGATCTAGCTGAGTATTCCTAGCTTCAGTAGTTCAGCAGTTGGCCACCATAAAAATGAGACTAAATTTTAGATCATGTGACCATCTCATTGTTTTAAACATTCTACAAAAAGAGTACCCAAAGAAAGTTGCATGTCACAAATGTTTGAAATAAGGGGAAATGGCCACATCAGTAGAAAGAACATGTGAAGTATGACACAACAGACCCCGGAACCAATTTATGTCCAGTATTCTTCTCTCTTGCTGAACTCTGTATGTACATGGAATTACTGAGAATCATCAGTGTGCATTTCGATATATGAGATCAACTACTGATTACATATTCTGCATTTATCAGTTACTGGAGAAAAAAAAGGGAGTACAGTGGGACAGTACGTCAAGCCTATGCCTCATTTGGGATACAACTACTGTGCAATACTCTCATTGGACTTAGGATACCCATGATACTAGTTAACCAGTTAAAATACGAAGAGCTCTGTCTTCTGGGATATAACATGTTGTGCATTGAAAGTCAACCGATGTTTTGGAGGAATGTTGCCTCTGTCATTAGGATTGAAGGGCAAGCCAAGTTCTGCACCCTGTCTGCTTGTGTTTCTTCAGTCCTGACGATAAGAGACATGTTTCTGAAACACAGCTTGAATTTCGACAGGCTACATGGCATTACATCTCAGAAGATAGAACTCTTCACAACCATTGCTGCGAGAACCTCAGATCCTTCTATTAATGTGCATTTATGAAAAACTATAGGAAAGTTTTATATGTAAACATTTTCCTATGTAGAATGATCTGAAACGAGGAGATGCTTTGTTACTGCTTTTCAGTTTTTCTTTAGAAAGGAAGGTCAAAGGATATCAGGTGGGACTGGGATTCAATGATTTATGTGGCCAATGTTAATTTATTGGACAAAAATGTAACACCATAATGAAAACTGCAACAGTTGTAAGAAGGTTGGCCTACAAATGAACAAAGACTCTTGCTAAGATTCTGAAAATGTGGCATTGCTCAGTAAGCTGGAAGCAACAGTAGCAAATCAAAATGACATCCACAAAGAAATTTAGTAATGTCTGCTCCAATTCAGTTCAGAATCTTTTGCCTTCCTCTCTGCCATTAAAAAATGTAAAGATTTGAACTGTTGTTTGTTGTACGTGTGAAAATGGTCTCTGACAAAGAGAGAAATAAAGCCTGGAAGGCAGTAATGTTTAGTAGTGCTGTGAGAACCTCAGATTCTACAGACCTTCATATTTACAGTCTACCTAATATTACTATGATCAAAATCAATAAGGGTGAGTTTGATGTGGCACATAGCATACTTAGAAGAGATGAGAAACCCATGCAGAATTTTAGGGAAAATCTGAATGACATATATCTCTTTTAAATTGGTTTACATTTTGTTTTTTCAGATTCAGATCCTGTGGTCTGCTTCAAGAGAAATAATTTTATTCATACATAATTCTCAACATGTTTGGTCTTTCTGAGATGTTTGGAGTGAAGTTATGACTATTAGCTGACTGCTAGTTTTTCTTCTCCTAAAAGTGAATTCTCTTCATGAAGTTATCCATGACTCATACACATATTGATATGTCTTGTGTTGGTAATTGTAAGGTGAACTAGGAGACAAAAAGTAAATTTGTCTCTTATCTTTGATTTATGCTCCCAGTTGTGTTTATTACAAATGGAAGTACTTTATGATACCATCAGCACATCTATTTTATATGTTTTATTTTCTGGTACATGTTAGATTGCTGATCATCTTCAGATGGTACAGTACTTAAAAACGTCAATTTAGTTTAGTAGTTCAGCTGATATTGTGTTCTGTCCCACAGATAGAATAGCAACATAAAACTATCTATAGATAACATGACAAATGCCAATATGATCATCAAGAAACTGTAATACCAAATATAAGAGCAACCCCATAACAATGACTTCTATAAGTGGAGTGCCACATACAATTATACAACATTACAATACCAACTGGAAGGACAGAACATACCACGAATACACATCACCCCACATACAGTCAAGAATTCCAATAAGGTGACACCTGCATATGGTAGCCAGACTCTGAATTACAAGTACCATCATGTTAACATCCCACGACTACAGGAAACCATGAACTTCCTAAAAATTATATAGTACACATATTTTAACCTAAGCATAGGTATAAACAATCTTGTGTAATAAGTTCATATACAAGTACATACAGTTATAGCTACATATATAGCAATTTTATATTGTTTTATTAATTTTATTGTCTATATATTTTAATATATTGTATGTTTCTATTTTACTAATTAACTGATAACATCCCAACTGACAACACATCCAAAACATGAATATATGAACAAGAGCTCAAGTTCAACAGAATGTAGGCATGACAATTCAGTGAACTGGTGCTTTAAGTACTGTGCCACCTAAAGATGATCCAGTAATCATGGTCAAAACATGTACTGGAAAATGAAACATATCGATTATAAAGCAGTTGTGTTGATGGTATTGTAAATATTTCCAAGTTTTTCTCAATTTTTCCATTTATATAACATGCTGTGGAAAATGATTTTAAATGTTCAGGAAACTAACTTAAAGCTCTAAGGTAGTATGCCTTTGGATAAGCTAGAATATTATTTGCTTTTTAAAAATATGGAAAGGTGAATTTTGTCACAATATTTTTCTTTATGTACTGTTTGCCAGTGAAGTAAGAAGAGATTCATTTCTGGTTACATGTCTGCATATTTGAAGCTACTGAAATGTTATACAGATGCATATTTAAGAGACGAATTTTGCACTTTTATTAATTACAGAAACAAGTCAAATATTAGCAGGAGACTTACTGTGGAATTGGCAGCTGACCTTGCTCAGTTCTGTTGGGTAATTTCAGAATGTATGCAATTTGAAAAGCATGAGGTACCAGTGTAAATGCAAAACTTATTTTGTCTGTACATACACATAATCAGTTTGTAAGAATTAAATATTAAATAGTATGTTTATTCATATAGTAATGTTCACAAACAGTATTATTTTGACACTCGACCATGTTCAGGCTAAACACTGCATGTATAATACAAATAGCAGAGTGGTTTTTAGTTTTTCTTACTTGCAACGCTGTTTCTCTTGCTGGCCAACTCTTCTTTCACAAGCGATGCCCAATGTTCCCTCATATGTTTTGACACTTTAAGTCTTTTCCTCTTTTTCTTATTTGTTGGTACTGTTTCTTTCTTTGTTGCAGATTTTTTCTTCTTGCAAGAGAGTGGGTTTGGGCCACCTTTTTTTTTCTTCCTTTTCTTTTGTTCCTCAGGTTCGGTGACACCAAATTTTTTCTGTTTTAGGTTAGTAAGAGTATCCTTATCAGTTTTACTCACTCCAAATCTAAAGAAAATAATATATTCATAAGAATGCTGAATTAAACTGCAAATAATTATTTACAAACCTCATGTGTTACCCTGTTAACAGTCATTGCTTAACTTCCCAGAGTTGATTTTTTCAGCATATGTGAAAGTCAAGTGTCTTACCTTTTCAAGATTGTTGAAATTATTTTTGTTTCTTCTGTTCCATGTTACAACAAAAAAGTCTGTCAAAATTCATATTTCATATACATCTCCAAGGCAGTACAATTAAAGAGAAAAAGAGAAAATGTTTTGGGAGGAAGTCAACAGCTCAAAGCATAGCAAAGAGATGTCATAATATCCTGCTCTCATAGGAGAGGTTAAGGAAATATTTTAATCTAGCTTACAGCTAACTGTATCATAATGTGAGAGAGACCCTATGTTCAGATATACAGGTGCAGGAATCTACTGTGTGAACTTATGCATATTCAGATGTAATGGAAAAGTTTTTAAGATGATTATGAATGACCATACTAATATCACTAAAGAAACTCCAGTAAAGGTTCTTTTGTATGGCCACTTTCTCAAACGTCCTCACTCTTGCTTTCTTTGCCACTCAAACTCGAAAGCGTAAGCCTCTTCCATAAAGAACTTTTTTTTTGTAACTAGTTAAATACAGAGTTCAACATGACAGCTAATTAAATAAGTTTCGGGACAGTTCAAGACTGACTTTGTACATAATATAATCCAAATAATGGGGTAAGTTCAAAAAGGCAATCAAAGGGAGTGTGGCCACCATTGCAAATTACCAGTGTACTCAAATTAGACACAGAGCCATTATGTTTTCTATCTTAAGAAAAGTATAACAAATCCTTAATCACTTTTGGCCAGCATGCAATAAAAAAAGATTCTGTGGTTTTAGTCTGCAAGCGAACTATACCGACTGAGCGACCGCAATTTGTCAGCAAAGTTAGTGCAAATTTTAGCGGATAGAGGATGTCGCGTGGTCGGGGCAACAAATCCCCATGGCCGTTAATTTCGGTTTTCTAGACCAGAGCCACTATTTCCTTGAAATTATTCCTCAGTTATCCTCACAAGGCTGAGTGGACCCATTCCAGACCCACTACTACTCAGAAAATCTGGTAGCACTGGGAATCAAACCTGGACCTCCGGATCTGTAGCCAGGAACTATGACCACAGAGACAGTCCTTAAATAAAAAGTAATTCTGAAATGTTGATAATTTCTGGAAAGGAAGTAACAGAATGGAGCAAAATTGTATGAGTGTCATAATTAATAGTCCACCTAATATTAGGATGAATAGGTCTAGGAGAACAAAATGGGCAGTATATTAAATTAAATTTATAGAAGCAGGGTGTGGACTGATTTCACCTGGCTCAGAATAGGGACCAGTGGTGGGAATTTATTTGAACATAATAATATAGATTCCACAAAAATGGGGAACTTCATGACATACTGAGCAACTATCAGATTTCCAAACAGACCTTGCACCTTGACATCCATTTGTTCATAAATAAAAATTATGAGCTCTATGGAACATACAAGATAAAATGAAATGTTCTTACTAACTTTTCATTACTATTAATCCTAGCCATGCGTAAACTCGCTGCTGATGGCTGTTCCAATGTTGGTGCTCTCTGATGCAGATACAGAAGTGGTGTCCCTGGGATTCTACGTACAACAGTCTGGAGTTCTTTGTCCTGCGTTGCAATAATATACCTGCAGTAATAAAGCGTTATTAAAATCACTGTATTGTTTCAAACAACTATATACATCAAAAGACCAGAAAGAAATACCTATTTGGATTGTTGACTCCCAACATAGATTCCAAACAAATGGATCCAGGTACTGGCATAGTGTGGCCACATCTGTGGGTAGCAAACTGCTTGACAATTACCGTTGCTCCATAAATACTGTGACCTATATAAATGATAACTTAATTTAAATGCAAATGTTCATAAATTAAACACTGTACTTGGTATAATGCGAACACACAAATCCTACCTAAGTTTGCAGATTCTTGTATCACACACTGTGTTGTCAACAACTTAACATCTCCATCCATGTATTTGGGTGTCTGTTCTCTAATATTAAATTTATTCTGCAAAGAAAAAAACAAATCCAAAATTTTTAACTTGCTTTGTTCCAAGTTCCACCATACCGTTCATTAGTCATCTTAATAGGTTTAAAACCACCTCAACTAAAGTGCCATGCAATGCTGATGTTAACATTAACATGGTGCACCATGTGATAGTGTGGTTAGTATTGCTAAAGGGGGGCTTTATACTATAAACTATATACATTATACTATACTATACCATACCATATAATATTGCTAGTGGAGTGGGACTGTACTGCGGCCACTTCTAGCCTATTGTACCAGCCCCAGATGATAGGTTAGGGTGATTGTGGAGCAATTGGTGAAATGGAGATCTGGCAGGGGAAACCGAAGTACTCGGAGAAAACGTGCCCCAGCGCCACTTGTCCACCACAAATCCCACTTGGCCAGACCCGGCATTGAACCTGGGCCGCCACGGTGGGAAGCCAGCGACTAACTGCTTGAGCTATGGCATGGCCTAATCTAAACCTTAATATGCATACTAAACAGTCAAAGTTGTTCAATCAATAAATTCTTTAAACTTCTTTTGGCCATGAAATTGATCAATATGAATTTTTTTTAAGATCATTTAGAGTGTTTTCATGCCCTGTGTTGATATACTGCAGTCTTAGTTTAATTCTGCTGATGAATGAATGGCGTCTTTCCCAGTTGTCTCACCTTTTACAGGAGGCAGAACTTTCTGATATAGTAAAAGGAGCACTACAAAAGGCAGTGGAGCCAGGAGTGGGATATGGGCAATGCAGCTGTACCTTTATTATAATATAGGGTTATTCTGTGTCAAAAGAGCATATTGAAATATAATTTTCAACCTTACCTTCTGACTTGAATGAAATTTGGTGTACATACTCTCACACATTAGAAATTTTTCTCACAAATAAGCACTATTTTGTCGTACGTAACATACACAGCTGAACTTAGGGTCATTTTAAAGGGCATAAACTAAGGTCATCAAAGATACCTTTTGACTCTGAATGTTAAAACAACTACAATTTCAAAATTTTGAGGTGGAACTGTCAATACACTGAGAACTGCCATATTAGACAAGGGACTGACATGAAAAAAAAAAAACAGTTGAACAAGGCCTATAAGGCCTTCTGGACATGCAGAGGCACATTTTGAAAAACCTGGGGACTGAAACCAAAAGTGGTGTATTGGCTATATACTGCTCTAGTAAGACCCATAATTACCTATGCTGCCATTATGTGGTGGCCTAGAGTTAAACTTAAGTCAGGCTGAACTAAGCAAATTGCAAAGGACGGCCTGCTTGGGAATTACAGGAACAATGAGAGCAGCTGCAATGGAAATCCTATTAGTACACTCTCCACTGCATCTGCAGATGGAAGCAGAGGCCAAGTTAGGGAATTACAGATTATGTTGCAATGATCAATGGAGACCGAAATCCAAAGGTTTTGGACATGCATATATAGAAAAGAACCCATCCTACAGATGGGGGTCAGACAAAATGATACCAAAACATGTCTATGATAAACGCTTCACAATCGGATTTCCTGATAGAAGTGAATGGAAAGAGTTTCAACCCAAGAGAAAGGTGGGACTAATCTGGTATACAGATGGTTCCAAGACAAATAAAGGCACTGGAGCCAGGGCGTATTGTGATGGAACAGGGCGGAAACATAGTTTCAGCCTTGGTCAGTATACAACAGTATTCCAGGCAGAAGTGTATACCATTAAGGCATGTGCAGTTGAGAATTTAGAAAGAAACTATAAAAATATGAATATCTATATTTTATCGGATAGTCAAACTGCAATCAAAGCACTTGGTACACACCAGATCACTTCAAAATTGGTCTGGGACTGCCAACAGTCCCTCATACAACTGGCCAGACATAACAGAGTTCAGCTAATATAGGTGCCAGGCCATGAGGGTATTCCTGGGAATGAAACCACAGATCAGCTGGCAAGAACAGGATATGAACAACCGTTCATAGGACCTGAACCAGCTTGCAGCATCTCAATTGGCGTTTTCAAGAAAGCGATCAGGGACTGAACTAACAGAAATCACAAAAAACACTTGGAATCCACAACTGGACTCAAACAGGCAAAAGGATTTATATCAGGACTTACTGGACACTGCCACCTAAAAGGGCACCTTTTCAAACTGGGACTGACAGAGGACCCAGCTTGTGAGAGGTGCCTACAAGAAGATGAATCAGCCACACACATCTTATGGGATTGTGAGGCTATAGCTTATGTAAAATATCGCTACCTGGGTCAATTCTTCATGGAACCAAGTGACTTTTATGATGCCCCCATAAATAAAGTCCTACATTTCATTCGAAGTGTAGGATTAATAATGGGTTAATCAAAAGGGGAAGCACAATAGATCATTGAAGGTCGCAGTGCAAGGGCCGGTTTTTATGGCTCATACTCATAGTCAAGTTTATCCAAGGAGATGCTGTCCTTGAGGAACCTAATTCAAATGAGGCACGAGGGACTGCTGGTAATATTTACTCTCCTGTGAATAACATGACAACAGCACTTTATGTGACAGCATTTTTAACCCTTTAAGGCACAGTGGCTCTATGCACCACCTGCTTTTACATTAAAAAGCTTTGCATTTTGTCTACTTGTATTTCATATGACTCTCATAATAAACAGGTGTTATTTCCTTAAACTCACAGAAACTTTAACTGACGCAAGTAAAGAGGTTGGTCTAGAAGTATACACAGAGAAAACTAAGTATATGTTGCTGTCTCATCACCAAAATGCAGGGCAAAATCATGACATAAAGATAGGAAAGAGATGTTTTGAAAATGTGGCACAGTTCAGATATTTGGGAACAATGATAACAGATCAAAACCTGATTCAGGAAAAAATTAAGAGGAGACTGAACTCGGGTAATGCTTGCTAACATTCGGTCCAGAACCTTTTGTCTTCTCGTCTGCTGTCCAAAAAACATAAAAATTAGAATATACAAACCCATAATTTTGCCTGTGGTTCTGTATGGGTGCGAAACTCAGTTTCTGACATTAAGGGAGGAACATAGACTGAGGGTGTTGAAGATAACATTTGGACCAAAGAGAGATGAAGTGACAGAAGGTTGGAGATGAGGAGCTCCATAACTTGTGCTCTTTTCCAAGTATAATTAGAATGATAAAGTCAAGGAGGATGAGGTGGGCAGGTCATGTAGCACGAATGGGGGAGACGAGGAATGCATATAGAATATTGGTAGTAAAGCCAGAAAGAGAAAGACCAAGGGGTAGGTGAGTGGACAATATTAAAATGGATCTTAGAGAGATAGGATGGGATATATTGGATTGATTTGGCTCAGGATAGGGACCAGTGGAGGGCTCTTGTGAACATGGTAATGAACCTTCAGGTTCCATAAAATGCTGGGAAATTCTTGAGTAGCTGCAGAATTGGCGGCTCCTCCAGAAGGGCTCAGCTCCATAAGTGAGTAAGTAAGTATGTCCTTGAACTACAATAACCAACTGGGCTTTATAATGGAAAGTGGACTTCAAAGGGTGAAATCTCTAATTTAATTACAATTCTGTTACCATCAATTAGATTTCATTTCATTTATTTCGTGTCCATGGATCATTATACATGATATAAGACATGTCATTCTTGTGTAGTTATAGTATAATAAGTTTCATGATGTTACTATTGGGGGGGGCTGCACGTGAAGCATCTTATCCCTTCTGTAACAATTCAATTCAATTTTATTTCATCCATGAATCATTATACATGATATGGGACAAGTCAAAGATTAATATTAATACTAATACTAAATAGTAATAAGAATATAATAATACAGAAATAGTATGCCAAATTATAATAAATGATAATAATAATAATAATATAGTAATACAGAGATAATAATATGACAGTATAATTAGTCTTGAAAACAGTTTCTGTGGTCTTAAATCCTCCATATGTCCTATTGTACCTTTACTGGTGGTAATGCCTATGGAGATTTGATGGAATGAGGATTGGACCGCCTTCAAATCATTTACATAAGTATCTATTATTTCTTACTTTTTCGGAAATACTTCGACTTATAATGGTAGTTAAAGTTACAAAAACAGTGGACTTTCATGTGATGTCACCTTTAAAGCAGCATAGCAGAATGTTCCATCAATCAATACTTGATATGGTTGTCGGAAACCGTAGTTATTGCAAAAAAAATTCAAGTATCTGTGCACTTTTCTTCGCCTTGATATTTTCATTCTGAATCAAATTAAAGTTCATACATAACCTACACACTAACATGGGTTAAATTCTAGTACTTGTGCTCGGTCCCCTCCATTCTTCAGGTCACGGATTACTACTTTTGTATGATCTCTACGATCTCTACGATCACCATCTCTATGACGCTCTACGACCTCTACGATGACAGAATACAACTACGCAGGCGCATGTTGAAATGTTTGTCGAGTGGTCGAGTGCAGTGGGTCTGTAGCAGGCAGGCCCAGAAGATTATCATGGATTCATTCGAGTATCGTATCGAAACACGTGCCAACCTATCGCGTTCTGTACGTGTGACTTGAATTGAGTCGTTGTGAATTATCGATGATAGAATGGTTGTTTATTGGTAGACGTGTGTACGAAGTTCCTCGTATGTTAGGGCCTTAATTTAGTTTCCTCTATAATATATCTTCCGACCTATTGATAGTCCAATCTCACGGCAATATAAAGTGTGTACGGTGCGCAATTTTTTGGTGATGGTCAATATCTGTGTCTATGCGACCATGTGAAATATTTATAACATAACCTAAACGTCATGATCTAATACCTGTGTATATGGCTGAAATGAAGTCCAAAGCATATGGCACAATTAGCTATGCCAACAAGCTCATATTAGCGCCTATGGTAAGAGTGGGGACACTGCCTATGAGACTACTAGCCCTTGATTATGGAGCAGATATTGTGTACTGTGAAGAACTAATAGATTGGAAGTTACTGAGATCAGTAAGAAGAGAGAATGGTAAGTAAATTCCAGTATGTTATCATAGTATGTATTTCTGTTGTTTTGTAGGAAATAACGTGGTTTAATCAACTTATATAAAGGTGGTGAGTATTACAACTGTTCAGATGTATGTTGCTTGTATATTAACCAAGGGATTAGCAGTGGTCTCTCCTACAACCGCAATATTAACCGAAGCTTATCTCCAACACATGGAACATAAACAACTATATCCAATTTTAATGAAATATCAAATAATTGGATATTTTAGATACATCAATATTATCATAATGTACAATCAAAAGAAAATAAATACAGATGAAACTATGGCTGAATTCAGTAAACAAAGAACAAATATAAAATTCACCATCAAAAAAGAACAACACAACTCTATCAGCTTTCTGTATCTTACAGTATACCATAAGAGAACAAAATTAGAATTCACGATATATAGAAAATGTACACAATCGCATATCATAATATCAAATGACTATGCCACCCATATGAACACAAAATATCAAGTGCTAATTACCTAACGAACAGAGTGCTTACATACCCAATAACAAAAGAAGCAAAAGAAAGGGAAAATATGCAAGACACAATGACTATAATGACTACAATATAAACTTAAGTACAAGACATTCAAATCAACACAAGCACAACAAAAATACAGGTAGGCAACACCAAAAGAAGAAAATGGGTCATTTTCACATATAGTGGAAAGGAAACGAAGAAAATTAGAAAGCTCTTTAAAGAGATGCAAATAGGAATAGCATTTCGAACAAGAAACACAATACAAAACATGGTAAAACCACAGCCACAAATAGAAAAGAGTGGCACATACCAAATGAAATATATGGATTGCCCGCTAAAATACATTAGGCAAACAGGCCGAACATTCTATACCAGATACAAAGAGCACATACAAGTAATAAGGAATAGCAACAGTAATTCTGGATATTCAAATCACATATTAAGTACAGGACATGTATAAGGGTGTATAACTGTTACAATGGAAATTGCCAAAACAGAGAAAAAGAGAAAGCATCTGAACACACTGGAGAAATATAATCTTAGTAGAAACAGATTACACATGAATGACACATATTGAATGCTTGTAACCCAATATTGAAAATGTTGCAAGAATTAAACACCAGATAGTGATACACACACAGTATAAAAGACTCAGTCCTGTTTAGCAAACATTCATAGTCTAGACACACAGCACCAAGAAGTAAGTACATAAACAAGTAATCATATAGAACAATAGCACATGCTATATACAAAAATACAAACACAAGATACATGTTACAGACATGCGAGTTCATAGACGGGGCTACACATCAAATATTAGAATGACAAAACAGAAGCACAGCAGTTTCTACCAAACAAGTTTAAACATCTGATGATGACCCTTATCAGTCGAAACATGTAGTATGCAATGTACAGAAATATGTAAATAAGAAGAAAGCAGTCTTCTGGGATTTGGCACCGTGTATATGNGCATGTTAATAAGGTTTAAAAATCATATTGTATATGTAAGAAATTTTGAATAAGTTTTAGTAGGATGCGTTGCACGTGAGAGTGAATCAGAGAGATCTGTTGAATAATAAATGATATGCAACAGGATGCTGGAGTTCCTGTATTGTTGGAGGGCTCGGGAGGGAGTGTTTCACATTGGGTACCAAATGGATTGACTCACTGGTCAAACATGGCTGACATGAATTCATGAAGTATCCAGTTCAGATCTCAACTAGAGCACTCTCTCTCCTAATAGAAGCTTCCATCGTTCTGATTTATTCAGTCCTTCCAGTCCTGCCAATCCTCATTCCATCAAATTCTCCATAAGCATTATCACCAGTACAAGTACAATAGGACATATGGAAGCCAACGTGCTGAGGGGACCTAATATGGATTCCACCTCACACTATGCCAACTCTAACTATTGTAATCTACTGTAATCTATTGTAAACAATTGTAAGTATTGTAACTTTGAAGAAAGCAGTCTTCTGGGATTTGGCACTGTGTATATGTGGTGTTAACTGACGTTTCGGAGGAATGTATCGCCTCCATCTTCAGGGTAGAAGGGAAAAATATAAGAAATCCGCAAGCGAAGAGACTGTGAGAACCGGTAAAAGCAGACTGCTTCTACCCTGAAGATGGAGGCGATACGTTCCTCCGAAACGTCGGTTAACACCACATATACACGGTGCCAAATCCCAGAAGACTGCTTTCTTCATAGTCACCGCCGTGAAAGCCTCAAATCTTACATATTATAACGTTACTCTCTTATTGTAATCAGCCAATGTGCAGTAACTGACTTGTCCTATATCATGTAACAATGATCTATAGAGACAAAATAAATAAATAAAAGTAGATGCTGAGCCAGTACTTGAAGTGGGGTACTTCCTTTGCATTTTTTTTTCGATTTCATTACACAGTTATTTAATTTCATACAGCACTAATTGTGACATTAATACAGTGTTCTTAAACCTTTATCATCTGTGCATCACACAACTGTGTGCTGGTTTAGCAGGCCCTGTTTACAATATAAATCCCATTACTGCCAAGTTTAAATCTGGCTGCTAGCTTCACAATACTGGGAGATCTAAATCCAGAAGATGAAAGTTTAAATAACCAGTGAACCATTATTACTCAGGTATGGTCTCTTCTTTCAACTCTTGTGTTTGTTTTGGGGTATTATGCTTTCTGAAATTACTGATAAAATATCAGGTCTGAGATTCTGTATTTTTGTAATGAAGAATGTATACACCAATATTCTTTTTTCTTTCAGAGGTCCTGGGCACTGTTGATTATATAGATAAGTCAGACGGGACTGTTGTTTTCCGCACCTGCCAACGTGAAAAGAGCCATGTCGTGTTTCAGATAGGGACTTGTGATCCGGAAAGAGCACTGAAAGTAGCAAAACTCGTGTAAGTACGAAAGTAGAGATGAACCTGACAACGTGAAATATGCCATTGTTGCATATAGCTCCTTTGAAAGCAAGGCAGCACCTTTTCTGTGTTAAATGACTGGATGATTAATCAAAAGTAAATTAGGGAGGTTGTTGAAGGAAATGAGTGTGGTTTAATTTTTAAGGTACTATCCAGGCATTTGAATGGAGGGACTGAAGAAAACCACAAAAGATTTCAGTCATGATAGCTTATCTCCAGACCAAGATTTGGACCTGGGCCCTTCATAGTGCAAAGCAGTCATACTAACCATTTGATTTGAGTGTTCATTTACTCTTACATTACTGCAGACATTAGCCATTTTATACAAATTGCCTGCAGCTTCAGCAGTTTGACTTAGAATCTGAATTCATTCTTCTTTGGGTTTCTATTCACGGTTTGGTTAAACAAGATAGAAACAGCTTGTTGATCTTTGTGAGATTTTAGATCGTGGTAGTGGTAAACAGTTTGGTTTAGAGGTAATGCTGTAGACTAATGTTCTGTAGGTGCTCAGTTCAGATTTCGGCTGGGTACTACTATCCAAGCATTTGCCTGAAGAGACCGAGGAACACCATGATAACCCCCCATCTTGAAACATTTACATCTCAAATAGAGATTTCAAGCAATGCTGCTTCAACTGAGAAACTACTGGAAAGAGAATAAGGTTGTATGCTATTTTAATCAGTAAAACAAAAATTACTTTCAGAATACACTGTTCTCTAGTACTGGCTTACAGGTAATTGTCATTATATTTAAGTTAAAAAAAATGCAATTTCATTTTAATGCAGTCAACTATTTAGACTGATTTCACTTAATCGCACTCACTTTGATGTGAATTGCTTACTGACCAATAGATTTGGGAAGAAGGGGAAGTAGTATTTCATATGGGAGGTGGTGGAGGAAGGCAATGGGTGAAGGAGAAATTTGACACAGCTGGGCAACCTTTTACGTGCATCTGTTGTTGCATAAGAAATCAGAGACTGGATTATTTTTTCAAAGAAGTCGCAGTCAGTAGATCTACCAAATACTTCTAGTAAAATTTGGTGTCAACTTAAGGTCATAAATGCAGAACTCAATAAACTGTTTCTGTCATCTCACAAACTACTTACAGACATTTAAAATAGGTCTTGCTGACATGTTTTTTAGTGTTTGAGAGAGAGCCAGGAAGTGTGTTTGTCTTGGGACAACTGGGCAAGTGATTTTGACTCAGTGGCACATATCTCAAGGACATTATGTCATCCCATTTCTTAATCAATGTCTGGCATTGTTTTTTAAACATAAATCATAATAGACATAATTTATTCACATTGAAGTCTCATAAGTTTTAATGAAATGAGAACTCTTTAAACGCAAGACGATCTTTTTAACTAAAGGCAAGAATATTCTGATACCTTTTGTAGGTTTCAGACAAATCCATTGATTCTTATGAGGAAATTTGTTGAATTGATGCTATTTTGCCATCTTCTTCTTTTTTGATCACTGCTGTTGCATAAATCAGGAGTGTCTGTATTTATGCCAATCATGTTTCTTGGTTTTATTAGAGAGAATGATGTAGCTGGTATCGATGTCAACATGGGATGCCCTAAGGAATTTTCTGTGAAAGGTGGAATGGGATCAGCACTTCTTACTCAGCCAAAGAAAGCCCAAGAGATTCTCAGAATTCTGGTACAAGGTGTAAAGATTCCTATTACATGCAAGATCCGCATCCTTCATGACCTAGAGAGTACAGTGGAATTGTGCAAGCAACTAGCAGACTGTGGTATTGCAGCTATAGCTGTGCATGGGCGCACAAAAGATGAACGACCTCGCCACATGAACCACAATGATTTCATCAGAGCAGTGTCTCAAAGTGTTAATATTCCAGTCATAGCCAAGTAAGCAGACAACCTCTACAGTAATTCTCTCTCCCTCTTTTTTCAACTCCATTCACTTCTTGTTTATGTTGTATATTTTCTTCCTCTTCTTTTGCCTTCTTAATATTTTCTCCTCTTCCTCTTTCCATCAGTATTCCATTCATCTTCTCTTATATTCCATTATTTCATTTGTAGTTCCTTTCTTGTGTTGTTTCTTTGGGTATCTGCCTTTTCTCAGAACCCAGGTATCAGGCTTTGTGTTTCCAGCCATCCGTTGATTCTGTTACACACAATGTTGTGGACACTGCCAATTTTTGTGAAACTTGGCTTGGTACTTATGCTACTTGAGATTCCTCCATTTTTTTTTATTTATTGAATTCCCTGACTTCAGCAATACCAACATTGCCACAGTGTAAACTTCTTAGATGTGAATAACTTAGACCTATTTTCTACACAGTCTTGATATTTTTTATTGTGATATTTATTTGAAAACTGTGCAGTTTTTACTGGTTCTGTTTTATGGAAATGACAGTCACTTGAAATATTTTGGTGTGATGACATTGACATTAATCATTTTAATTTCATCTGTGAAAGCCTGTGCTGTGTCATATTATAAATGAAAATTTTCCTCCTCGGATGAAAAGTGTCAGTATGTAGAGTGACTAAAGAGAAGGGAAAATAGATTTTAAGTTTGTTGACAAAAGAGTAAACCTTTAAAATATCAGGAAAACACTGTTGGATGTCATCATGAAATGTGCATCTTGATGTCTTCATTTTTTAAAGTAACGCCATGAAGCACTGTCACATGTGAGGTTGACTATGCTAATAAAATCGCACTATTAGACCCTATTCAGTGCCAAGGTCCTTTATGATGAGAAGATGTTAGTCCTTGGTTGATTAGGGTTGTTAGCATAACCTCCAGGCTGGAGTTCCACCATTTGCTAGTTATCTGTGACTTCTCATTCAACACTCCATATCTAAAGGTCATCATCTGCCTACAGAATCTTATTTTTATTGTTTTTTATGAAACATACTGGTGTGATATACCATTGTATACAACCTGAGAAAACCTTGTTATAAATACATCCTGTGGTAATATGAGTTAAGTTGGACGTACAAAGTCAGAGCCTTCAGTTGTTTATTTGCAGGATGTTAACTGGTGCTTTCAGTATTTTTCATTTACAGTGGAGGATCAAAGGAGATAGAAAGGTACGAGGATATTGCAAAGTTCCGTGAAGAGACAGGATGCTCCAGTGTCATGTTAGCCCGAGCTGCCCAATGGAATTGTTCTATATTTCGTCCAGAGGGTCTGCTTCCCCTGGATGATGTAATAGCTGCATATCTGTGTTATGCAGTGGATTATGATAATGCTCCAGCCAATAGCAAATACTGTGTACAGAACATGCTGAGGGAGCTTCAGGAGACACCACGGGGCAAGAAATTCCTTGAGGCCCAAACTCTGCAACAGATGTGGTATGACAGCAAATTGTATCTATATTGTACTGCATTTCATCACGTAATTTATGCTGTTGTCTTGTGACATTAAGGAAAGTATAAATCCCCATATATTTCACACATTCAGTTTGTATGTATGATAACATAAATGAAACAGTGTTGTCACTGTGGACTGAAAGTGAGCAGGTGAGTAGATCTATATTTGGTGTGGTCTGGGAAGCATCTCTTTCTGTAAGTGCAACATGTTAAACAATTTATGCAGCCATTCGACAGGTAAGTTGTCCTGGAGCACTAACATGATTATTGTTCAATAAATATACAAAGGATTTAAGTGGGAAAAATAAGATACTTGTTACCACTTAGTCATATACAGAATGCAACTGTTCTCCCTCTCCTTCCCCTTTTTCAGGGTTACTTTCTTGAGCATTGCTAATGTGGGTGGGAGGTTAAGAGGTGACAGGACGTTAGAGTTGAGAGTGCCAACTAGTTTCTTGATAGAACGTGAGATACCTCTGGGTTAGCTTAGCAGGTTATGGCAGCATTTGTGGTGCATAAATTGAATGAAACAAGGATGAGATAGTAAGATGATTTGTATATCTTCTGTAAAATTATTTCTAAAGACTTTCCTGTGAGACTATTATGTCTGAATTTTTTAAATAGCTAGTAGGCTTGAACCCTGCTTACACAGATAACCCAGAATTATGCATTATAATATCTTACAGTCTGTTATAAGTACTATTCCATCCTTTTACTGGCACATAATTTGTTTGAAGATACTGTCTTCAGGAAGGCTGCACCATAGTCTAGACGGTTAGTCGCTGGCTTCCCACCATGGTGGCCCGGGTTCGAGCCCAGGTCTGGTCATGTGAGATTTGTGGTGGACAAAGTGGCACTGGGGTAGGTTTTCTCCAAGTACTTCAGTTTTGCCTGCTAATCTTCATTCCACAAATTGCTCCACAGTCACCATCATCTATCATCTGGGACTGGTACAGTAGGCCCGTAGTGGCTGCAGTACAAAGTGGACTCAGTTTCACCCCACTGAGAATAATAAAAAAAAAAGTAATACTCTCTTTAGAAATGTGACACTGTGTAATTTGGTAGATAGGTAGTTCTATCCTGAAGGTGGAGGCAAATTCCTCTGAAATGTTGATGCCTACCTACCAAACTACATGGTGTCATATCCCAGAAGACAGTAAACTTTATAGCCCTGTGTAAGATTTGAGTTTTCACAACAGTGACTAGGAAGAATGCCATCTTCTGGGACGTGGCACCATGTAGATCTTGTGTGAACCACCATTTCAGGGGAACATCTACAGCCACCTGGTCATGCTGGTTCCTTGCTCAGTGATTTTTCTGCCCTTAAGATGTAGGCGATACGTTCCTCCGAAACATCGGTTCACACAGGATCTACATGGTGCCACATCCAAGTAGATGTCATTCTTTATAGCCCTGCTTTTAAAACCATAAAGCAATAGTTTTCAAACTATGATCCACTGCCAGGTGATGGTGTGAACATTCAGTTATGACATTCTTCAGATTAATATTTGATTCTTGGTTATAATAGCAAAGCACTTATGTTCTCTTTTGTAGTAGTCATTGTATCAGAATTAATTGCTTCTTCCAGAATGGTTCTGGTGCCCACCTGGTCTTGTATCCAGTACAGATGGAGACTTGGAGCTTGACACTTGTGGGGTGAGGAAGCAGGGTGAAGGAGGAAGGAATGGAAACAGACATATCTATTATGCCTTCCTCCATTCCTTGCAAGTCTCAAGATTAAGAGTCACCAACTGTGGGTACTTGTCAGTCTTCCCCGTCAGCTTGAGCCATGAGCCTCGTGCTTTACCTACATTCCATGCAATGGTCATAAATACATACACCTCTACCTTTTATAATGTAGATGCAGTTCCTGGATGATGGCACCATGTAGGCTAGGTTGTATTGCTGTCATTTTGGAGGTGCTAGAGATCCTAGCTGATCCCCCCTCAAGGCAAAGTGGCAGGAACCTCTGTAACTGATTACAGTTCACTGTGGGGTCTGAGTGAATACTGTTCCAAGAAACAGTTGGAGTTCAAAGAGAGTGGCCTTCAAGATCGGCATGCTGTTGTTCCTGTTTTGCTTGAACCACAACTTAAGAAGAGAAAAATTGGAACTGAAGGCGCTACTGATGATATAGTTGAGATGCAGTGTTCTTTCCTTCGGAGCCTGTACACATCAGACGTGGACCTTCCCAAAACAAAACTCCTCAATTGGGCTAGAGTCAGAGGCCTCAAACATCCCACTTACACTACACAACAGGAAGATAAGCTCTTCAAGTCTGTGGTGACACTGGATGGAAAGAAATACAGCTCTTCTTACTGGTACGTAGAAGCTTTTTTTAAATATCATTATCATACAGTACAAACAGAGGGAGAGAGTGCATATATATGTTTATATATGTATAAAAGCGCACACACACACACACACAGACATACAGGGTCTAGGAAACACAGTCATCTGCTCCATTATTACAAGTGAAATATCAAGGCCAATGGGTGGAATAAGCTCAGAATTTGTCAGTACTCTCTCGTGCTCTCTATTTTTTATTTCTCGACAGATGTCCAACAACATATTAATAACTGGATCTTTGTGAAGATGAGATGACATTTGAATGTTGAGATGTAGGAAAAAGATTAGAACAAAATAGGATGGGTGGGCATGGTTAGTCTCATGGAGAAATGAATTAATAGAATATGATGCTACAAATTGCCACATGTTAGTGACTAGACGTGGGGTTTGGTATGATAATTGGATTTATTGACTCTTATGACTCATAACTTGGGGCACATAGTAGCATAGTTGGTTGAGGCACTATGCTACAAGCTGGAATGTTGCAGGATCGAATCCTGATGAGGTCATTGGATTTTTTTTTCAATTTACATAATCCTTCCAGCCACACTGTGGCCCTGGGGTTGACTCAGCCTCTAACAGAAATGAGTACCAGGAGTATTATTTGAATATTCTTGGGAGTAAAGGGCGGCCGGTGTGTAGGGCTGACAACCTTACCACCATCTATAAGCCGATTGTCTAGAAAATGTGGGAACCTCAACATCTCACAACCCTTTTTGCCTCCAAGGCCTATTACAGGGATACCTTTATTTTTTGACTCATAACTATGAGTAATTATATTGCTACCACTAATCTACAGACTTAGCAAATCACTATAGCACATGCTGTCTTAGTCTGTTACAGAGTTCAGTAGTTGTTGCTTGGTAGCAGTCATCACTAGGCATCACTAGGTTATGGTTGCCAACAGCGGAGATTCTTCAGCTGGTATACTACTTGAGCTGGCTACCATCTCAAAACTAATGCATTGGTGCAACTAACTCATGACAGCAATTGGCCAAGTTGCCTCAGTGACTCTTGCTTTATAGCCTTTGGCATGGACCATACAGAAAACATCTTTCCAACAGTACTTTTGTTGAATTGTTGGTTGAGCCATCATCATACACTGGACAGTGTTTAAGCATTCGTGTCACATTTCTCCCTCCTTAGCATGTTTGCTTGTCACCATTTCTTCTGGTCTGTGGGGACAGAACTGCGGCAGTGGCCAGTGTTCCTACACCGCTGGAACATAAGCTGTCAGTTGTCTCTTCTTTCCTTTGTGAGGGGGTTGGCTCCTTTACAGTGCCCTCTTACTTATTTTTCGGAGTCTGATGGAAGACACAACTATAGCTTTATGACTTCCAGTCCTAAGATCTGCCTGAGGGCCTTCTTGAGTGTCTTGTTGCCTCCAAAATATAGCTGCTGTTTTATGCCTCAGTCTCTCATGACATTGAAGAATGCCATGCCTGGTCCCCTGTAATTGTAGTTCTCATGTAGTGTAAGAAAAGTATGGCAGGTAAACTGTTCAGTGGTGGTGATGAGCTCCTGCGCGGACTCATCATCATCATTTTCTTCTTCTTTGACTCCTTGTTATTTGTTGACAGTGATACGAGTATGTGTGGCCAGACACTGGTCCCCATATTTTTCCTCATGTGCCCCGAAAGTCTCCTTGTATGTCATTACATACTCCATATAGAACGTGGAAGTCCAGCCCTGCAGGATGGTAAGGAGGTGCTTGACTTTTACATGTTGTGCCAGGTTACAGTGCTCCACTCTGGCCCCTGTTATTTCTTGATTGGCCTCCAGCTCTTCCTGGTCAGCTCCACCTTTTCTTAACTGGCATCCCTCTTTTCCAGGTATGTCTCTAGCAGGCGTTCTTCTCCCCTTGATTGGAATCTGTCTCAGCCTTCATATGTTCTAGGCATACCTTTGTTACTTCTCAGTAGGTGCTCACATTTCTTATTGCTTGGCATCTGACCTTTCTGTGATATTGTCATGTGTTAGTGACAAGGCATGGGATTTGGATTGATAATTGGATTTATTGGACTCTTCTCATAACTACAAGTAATTATAGCACTTAAAACTAATCTGCATGCTTGAAGAATCAATGTAGCACACACTGTCTCAGTCCATTATAATCTTTATTAGGAAAATGCTAGGTTATGGTCCCAACAATTGAAATTCTTCTACTCTAATGCTTATGTCATTGCCGGCCAGCCACCATCTCACAAATAACTCATCACAGCAACTGGCCTCATTACCTTGACAGCTCTCGCTATATAGCCACAGCATGGACCACATAGAAGACGTCACTTTCAGCTGTTCCTCTTTTGTTGTTGCTGTTGCCTAGTGATGTCTCTCTTGTTGATTGAGCCATCATCATGCAACAGACAATGTTTAACCAATCAAGTCACAATATAATATTTGTATTAGTAGAATCTTTGTCTGACTGGTGAACTGAGATAACCTTTGTTCTTCTCTGAATATAGTTTCTATCTTATGAAGGAAAATGAATAATTGTAATCCACCAAAGCAAAATAAATGATATATAATTTACTGAACTAGACTTCCTAAAATATAATTAATGTAAACAGATCCTATAATTGAAAGAAAACACTAACGTGAATTCATTAGTCACTACAAGTACTGGGCCGCACTTTACTTCCTTTCAAACAAACAGACAAGAAACTCAGATAGACTTGAAAGGATTCTGACGATGGTGTATACTGTACTTCTTTTGGCTTATTTTGGACTTCACCCATCGTCCGGTATATAAAAAAGACAAAAAACCACAACGTTTCGGAGACTGGATCTGTCTCCGTCTTCAGGTGTATAGGGAAGGTTTAACCTACTCAGTTGGGCCCCTTAGAAAGAGCTAGTCTCAATCACTGGACAAACCTTGATCTGTAGAAACAACCTATGAACAACCGACAACCGGTTGCCAAAAGAAGTACAGACAAGAAACTGTCATTTGAGGGAGATGTAACATCTTTTTGTTAATACCTTTCTCCTCCTGTGCTGTTGTTGGTTACAGGTTCATTTTCCTAGAGCTTACATTGTTTGAATATTATAGGGAGAAGAATAAACGCAGAGCAGAGCAGGGAGCTGCACTTGTGTGCTTGTGTGCTGTAGGTGTTGTTGACATCCGTACCTTAACACGTGATGGAAGTATACGTTAGGTAAGTAACGAATGAATGAATGCATAACAGGTAGGCCTAGAGCAGCCCTTGCACCATGGCCTTTAATGATCTGTTGTGCAGCCCCCTTTATTTCAACCCTTCGACAATCCTACACTTCAAATGAAGTGTAATATTTTACTTACAGGGGTTGTCTTGATAGTCACCTGGCTCCATGAGGTAATGGCCCAGGTGGCAACATCTAAGGTAAGCTACAGCCCCACAGTCTCATAGGATGTGTGTGGCTGATTAATCTTTTTCTAGGAACTTCACAAATGGTACTATCTGTCAATCTCATTTTGAAGAGGTGTCCCTTCAAGTGACATTGTCCTGTGAGCAGGCCTCACACACCACAGCTGGTTTCTGTTTAGTTTTAACAGTTTCTTGGTCCTTCCTACAGAGGGCCCTTGTATGAATCCCTTTGCCTGTTTGAGTCCTGTTAGGGACTCCCAGTATTTTATTTTTTATGGTCTATGTTTGACCAGTCCTTGACAGCCTTCTTGACAGTTCCTGCTAAAATGCCACAAGCTGGTTCAGGTCCTATAAGCAGAACAGCTCCAAATTTTGCCTGTTTGAGTCCTGTTAGGGACTCCCAGTATTTTATTTTTTATGGTCTATGTTTGACCAGTCCTTGACAGCCTTCTTGACAGTTCCTGCTAAAATGCCACAAGCTGGTTCAGGTCCTATAAGCAGAACAGCTCCAAATTTTGCCTGTTTGAGTCCTGTTAGGGACTCCCAGTATTTTATTTTTTATGGTCTATGTTTGACCAGTCCTTGACAGCCTTCTTGACAGTTCCTGCTAAAATGCCACAAGCTGGTTCAGGTCCTATAAGCAGAACAGCTCCAAATTTTGCCTGTTTGAGTCCTGTTAGGGACTCCCAGTATTTTATTTTTTATGGTCTATGTTTGACCAGTCCTTGACAGCCTTCTTGACAGTTCCTGCTAAAATGCCACAAGCTGGTTCAGGTCCTATAAGCAGAACAGCTCCAAATTTTGCCAGTTGATCAGCTGTTTCATTACCTTCAGTACTCCTGTGCCTTGGCACCCATATCAGTTGCCATTGCTCCTTTCGGAGTCACACGAAACACATTCCCCAGTTTTTGAGAATGTGATGTTTATCGCCCTGTGTCATCTTATCTTGATATTTGTCAGAACCTCCATATATGTCCCTGGTCCACTAGAGTCCTTTAGCCATTTTGGAGGTCTGACCCTTTCCACAGCGGTACTACCATCAAACCTTGGCCTCTTAGAGGTCCCGGTTGGGGTTTCTCCCAGCTTAGACATGTCTATGTTCCTCACTTGCTGGGTGCTTCTGGTTCCTGCTTGGCTTGCTTTTGCTTTTTTTAGCTTCTACCCAGCACATCCAGACAGTTCTGTCCTTGATAGGTGGAGCCTGCCTGCTCCTGAGGCTAGATGTCTCAGACCTCCTGCAGGTATACTAGAACTGCTAGCTCCCTGCATTGGTGTGTAAGAACTACTGACTCCTGAGAGTAGGGTCCGTGACGTTACCTCAGGTAGGTTTTTCAGTACTGGTTCATTCTTGCCATTGGCTGAAACCTCAGAAGCAGGTTTGCTGATTGTGCCAATATCCTTGACAGTATGCCACAGCTCAAGCTAGTTTTCTTTTTCTTGGTATCCATCATTGGTCCCACTACTAAAGGGGATCTAAAATGTCGCCACCTACAGTGCGTTGTGTGAGTGGAAGGCATGAATACAATGGAATGCTGTCTGGTGCCCCAAGTGAATCATTATTGACACTCTAAATTCTACCTCAGTGCCATGCAGCCCTCAGCCCGATGCCTCACCTTAGCTTAGGTGGATCATCTTTCCAGATGTTACCTCCCTCTGCAATGAGGATGCCAGTGTTGGCTTTCAGGGCGGTAGGTAAGTAACTTCATTTCAACTTGCTGCAAGTAAGACCATTCACTGTGTACGGAATTGTATGGTGTAGCTATGATATGTGCTTCCTCAAGTTCAGTATGATTATAGTCAACTAAGCAAATTTGTGCTTTAAGAAGAAATCAGAAGTTAATTTTTCGTTTGTATGTATTTTTTCTTTAAAGTCTCACACAAAAGTTTTATAAAGAACACTTTGTTGAGTGAAGTACATACCAGAGCCTCAAGTCAGATGACAGCCATTTGTTGCCTGACAGTGGCAGTGAGAATATTAGCAGTTACCATTTGTAATTCATTCCCAACATGTGAATCCCTCAGGATGTGGTGACAGGGGCATTCTTTTTCTCCTTCACAACCCAGAGCTTTGTGTTTTGGTATGGTGTCTCTTTGACACTCTGATGCAGCTGGCCATCAGGACTAAAAAGTTCCCCATGCCTGTCTTGTGGGAGATGTAACTGTAGCAGATACAGTGCTTTCTTGTTTGAGATGGGTGGAACATGTAGTAGACATGGGAAGATAAGAAATGCATATGAAGTTTCAGTTGAAGAACAAAAAGGTAGGAATCTGCATGAGGTACTCAGGCATAAATAGGAGGAATGAATAGTAAGGCTAATGACAAAATTTCCTGCTTTCATTTTTTCCAGGTTTATTCTGAAGAGCAAGAATTATCCAGTGTTCAATATAACGAATTCTTATAATTCTGAGTTATTAAGCATTTGCTAAATAAACATCACATAGAAGTGAAACGAGCCATATGGATTCTGAAATGTGTTCCTTGTGACAGCAGTTTGGAAACTTTCACAATATAAGAGAGATGGATAAGTAATGACAGAAATACAAATTCCACCAACAACAAATTTTGTATAAGAAACTGAAAGAAAGTGTTATGTAAATGAACTTTGTATAAGATGAGAAGGTGGAAAGCACAAAGCCATATGAAGGAGATGCTTAGAAAAATAGAATGGTGATCACTTTGTGTAGCGTGTACCTTATTGTTTGTTAGTTAAAATTTGCACAGGTATAAGAGATGCATCATGTTAATCATATGGAATGTTGTTCACATATGCTCTGAATGATCATACAAAAATCAAGAATCAGAAAATCAGAATCAAAATCAAATCAGAATTCAAACAAAAAGGCAAAGCTTTGTTAATGGTATGTTTAGTGTATCCAGCTTACATTTTCTGCATATTTAATGTTAACATCTTAATCCAACAATGCCTACAGATTTATATGGCGCTTTCAGATGATAAGCCTGGATTTGGAAGATGAATAATGGCATTCAGTCCACAAACAACATTTCAACTGAATCAGTTAACTGGAAAATGGAACATGTTCAGGAATATAAATTTTACTGGAGAAATAAAAAGCGGTCTTTCACAGAATCAGCATTGGTCAGGAAGAAAATATATTTTTACTGATATAATAATTGCAGATGCCCCTATAACCCCTGTTATTAATATATGTGTTTATCTTGGATCTTGCTCACCAGTGTGACAAAAATAGTTTTGGGAAATGTTCCCTTTTCCACCTTAACTGGCTCTGAGATAATAAAAAACATCATTTTGCCAGTTAATGAACAGTCCTGTCAATAAGAGTTACATTTTTATCCAGAAATAAGTACAATAACCAAGTAAAATGTTAATTTAATCGATCGGGGCTGATGTTTTCAGGTACAAGAAAAATTCAGTTGTCTGGGTTATTTCAGAAAAAATAAGGATCTGACAAAAAATATCAATGTTTCTCTGTAACCAAGATACACCATGAATCCTAGTATTGCAGAAGCTGTTACTGAAGAACTCTGAGATACAGCTAAAAGTAAGCATCACCACTACTTCTGAAGAAAAGCTGAAATGACATACTAATTGAGAAGCAAGAATAGTTCCATAAGCTGGCCCTTGGTTCATCCAAATGTTATTGCATAAGTCAAAGCCAGTGGGTTAATGAATTATTCAAAATCTTCGGGAACTTTGTTGGATTCTATTAGTGTCGTCCACTGAGATATTAATGTATGGAGAAAGAAATTTTGTTAGGATGTATTGCACCCAGTTTTTAATATTGTTAAGAGTCTATAACTTTCTCATGTATGTAGGGTGAGGAAGTATTATATTTTTGGAAAACTTATCTCAATATTTTGATGGATGTACATGTTTTCAGCAGCCCTGGATATGAGAAAGTTTTGGGGAGGCATGTAGATATGTGCGTCATGCTAGCACTGGCATGGTATGATGAATTTTATCCTTATTCAGTGTTTTGAGAGTTCATTGTCCATAGATTGACGCCCTGTGAATATGAACATTCTACCTTCAGAAATATGAATCCTGTACTTGGGGCCAGAAACAGAAAATTGCCATTTTCTGAAAAATGGCTTAACAGTTTTGATTAAATTTTGTGATTTATGGAGATCTCCTCCTTAAATAAAACAATATGTGTTATCTTCAGGAGAATAACAGTGTGCCCTCTTACACCACAAATACAAAATACAATTTTCATTAAAGGGCTTCACTGATTTTGATTAAACTTCATAGAGGCACTGGAACCAATTAATAATTTATAGGCCAGATCATTCTAAATGTAATGGGATTCAAACAGTGGGCCTCTGGTTGGGGCTTAGTCACAGATTTATCTTTCTCAAGATTAGCTCTGACCATTTTTGTTCAATTTCGTCACTTTGTAGTAATGGTAATCCCAAAGAAAACTGTATTGATGCAATCTGCTATCTATGAGCTGGAACACGGTATTAATTATATAAGGCTATGATCCATCAAGCACATAGGAGAAGATATATGACATGTCTATGCATAGATTTCTAATTTATTGGGACCATTGTATATGTAATGGAGGGTGATGGCAGTGGAGTTAAGAGAGACTTCTCAGTCTTGCTGCTGCCATCACTTATAATAACAGGGGGAATGTGGAACCCTAAGGAACCTTCTCATCCTACCTTGCCATCACTTCCACTGCAGGAGGGAGGGGCTGCCAGCCAGCTAATCTTGCTAGGGCTGTAATGGAGTGGTGGAGGGAGGTTACAGGTTAAGGATACTTTATCATATGGCTCTCAATTATACCTTTCATACTTTAGGTGTCAAAGTTGATGGGGGATATCTGAAATACTACGTATTCAAGATATGTGAGAACATGCAAGATATTGTCAAAGTGCATGGGAATGGCTGAGACAAAATCATTTATAGGTATATTTGGCATTGAGGTTTTAAGAAATATCTGAGATATTATGAAAGCTTAAATGGTCGGTCAAGATATGCGAGATATTATACTAAGATTTAGACATAATGGATTTATTGATTGAATCCTTTCAGAGCTGTTCTGTTGCACAGAAAAATATGCTGTTCATTATGAATGGAATGATACATCAAACATACAGAATGGTTGAATACTGTATGTATGTGGCCAAAAGTCCCATAACAGACAGTAAGAAAAAAAAATGACTTAAATACAAAGTCATATTTAAAATTCAATGAGATAATGTGTTTGCATTTCTTCAGGATAAAAATAATATCAAAATATGGACCATTGGCCTGATATTTTCAACACCTTCTTCTTCTTCTTCTTCTTCTTTTATTGCTAGTGGTGTGGGACTAAGTCCCTTATACTGCGGCCACTTCTGGCCTCTTGTACCAGCCCAAGATGATAGGTGAGGGTGATTATGGAGCAATTGATGGAATGAAGATTGGCAAGGGAAACCGAAGTACTCGGAGAAAACTTGCCCCAGCGCCACTTTGTCCACCACAAATCCCACTTGACCAGACCTGGGATCGAACCTGGGCCGCCGTGGTGGGAAGGCAGCAACTACCCGCTTGAGCTATGGCGCGGTCTTTCACATTCTTCTTCATTAATAGTAATTGATATTTTGCTTCTAGTGTAGTATGAAGTTTCTGAGAAAGCACAGGGACAGCAGCTGGTAACAATTTGAACAGAGAAGCAGACACAAAAACTACAAATTGATGTTATTGGAAGAAGTTTTAAGTAGTTTTTTTAATGGTGTGGTAATACATGTACTGTATGATCACACAGAATACTTTGATAAAAATGCTTAATGTACCAGTGTGGCTCGGTCACAGTACGCTGTGCTACAGGTTGGATGACTAGAGGACAAAGGTTTTGCTCCTGGTTGAAGGAGAGATTTTTCTCTATACTGTACCCAAGCCGTAGATAAATCATGTATTTCTCTGTTCATTGTAGTACACCGTTACATACTGCAAGAGAAGGGCTGCGCCATAGCTCAAGTGGTTAGTCGCTGGCTTCCCATCGCGGCGGCCTGGGTCTGGTCAAGTGGGGTTTGTGGTGGACAAAGTGGCGCTTCGGCAGGTTTTCTCCAAGTACTTCGGTTTCCCCTGCCAATCTTCATTCCACCAATTGCTCCACAATCACCCTCACCTATCATCTGGGGCTGGTACAATAGGCCAGAAGTGGCCGCAGGACAAGGGACTTAGACCCACTCCACTAGCAATAAAAAAATAATGCATGAGAAAAGCCCGCCGAAATCCTCCCCTCCCCCCTTCCTAGTCGACATACGTAAAAGCAACAAGTCATGGGTCCATTTTTGTTGCCAACCACCGTAGTAATTAACCAGGACCTGAGCGAATCGTGATTCCGTACGAACGAATGGAAAACGCATATTTAGAAAAATGGTTAATACAGTACTAAGTATATATCACTCTTGAGACCGCCATAAAACTGTAGGTCTCCACCAAAATTGCAGGAATATAATATATGTACAACATGGCTGGAGGGAAATTTCTTATCTGGAAGAAAAATTTTCCGACCGTCGCCCTGTGATAGTCAACTCATAACGATTGTATTTTTTTCTGTCAGTGTAGGGGTTTCTTTGAATTCTTAGTGTATTTGACAAAATTGTGTCGAAAGAATAAAACAATTCACTGGACGTTTAGATTCAATTGCGAAAGTTTGTCTGCATTAAAAATTACAGTCACTGGCTTCATACCAACTGTTTTATTTCATGTGAAGGTAAAACGTTTACTAGGAATCAGTATCGTGTCGTGCACAGTGGTATATATAAATTGTCCATATCTACATTCCGCGTGAACACAGCCACTGCGTAGTTCTAGTATAAGTTCAGGGGTTATTTTATATTTACTGTGAATTACGTATACGAACGCATATGCAACTCCTGTCATCCTGTTCTGTGAACAGCGAAGAGGTTATGCCCAAATAGTGCTCAGTGGTTGTCGCTACACAAATTATTCTATACGCTGAGATAGAGAGTAATGATACAGATTACTCAGCCTGCGAAGAGTCTGTCGCATAGCCCGAAGTGTCAGTATTGTTACACCCTCGTAGTGAACGAGACGTTAAATTGCAGTTTGCTGAACATTCAATGACACTAAGAGTATACTGGGTCAGAATAGTGACAGCTTGTCACATTATCACTATAAAGCTGTTAGTTTAATTTGAAGCACGGCATCTGTCTATATATATGTCTGCCTGTCTATGGCTCTACAGCCCTTGTGAGCCTAGGTCGCTTTTAAATTTCTTGATCTATACACAGCAGATAAGGCTCCTTGAACAGGGGATCAGCCCATGACAAGGCCGCTACCTACACAGAACAACACAAACGCAGAATAAATGCACATGGACATCCATGCCTCACCGGGATTCAAGCCCACAATCCCAGTGTTCAAGCGAGCGAAGACAGTTAATTCCTGAGACCACACGGCCACTGAGATCAGCATTTGTAACGCACTGTGTGAACTAAACTCACCATAGGGGACATTATGAACACACAGGACTTCTATAAGTTTTCCTACTAAAGATATGATGTACTCCCAAAAGTATTTGAAATAGTAACAAATGTGAAGTACTCTATCCCTTAAGATCAACAGTGGAAGCTTCCTGGCACTTGAACTTGGTATTGTTATTGGATAAAGAAAACACTCCTTACACATATACATACCATCTGTGATGACTTTTGTGGTAAACAGCCTGGAGCATTTTACCTTTAGTTGTGCAACTCATAATAAAGTAACAAGGCATAGAGGAAACCTTCGTGTATTACAGTCGCACCTATCATTAAGAGAAAAGGGGTTCATTATACCTGTATGAATGTAAGAATTTTTAACAGTTAGCCAAAATTTTTAGTTGACTCAGTGGAAGATGAAAACAAGTTCACAGGAAAGTTGAAAGAATTCTTAATATGTAATTTGTTTTATTCGGTTGATGAATTCTTTAATTATTGGTAAGATTGGTAGGTAGGAGACATGGGGAATAGGATTAGGCAATACATTACTTATACCTGCTGAGTAGAATTCTCGTACCATGACCCATGACAGTTGTATGTTACTCCATAGGTATACATACACATAACTAGAAAGACATAAATAGTTATGCAGTTTCTTTAATGTATTCATATATTTTACTGTACTATTTACTAATTATAAATCACTCCCACTATTGTACTCCTCATGTTCGTATATGTATCACTTGATATGAATGCTGTATATTTTAACTATATTTTACCTTGTTGTCCTTGTGTTTTTGTTGTAATTGTGTTATGGTAAATTTTATGTTTTTGATAAGTTTTATATTCAGTGCTGAGAAGCACATTTATGAATCCTATGAAACCGCAATTTTGTGTGTGTATAAATGTATAATAGGATGGTCCGTCCAGACTTCTAGACAACATGTGATACCACAAATCCTGTTTCTCCATCTAATGTAATGTTCCAAAATTTGAATTTTCTTTGGATGAGACCCAACAGTGCAAACATTTTGAGTAACAGAAAACCTACTTTTTGTATTGAGTATTTTGATATACTGGTTGTCCTATTTTGTATGTATGAGATACACGGTTTCAATACCAACCAGGACTGGTTAATTTAACTCCAAGGGTTTGTTGCTTTCTCTGACACCTGCAGGAAATTCTGGAGGTTTTCCTAAAAGTAAACAAATCCTTAACTAAATGTTGTATTTGTGAATTATGTCTTGACATTTCAGGTCACTTATGAAACATCATTATGACAACAACTCATTACAGTACTGCCTTTGCTCATCTGGTTTCTGCTGGTGCTTCCTTATGGGCAATTAGGGCTAGTGGTACCCAGAACTTCCCACGTGGGAGTTTCGGAACATTCCTTATTAATTCAGCAATAGGTATTCTGACATTTGGTGAGTTGGAAAACCAATATTGAATTCAATGTTTATGCAAATGAACCTCATTTTATATTGTAGTATCCAGAAATCAGTGGAGTATAGCTGAACTTTTTGATAAAGATGAATATGTATTAAGTGAAAAACACCACCACTGAGTACGACAAATTTGATTTAATTATGCAGAAACGTTTACATGTTTCGGTCTTAAAGAGACCATCATCAGAAAGCGCTCAACACATGAAGAAGTGCTTTACCGTTATAAAGGTCAACTGTTCACCAATTCTGTTAATATTCTATTGAAATATATATTAATTCCCTACCACATTACACAACAGTAGTGGTTCAGCATCTGTAAATATTAATGTGTGATTGAAGGGTCTTCAGGGGGGTGATTAGCTCATTTGTTGAGAAGAAAGAATGTCTGTCCATCAGAAGAGGATGATCAAGAAGAGGTCTCTTAGAAAAGCTGAGGGCTCGGTTGGGGCACTTTAGCAGGTCCATCTGGTGGGACCAGTGGTGGGAACATTGTGTCCCTATTGGTGAATGACACAGGATATTTTGGACATCCTTCTTCCAGCAGCCTAAAAGAAGGTGGCAGTATGTCAATGCCCAGATTGGTTAGGAATAGGTCTGTGTCCTTTGGGTCTGCATGAGTATAATTGATGGAAATTAAGGTAGCTTCAGTCTGGTGAGTTTTGGCTGTAGCTAAAGTTGAGGTTCTTAAGGAAACTGCAGGGCGCTGGAGGCACACAGTGGGCGTAGTAGAAGTCAGAGTGCTTAAGGAGCAACTGGAAGTTGTCCCCCTTGAGCTAATACATTATAGTATAGTACAATATGACACAAACAACTTGAGTGACCAAAACGTGCTGGAAGTGTATCCCACAAAAGTGTGTGATACATTTGCACCAAAAAAGGATTGGTTCAAAAGAAACATCTTTTTTATGAGACACTTTATAGAATATTGTTAAATGACAGAGAAAGATTTTGAGTTTGGATGTTGACTCAAATTATTGCTTCTCGTTACGACATTTATATTTACAAGTACTTTTTTTTAATTGCTAGTGGGGTGGGACTAAGTCCCTTGTACTGCAGCCACTTCTAGCCTATTGTACCAGCCCCAGATGATAGGTGAGGGTGATTGTGGAGCAATTGTTGGAATGAAGTTTGGCAATAGAAGCTGAAGTACTTGGAGAAACCCTGCCCCAGCTCCACTTTGTCCACCACAAATAACACTTGACCAGACCCCGGGATCAAACCCAGGCTGCCGCGATGGGAAGCCAGCAACTAACCGCTTGAGCTATGGCGCGGCCTTTGCAAGTACTAAGTCCGTTCCAACCTTTGATTATCGTCTGTTTTTCAACCAGTGGAACAGTGGGATTGTACATACTCAGAATCTAATATTTATGCTAAGTGTAACTAGACATCACCATCTTCTGTGCTCTGGGTCTGTGTAGGTTGAGCTAAGCTCCCATAGAATGCTTTCATCAGTGTGTCTCCATGAGTTGCAACTGAGTACTTGAAGATCTCTTGGGTCTGTCATATCCCAACGTACCACACATGAGTAAGTCCCTTGTGAAACTTTCACATTTTACTAATATTTAATATTGTACTTTTACTGAAAGTATTTTTGAATGCCGTCTTCAGCATTTTAATTAGTATTTGTTCAGTTTTATGTTTTCTTTTTAGCTCGGATGGAGCCATATGAACAAGAAGTTGAAAGCCTCAGAATGCTGCCAGAAGTGGAGGAAACTATAGAAAAGGAAATAGATGCAGATCAGATGATTATGATGATGAAGATGACGACGATGACCACTGCCTTATTCATATTGATCATGACACCTAGTCTGAAATTGGAGGTGACAGTAACAACTGAAGAAATGTAAGGCATGGTAGATGATGCGTAAGCAGGAAATTCATTTTCAGGAAAGGATAGTGTGATGAAGTGGAGAAAATATCTTTGCACTAATGTAAGAATGCAAGCTCACTGCAGTGTTTCAACAGCTATGACCTCTCTACTATGTTGCATGAAGAACACACATTCACACTGGTTGAAATTTTAAACTGTAATAGAAAGATTCCACCACCATGCATATGTACTCCAGGAAAGATGGTGTTTTCAAGCAGGTGTGATTTTGACAAAGATAAAATACTGGCTCCGTACATGTGAAGAGCGAGAAAAGTAAGTGTTGCACCAGAATCAATGAATCAACTGAAGAAAAACAAAGCCAAAATAAGCACATTTTGTAATGTGACCAAATGTAGCATTGACGTTGTGGTCAAGGTGCCTGCAGTGGTATGATGTGTTAAGGGAGAACAGATGTTGGTTTATGACAGTCTTCACCCAGATGAATGTGACAGGTATTAATGTGAAGATCTTCCGAGATGCTAATACCAGTCACATAACTGTGTGATGGACATTTCTGAATGATATTGCATTGGAACTCTTGAACAGATGCTTTCATAAAAGGCAGTAGTTGAAAAATATGCTATGAGAATGTGCCCAGAAAGTGGAAGGGAATTCTCTGATACTGTGCTGGGAGCAAGCCAATAAAGAAACAACACTTTTCATCGATGTTTGCACCGCCTGCAAGAACAATAAAAAAAATAAGTCACAGCTGCTGCAGATATAATATTGTCGCGTATCGGGGGTATAACGCGACAAATAACTTCACGAGGTATTTGGTGTAGCGAATTTTATTTCACATTCGCACTTACAATCACACAATTGACAGTTTTACGATTACTGCTATCTGCAGTATCACAAATAGTACACTCCAAATGCCACAATACAACTGACTGGTTGCTGGCTAACTCGGAACTAACTTGGAGGTAGCTCGAGGACTGACTCGTAGGTAGTTCCAGGACTCACTGACTGACTTAGTACAACTTACTATGAATAGCCTTCGCTGCTCCTTATGTAGCCTTGATCGGACAATACGGAAAACGGCCACGTAATAGGCACCCTTGTTGCCTGGTGCTGTGTTGCTAGTAACGCTAGCGGTAGTAACCGCTGTTACTACCATAACAATCCTGTTGCGTCACCGTTACGTTACTGTGCGGAGGAGGGGGAGGGGAGCGCTGACTCACCCGCCGCGTCACTGCTGGTGGGGGGGGGGTTCTCCTTTGCGCAACATGTCACACTATATATTTGTGCATAGACCATTCCGTCCTGGTGTGCAATAACTGTATTGATAAGACACAGCTGAAAGATGATGAGTGACATTATTTAGGTATTGAAAATTGAATGTAAATAAGAATGAACAAAATCACATTTGAAATGAAGTGCAAATGGCTTATTTCATTTTCCTGTTTTTTAACAGATTGTAATGTATGTGTACAGTTTCTCTGTCACAGAAATTGCAGTTGTACATAAAAATTGGTAATATATCATTTCAGGTATCTTATACCCCAACATATACCACTATTGTGACTACTGATCTGCTGAAAGATTATGTAAAATTGTTCTGTCTTGCCAGTTTTCTTCTTCTTGACCTGTTATTGTGTGGTTATTAAGATACCGTATATGCTTGACCTAATCCTTCCAGCCGCACAATGGCCCTGGGGTCACTCAGCCTCTAACAGAAGTGAGTACCAGGAATTAATTAAATAATTTTCCTGGGGAGTAAAGCGCTGACAACCTTACCGCCATCTTTGAGCCGATTGTCTAGATAATATGGGACCCCCAACGTCTCACAACCCTATGGGCCTTCACGGCCTGGTACAGGGATAGCTTTACTTTAGTTTTACTTTTTGTGATGAATAAAGCGATCTGTGTTTACTAATCTTTGTTTTAGGTAACATATCACAGAATATTTTGGTACAATGTCTTACAAATGATGAATCATAATGTGGTATCAGAGATTATAAATATATATACCAGTTGTATTCTCATATAGAATACTGATGTGTCAGTAAATACTATGAAATGTTGTCTGAAAGCCAAAATCATGACATGAGAAAAAAACATCCATAGCTAGGTTACAGCCTGGTAAACAGGCAGTGGCACTCTTAAGCAGGCATCGCTTAATAATGGCTGGTAAACATGTTTCTGCAGTAATGAATGGACTGAATTTGGCGCCTGACACACCCGAACTAATCAACTTGGAAGCCATTATGTAAAAGGTAAAGTTGTCCCTGTGCTTAACTAATTAAGCACTACGCCATGAAGACATATGGGAGAGTGGATATATAGACCCACATTTTCTTGGCCTCAATACTAGTTGGAAGTGAGTGGTCAGCTTCACGCCCTGGGAAAGAGCCCCCGGTACCCATTGGATAGGCTAGGTGAGCCCCAGAGCCAGTCTGGATGACATGGAGAAGCAAAAGTTCTTGACCTCACTGGGACCTAAACTGTGACCCCCTATAATAAAAACATATCCCATACTAAATACCAACATAATAGATTGTCATCTGCTAGACTTGAGGTAGTTCTTATCTTACATGATGAAAAATGGTATGCCATTTGCATGAAGAATATTGTCTGACTTGCAGCATACAGTGTATCAGAAAATCAAATTATATTCTTGCCATTGCGTTTATATTTTACAGAATCTGAATTTTTTTTTTATTGTATTCCAAGATTTATTTTTTTCCATTATTTTGGGATTCCTTAATGACTGAAAGGGTTTGGTGTAAAGACAAGTCTTAAAGAAAGATTGCCTTGAACTAATCTATGGTTAAATTCACGTTCTTTGTTTAAAATGTGAAGGGAGATGTTAAATTGGTTGAATTGCAGTCAGTTGCTGCTTGCGCTTACCGATACCAGTTACATGCCAAAGTATCAAGTAAGTAAAGGTTAAAGGCAAATTTACCCCTCTGCTAAAGGTGCACACCATGGATGTGTATATGGAGGGCATTGTGTGGTTAGTCGTGAATCTAAATGGAATTGAGTGGTAAGTTTTGCACTGCAGCTTTCAGAAAAGTGCCTCAACTACCTATGGGATAGCTATTCTGTACTTGGTGGCAAAGAGAAGACACCCAGCCTTGGTCATAAATCAAATCCTGGCCATCAGTACTGTAGCCACTTGCTTTACTGACAACTGTTGCCTTCAAACTGGTTCTATGAGTGGCCCCCATGGGTTCTGCATAAACTTTTTTGGATGGCAGATTTCAGTGGGATTCAAATGTTTTCAGCACTTAATAAAGATTGTATATAAAGTGTTCAGAAGTTGTAATTGTTGTGCCTTGTATTTTTGGGAATATTGTTACAATGCAAAGTAATCCTGCATTCATATATGATTTCAAAATTTATGACTTTATGTACAGTTCTGTTATGCTTATTACATCTTCAGACAGTGGAAAAATCAGAAGCCTCTTTGTTCAGACTTGTGTCACTTGTTATTACAAAAGATGGAACATTGTGATTGGCATAACTAGTAAATTCAAATTAACCCCTCTCATTCTGCATACATCTTACAGAGGCTGGCTTTCTGATGTGTTTTGTGAACACCTCACTCCTAATACTAGCTTTATACATGAGCTTAATATTCACTACATATGAAAATAATGAGCGAGGATCATTGCAAATGACCCTCATCAGTCCATTAACAGTATGCATATATTTTTAAACATAATCATATCAGGTTTCTAATAATGAAGTAATTCCTGGCGTGGCTTTCCAGTGTATTTTTACAAACAAAAATGATACATGTTTATGTTAATTTCAGGTAATCCTGAATTTGGTGATAAATTGAGGGCCGTGTACAGACACACATTATTTCTGAGTAAATGTTTTGGATTACCATGCATTGCAACTCAAGTATGCCTCAACTCCGGTGTCCAGGAGGAAGTAGCATATCTTCATTTGGGATTTTCTGCCTTACCTATTATAGCACATTTTTTGGAGGACAGACATGAGAAGAACCTACTGGATACAGTGCTGTTAGGTAACCTAATATCAGTTGTATATTTCAGTTATGTCAGTGTAAATTATTATGGATTTGCATTAGTTGTGTCATACATGCTTAATCATTTTGTTATTAGAACAGATGGAACAGCATTTGATACAAGTATACCATCTCTTGACTTGTTCATGTATGGTCTTTGCTTTTTTTATTTCTTTGCTGTCAAAACCATATCTGACTGATGTATTCTGTTTGCAGATATTCCATTTAATGTTTGAATTCACTGCAGTTTTTGTCACAGATATTTGTATAAAGTACCATGTACTGTTTTACCTCGTTACTGTATTCGTTTTTTTGTTTTTCATATGCATATTTTATGAATAAAATTTTTTATGTAGATTTTTATTTCTCTACTTATTCCAAGTGAGCCAATGTGTTGACATATCAGAATAATTCATGAATAACCATTTCCATGAGTGGGTCATTGGTCACAACCAGTACATTTGGCATGGAAGAAATGCTACCACCTAATTCAAGAAACAACATCACGGTTTTCATTTTCATGATCATTACATCTAATGTGCAGGAAATGTCAGTATATAATTATGTAACACCAAGTCATTTCAATATTGCTTTCATCTGGTGGAGGAAATGTCAGTTTGGAATTTCAAAACATCAGTCATGGTGTATAGCCATTACATCCTGTACAGTACCTAATTTAAGAAATTTAATTGTGATGTACTATGTCATTTGGTTTGAAGAAAAATTGTGATACATGAATCAAGAAACCATCACATAGTGGGCTAACCATTATCTGGTATGGAGGAAATGCCATTATACAGTGTGAGAACACTGCGTCATTGCATTATAACCACTGTGTGGTGTGTATCAATCACTCCTTTGTGCTTCCATTATTTGGTGTGCAGGAAATGTTGTTGTTGTTGTTGGAGAGGGTGGGTTTCCCCATGCACTTAGACCAGATATTGGTCCATTGTGCATCCCCCTTTGATATTCTACCAGTTTCAATTCCCTACCGGTACTGGTGCGTTCCATCAGTCCCGACTCAGCCAGCAAGTTTGGCCTCTACTGGCTCAGCGGTATCTCGATGCTTCCCCCATCTACCAGAGGCGTTAGAGACTACTGTTGGGCGGGAAATGTCCTGAATTTTGGCTCAGAGGTCCCCTTGGGACATGAGGTTCTTTTACGTGCCGTAAAGCTACGACACGGGATCCACGGCTTAAAGTCTCTCCTGGAGGACTTTTTCCCTGAATTTTTCCGCCCTTAAAAATTCCACGACCTCCACTGTGTTTGAACTTGTGTACCTTGAGTCACAAGGTGGGAATGTTACCCCTACACTACGGAGGCCGCTCAGGAAATGTTACTATATATTTCCAGAACACTGAGTTATGGTAGCATATCCATTATATGATGTGAAGGAAAGGCCACTATTTATTCCCATAACTCTAAATAATGAAAGTATAATCATTATCCAGTGTATAGAAAATGCCACACCGTAATTCTAGAACACCCAGTCATAACATTGTAACCATTATATTTGGTGTGGTAAATGTTTTAAGAAATCTGTTTGTGGCATAATGACCGTTATGTGGTGTGGAGGAAATACCACCACCAAAATTAGAATAAATGAAAGTTTTTGCAGCTTTCCATAGGCATTGCATTAAACCTAGGTTGAACACAGTATTGATGTACCTCTGATTCACAACAAAACTCACAGGGCTTATTTCAATATACATTATAAACAGTTGTATATGATAGTTTGATTATAAGTATTTATTTCAATTATGTAACCTCTTAGTGCCATCTCATGTGCTCAGTATAGCAGTACATTCCATGTCACCATCCATTATATTATGAGTAATGATAGTGCTGGTGACTTTTTTTTTGTCTTTTGTGTAACTGGCTTTAATTGTATTCTCTGAGTGAGTAGCTTGTTCTGTAAAACATTCATCTTGCAAGGTTAACTCCATATGTAGACAAAATTATTGGGGATCATCAGTGTTCATTCTGATGTAATAGATCAGTTAGTAATGAGATATTGTGCATATGTCAGGTACTGGAAATATAATGAGAATATAGTGGAATAGCATGTCAGTCACTTAGAGACTTCAAGAAAACGTATGACTCAGGAGAGAAGTATCAGCATTCTCACAAAATTTGGTAAACCTACTAAATTAGTTGGGCTGGGCCACGCAATAGTTGAAGCGGTTAGTCGCTGGCTTCCCATCATGGCAGCCCAGGTTCGATCCCGGGTCTGGTCAAGTGGGATTTATGGTGGACAAGGTGGCACTGGGGCAGGTTTTCTCCAAGTACTTCAGTTTCCCCTGCCAATCTTTATTCCGCCAATTGCTCCACAATCACCCTCACCTATCATCTTGGGCTGGGACAATAGGCTAGAAGTGGCCGCAGTGCAAGGGACTTAGTCCCACCCCACTAGCAATAAAAAAAATAAAAAAAAAGGTGAGCTAAATAAAATATGTTTAAACAGACTTTTGTATGTATGTCCAGTAATCATTCATCTGATGCATTTCCTCTTCAGAATGGTCTTAAACACGGGGATGCATTTTCTCTTATTTTCCATCTTAGCTTTAGAATATTACATTACGAAGGTCAAAGATCAAGAGGGAATGAAACTGCACTGAACACTTCAGCATTTGTTCTTTGCTGATGAGGTAATTTATTGGGCACAGACATGTATAAATATCATAAAGAAAGGTACAGAAGCACTGTTAGACACTAGTAAGGGGAAGGAAGTTAAGTATTAATTTGCTGGCTTCCCACCGCGATGGCCCAGGTTCAAACCCGCGTCTTGTCAAGTGGGATTTGTGGTAGACAAAGGGGCACTGAGGTAGGTTTTCTCCAAGTGCCAATTCCACCAAATTCTCTATCATCATAATCACCTGGGGCAGGTACAATAGACCAATCAGTGGCCGCCGTGCTGAGGGGACCCAACTGGACTCCACCCTCCACTATGCGAATTAAATTAATTAATTAAGCATTAATTTTGTTCATGTCTTACTAAAATTCAGGATGGAATCATAATTCTGATGTAGGTTATAAATCATTTTAAAATGTGGCAGAGTTCTGATATTTGGCAATAACAGTAATGAATTGAAACTACATTTGTAAAGAAATTAAGAGAAGATTAAATTGGGGGATGCCCCTAACTAGATGAGTTCACGACAACCGGTGTCCCGCTTTCTGCAAGGTACATGTGAATTTTGCTGATGAATCAGCATGGCTGACTGGCAATAACGTTTGCAATGAAGTAGTTACAATTCACAGCTCACAGGACATGTTGAACACGCTGTCATCACTACATGTAGATATTTTTCACAATTGTTTCATTAAAAAACACAGGTACAACAATCCTTCTTGCCCTTACAGCACACCAGACACCAGCTTTCACTGGATGGCTTCAGCAATTGTGTTGCTGTTCTTGCACTAGACCTTGACACCTACAGCACACCAAACACCAATTTCTACTGGATGGCTTCAGCAGTTGTGTGTCCATTCTTGCACTAGACTTTGACACTCCAGTCTCTTGAGCTAGACATTTCAGTAATTTTCTGTATGTATGTTCAAGTCTGGCCCCTATGTCATCTAACTTGTCATTAAGCACTCAACATTTATGTTTTTGTTTCTTATCTATTAAGAGTCCTGTTGTTCTAAGTTTATTCACCAAACTGGATTGTTTGTCTGCTGGGAACTCTTTAATCACGAAATTTACATTGAAATTTTCTGACACTTTCTATCAGATCCATATTTCACATAAGTGTCATACATAATACACGCTACTCTACAATATACCGTACCATGACAGAACAAATCCTGACTAAATGTAACTGAGAACAAATGGCTAATGGAGCTGATAACTGCTGCCTACTGCTGACAAATCATAAACATACTCTCTCACATGAACTGCACTGCTAGCCTTGAAGCATAATGCCAACAAGCGGTGTACAAGTTAATTACTTCCCTTTATTCCAAACATTATTTGCTGATTCACTGGTAAAATTTGTATGTGCTTCGCCGCAGGAGGCACAGTGACTTCCATGAAGTGTAGAGCCATGAACGCATACAGTTACTAAAAAAACTCCATGTTCTTATATGTATTTTGTACATATTGAAGTATAGTCTTTCATCTGAAGGATAAAGCAGAGACTGAGGATGTTTGAGAACAAAATGCTAAGCAGAATATTTGGGCCTAAGAGAGAAGTAATAGGTTGGTGGAGAAATTTGCGAGGAACTTCATTATATGTGCTCTCTACCACATGTGCCATGTACAGGGAATGCACTTTTTGAATTGACCCTTGTTTCCATTTACTGGCCCTGTTGCACACTGCACATGTATCCCCTCTACCCATCTCTCCCAACTGCTTTTTGATGATGTCCCACCTTCTGCACTTCCCTTCCTCCACATTGGTTTATCTGTTACAGTAATTTGTTGGATTCAGGTGAAAGAAGTCTACATGGATTAATTGGGTGCTATGTGATGATGTCCATATTCAGGTTTTACAGTATTGAGAAAGCATGTAGGTGTACTAGTGGAACTGGCTTTGCAAGGGGATCTCAGGAGTGTTTGGGCACAAGTTTCACTGAATAATAATTCATTTATTATGGTTTCCCAACAAAGTACTCGCTGATTTAATGCATGGGTTTTTATATATATATATATATGATCAGTAGACAGTAACATTTACACTGTTATGTTTACATCAGCCATGTTTACGCTGGTACACTTTATTAATATATTCATTTTGTACTTCAAACTCCACACAAATTGAATAACTTGATTTATTAAACACAAGAATTTTATTAAATATTTATGAAGTTTTGTATTGTTATGTATTGTTGCTTGTACAAATTTGATGTTATTATCTCACTAAAATTGGCTGAAGACTGACCTAAGTTTGTTGTTCTGACAATATTCATACAAATGCTCAGATTTATGATGTTATAGAAATGGCATGCTATTGGTGGAATTGAAATTGTGAGCTTTTCCACAATTCATCTATTTAATTTCTGTTGACCTATGAAGTTAATTTCCTTAACGTTTGCTTGCTTTGCCTCCAAGTCGGCCCTCTCATTAACTTCAACTCCGCAGTGCCCTGGGATCCAGTAAAATTTGATTTCCCCCCACCCCTCACGTTTCCAGTCTCTCTATTTTATCTTTAAGCGTCTGTGTAATGTGCTCATTGTAGGGGAGTTACAAATGCCTTTTAACACGCTTGACGAGTCCATGAAAATTATTAAGTTTTCCTCCGAGTCTATTTTTACAATTATTTCTAGTGTTTCGGCAATTGCCAGTGCTTCCGCCGTGATGTGGACGCTATCTTAGATATCCTGAGTTTCATGCTACGACCATCTTTAACGTCCATCCATGC